TCTCGATGGAAGGACCCGATGATGAGTAGTTTGAGATCGCTTCATAGATCCCTCCATACGAACATCCGGGACATGACCAAACCGTTTTGTATTATCAACTCTGTTCAAATCGGGTGTTGAGATGGATTTCTCGATACGTGGGGATGGTGTATCCCATGTTGTATTTTGTTTTGGGGTGTCGTGGGTTCGGAGGACGAGGGAGGCTTCTTTGAACATGCGTTCAATGAGGTCGTCTAGAGCTTCCATTTTGGGTCGTACGGATTTTGTGGAGGAGGTGCTACGGAGACTTGTATGATCGTTTGTGAGGGGATTGGGGATGGGGTGGCCCATTTCGGTTGTGATAGTTGCATCACTGCTTCGGTCTCCTCTTTTTTCGAATCCTAATGGAGGAATCACGGGTGGAACCGAGGAAACCTGCACGGACGCACCCACCGACGCACCCAATGACGCATCCCCCCGTTTCCTCTCCATAACCTCCCTCGGCAAAGCCGGAAGCGGCGGTAAATCCTTCTCCCTCTTCCTATCCCCCAAAATCCCCACCGACAAATTCCTCACCCACTCCTCCATCCCCTCCCTCGTCCGACACGCCACCTCCAAAGGCGGCTCATTCGCAACCCATATATCAAACACGTTGGCTGTAATACCGCTAATGGGACGGGGAGTCGCTACGACGCGTGTAATCTGGGATAGAGCGAGTTGGAATTTGGGGGGACTGGTGGGTGTGTGGGCGTAGGTTAGGTGTGTGTCGGTTAGGATAAAGTAGCGGCGGAGCCAGCGGGTTGGATGGTTTTTGGAACGCTGTCAAGAGTGGATTTGACGGTTTTTAGTGTTATTGGTTGGGAGTACCACTTTTTTCTTTGTGGTTTTTTTTTTTTTTTACCTTCCAGAGATACCCTCCAACCTCCTTCTCCCTCTTTTTATTCAACTCGGGTGTCGACGCCGATCGAGGCATGCTAGACGATCGAGACATGCTAGATGATCGAGACATACTCGACGAACGAGGCATCGGGAGAGGCATAACTACTCTCTACTTATAAAAGTGGTTTCTTTTCCTTTTAACAGTTTTTTGCTACTTTTTTGCTAACACCTTTCGGCTTATGTACCAACCTCCGGCTTGGCAATATAGTCAAACGAAACATGCTATTCTTGGATATACCTATTTTTAGAATCTCTAGCATTCTGATAAATGACGTGTAAACGATTTTTGTGAGTTGCAGAGCTTTTATGAACGGTTGCATGTGCTTTTTGAGTTGTTTGTATTATCCCTATACCCCCTTTTTGATCTGGTTGGATGGACGGAGCGAAAGTCCGGTTGGCTAAGACACCTTGGAATCGTGAGGATGAATGTGAGGATGCAATTCATATCTTTTGAACTTTGGTTCGATATGTTGTTGTGGAGAGTGTAGTAAAGGGTTGACTCGTGGTGTGGAGAGTGGAATGAGTGGGTAGATGTTCATATCGTATTTTGGAGATGTGTTATCTAGTCTTGGATCTTACGCAGTTCCCATGATGGTGGGTTCGTGCTGTGGACACTTGTAGGAATTGCCAAAACTGTTTTTCTCAAAAGACGATAAACAATAAACACTTTTCTGCAACCAATCTCTGGCAAGAATCGTTCCAAAACAGTCGTTGCTTTCGCAAACAAAGCGACAGCCTTTATCAATTGCCCTCCAAATCCATCCCCTGTACGCAGCCTTGTATCTTGTCAAAAAAAACCCGACAAACAAAAATGGAACAAAAGCACACAGTAAAAGAACACTATGGGATCCAAACTGTCGGACATTTGGCAGTGCTTAGTAGTGTAGAGGTGACAGAAACTGGCACTAGCTACTACAGTATAATTGCCTAGTAGTAGTTAGTTAGCTTTTCCGAACCGGTTGTCGCCGGTTTATGTACACCAGGGAATGAACCAGCGAGAACTGGCTCGGAAAAGTTAACTAACTACTACTAGGCAATTATACAAGCAATACGTAACGGTTGGTTCTAACCGGATAATTGCCCACCACCACACGCGTTCCTACTGGGCCTTGATCCAGAACTCTTGATGGCATTGAAGCCAGAGTCTTCGCAATATTGGGGAGACTCGCAAGCTGGAGGATCTTCAGTGACAAGGCTTGGAGACTATAAAGAACTGCATGTCAGAAGATGACCCGATGACAAGAAATGCAAGAAATGCCATCGATACATACCAACCAAGCTCAAATAATGTGGCAGCATAATAGCAGCTTTGTTGGTTCCGAGGCTGGGCTGGTTCTGATTGCTGTTGCTGTCGGGCGGACGAGGTCCTCGGCACCAGAGCAGTACTCTCATGATGGACTGAGATGTGTTGGGCAGATGCTTTGCAAGTCGAGGGTAAAGAGGAAAGGGGAAGGAGACAGAAGGTCCCCCTTTTATAGACCTTTGGCATGCGCCTCACCGCAGTTTAAAAAAAAAAAACATTACATGCATGCCACACCGTTTTGAGCGATAGATGGGGGTGCTGATTATGCGATATGATTAACCAGAATAAGCCAGATAATAATGAGTTCTAGTGCCATTTTCAATCACCTCCATAGTATGTTTAGAAGAGTCACGAGCGCGCAGAAGGGTTTACGAGTTGGAGAGTTTTTCCCACGTTTTTTTGTTAAAGGCCGATTTTCATACAGAATCCTTTCGTTGTAAGGTGGACTTGTACATTTCCTTGCTTCCACCTTTGATTTACCTCATTCTCTACTCTTTGGATACAGTACAATTTTTTTACCCTCCCAAAACACCAATAGCGCATTATTCATGGCGGTTGATCCACCATCACCACCCGATGGCGCAACCAAAAGCACATCACCTGAACCAACAACCAACACCACGCTTTCTGGACCCATTCCACAGAAACGAAGCTTGTTGGCAGAGAGTTTGAGTGCGAGTCCAACGGTGGGGAAAAGGAGTAGTTATGGGTCAATGTCAAAAACGGTGGGTGGGTTCTTGCATCCCGTAAGTAAAAAAGAAAGAAATCTACAAGCATTTGTTTTTTGTATATGTTGAATTTTCGTTATTTTGGATAGGCGCTTCCACCTCCATCATCATTTTCCTCTGCGGGGAGTTCGTCTCCACCCAAATCCACTCCTCTTAGCCGCTCCCTCCCGCGTTCCATCCCCGCCGTCATCGGAACCCCCTTGGCCAGATCCCAAGCCAGTGCACACGGGATCACAATGATGAGAGGCCGAAGCGGTGGATCAGGTTTGAATCCAATGTATGGAACGCCGCGGTCGTTTTCGCCTAGTCCGGCTCGCAGTCGAACATCATATCGAGATGAGGATGAGGATGGTCTGACGGATTCGGATGTTGCGAGGTTGGTTTCGGAGCATTTGGTTTTGCCTGAGGATGGGGCGCTTTCGTCTTCGCCTGGGTCTTTTGTTGGGTCGGTTTCGCATGGGTTGCTTGGTGGTAAGTTTCTGAAAGTGTGTAAATGTGAAGGATGGGTGGTTTGGGCTTTTGAGAATGTGATTTGCTGTTTGTTGACAAAAGGGGCGTCTGTCGATGCAAGTACTATTGCAAAGAGGTATTGAAACTGTGTATCGCGTATGTGATAAAGGTTGCATCTGTCGATGCAGTGAGATGCACGCAATATTGCAATGCAAAGAATTGTGTTATTTTTTTGGTGTGTAGGAATGCGGTACTAATCAATACATATAGGCGAGGTCACGCGCGATATTTACCAATGGCAAGAAAAGCATGGTTCCTCCCACCGTCGCCGAAACTCTGAACCCGATATTCGCTCCGTACAAGCGATTGATGAGGACGTTCCTCGTGCATCCGAACTCCGCGAACCTGGCGTCTTTCGTCGACATTTTGTGCACGCACAAGCCGAACGACAAGGTAAACCCCCACCCAACGCCCTCACGCGCAATTTCCTGGATTTCCTTGCCTTGTATGGATTCTATGGTGGAGATGTCTATCCTGAGGATGTAGACGAGGATGACGAGCCCGGGTTGATGGAACCAGATGTGGAAGAAGAGGCGGGTGAGAATGAACCGCTCATACAACGATCGAGGACTCCATCTATTGCTGCTGTACATGGCACGTCGGCCAAAAAAGCCTTTTTTATGGTCCTCAAAGCCTTTGTCGGGACAGGGGTTCTGTTTTTACCAAAAGCATTTGCGAATGGCGGTATGGCGTTTTCGCTCGTGACGTTGGTGGTGATTGGGTTTTTGACTTTGCACTGCATGCTCTTGTTGGTGGAAACAAGCCGGATATTGGGTGGATCGTTTGGTGATATTGGGGAACACTTGTATGGCCAAAAGATGCGACAACTTGTTTTAGGGTCAATTGCGATTTCACAGGTACGTTTTCTTTTGTTTTTTTGTTTTTGCTGTCAAGTGTCCAACAGGCTCACGGTGAATCGCTTTAGGCGGGCTTTTGTTGTGCATACTATATTTTCGTTGCGCAGAACCTTCGAGACTTTTTGATGATTGTGTCAGATTGTCAACTGATATGGCCGGATTGGGCTTTTATTATCATTCAACTGGTTGTCTACGTCCCGTTATCGTGGGTGCGCCGCATCAAGCACTTTTCTATAACGTCTCTGATTGCCGACGTGTTTATCCTCCTTGGATTGGCCTACATTCTCTATCACGACGTTTTTGTGGTCTCGACACGTGGACCCGCGAAGGATCTCGTGTGGTTCAACAGTCAGTCGTTCCCGTTGTTTGTCGGTACGGCCATGTTTGCGTTCGAGGGGATTTGTCTTATTCTCCCCATTGGCGAATCCATGAAGAAACCAGAGCGATTTGGAATGGTCTTGACGTGGTGTACTGTCGTCATTGGTGCCATTTTCATTTCTGTGGGAGCTATGGGGTACCTCACCTTTGGATCCAAAGTCGAGACGGTGGTGTTTTTGAACCTACCCAAAGGCCCGCATACCCAAATGTTGCAATTCTTTTACGCGGTGGCGATCATGCTTTCGTTTCCTTTGACTGTGTACCCGACGATTCGCATTACCGAGCACGGACTCTTTGGTTTACGCGACGGGAAACACTCTACGCTCGTCAAATGGCAGAAAAATCTCTACAGAGCCTTTTTGATGCTCTGTCTAGGCGGTGTCGCATGGCTCGGCAGCAACAACCTCGATAAATTTGTCAGTCTTGTCGGATGTTTTGCGTGTATACCCCTCAGTTTCATCTATCCCAGCTTGTTCCATTCGCATATTGCTCAGAGCAAATGGGTCCGAATGAAGGATATGGGGTTGGTGGTGTTTGGGATGGCTGCTATGCTTTATACGACGTGGATTACGCTTGAGCAGTGGGCGATAGGTGAGCCGGATGTTCCGGTGGATCGGTGTCATGTTATTCCTGATGTCCCTGGTGGAAGGTTTTGAAAAAAAAAAGGTTTTGGACAGTGGGGTAAAACGTCATGAGGGAGAGAGCATGACCCTAGGGCATATTTAGAAGCATTTTGCATTTTGGTTTTTTTTATACACATTTGTTCCTGGTGGACGATTTTAAAAAACAATTCTATGGGGAATTTTAAATATCTTGCATTTTTACTGTATTGGCTGCCGTCAGCACGTGACGCATGATTGGACCAACGGTGGACACTCTATCATTGTAGATTTGCATAGCCCCCATCATCTTACATCCATTGTGACCATCCCATCTTGTCTACTTGATATAAGCCCGGGACGCACGCTTTTTATTGTTCTAGTGCCCATCCGAAGACTTGAGCATTCTTGTTCTCCGTCTCGCGCCAACGTTCTCTGAAACCTAACCGCCATCACGATGGTCGCCAGTGCACCGGGATCGCCAGGGATGGAAGACCAGGGAAAGATATTGGAGGAGGCTTTGGGGGTTGTTAAAGTCCAGGCGTTTCATATGAAGAGAAATTTGGTAAGGTTTTCTTGTAATGGTTTTCTTTTGTTTTTTGGGTTTTGGCTTACCGGTTTTGACAGGATGCAAACAAACTTATGGATGCACTAAAGCATTGTTCTACCATGCTTTCTGAACTACGAACATCTTCATTGACGCCAAAGAATTACTACGAGCTTTGTATGTTCATCTTGTCCTCCTCACGCTTTTCTGAAGGGTTGGCATTGCTCTTATACTATAAATTTCCAGATATGGCCATCTTTGACGAATTGCGGCATTTAACAACTTACTTGTACGATGCCCACATGAGCCACCGACACCACCTCTCAGATCTCTACGAACTGGTTCAGTACGCTGGAAACATTGTGCCTCGGCTCTACCTGATGATTACTGTCGGATCCGTCTATATGCGTGTCTCAAAGGAGATTATGCCGCAATCGGAGGGAGAGGACAAGGGTAAAAAAGTTAATGGAGCAGAAGAGGGACTTAAACAACCCGATCAAGACGACGTACCCCCCATCAAGGAACTTATGAAGGATATGCTTGAAATGTCTAGAGGTGTCCAGCATCCTACGCGTGGATTGTTTTTACGGTATTACCTTAGCGGCATGACGAGAGATTACCTCCCCGATGGACTGGTGGATGGACCTCACGGTACAATCCACGACTCGATTCAATTTATTCTGCAAAACTTTATAGAGATGAATAAACTTTGGGTGAGACTACAACATCAGGGTCATTCTCGTGAACGGGAAAAGAGGGAGGTGGAGCGTAAAGAGCTGCGACTGTTGGTTGGATCCAGCTTGGTGAGATTGAGTCAGTTGGAAGCTTTGGATCTCGAAATGTACAAATCCTTGGTTCTCCCGAGTATTTTGGAAGAGATTGTAAGCTGTAAAGACGTCATTGCCCAAGAATATCTCATGGAAGTCATTATCCAAGTCTTTCACGATGACTTTCACCTTCGATCCTTGGACGCCTTCTTATCCGCTACAGCCCAACTACAGCGGAACGTCAATGTAAAGCAAATTGTGATTAGCCTTATTGACCGCTTTGCGAGTTACGCTGCGCGAGCTAGAGATGAAGTCGATGTGAAAAGCAAGGAAGATTTGACGCTTGAAAATGAAAAACCCGTGAGCGGCATACCCGATGACGTTCAGCTCTTTGATGTGTTTTGGGGTCAAATTACCGAGTTGGTCAAGGCTCGACCGGAGTTTACGATTCAGGATGTGGTTGCCTTACTGGTTTCCCTGAACAATTTGTCATTGAATTGTTACCCTGAGCGGTTGGATTATGTGGATAAAGTTCTTGGGTTTGCAAAAGAGAGGGTTTTGGAGGCTCAGAATGCTAAATCGTACGTATTACGGCAGGATACTTTTGCAAAAACTGTTTTTACTAATTCCGAAAATCTGGTATATTATCCCTTTAGGCCAGAGCTTCAAAGCACCCAAACAACTTCTTCCCTCCTCCAACTGTTACTCGGACCTATCCACACCTACCATGTCAACGTCCTCACGATCCTACAGTTCCCTTCTAGCGTCACGCAAACCGATGGTGCAGGGGCCTCACTCTCACTGGGCGGGAACTACTCGGACCTCCTCTTCCTCCAACCTTACTCTACCCGCCGCCAAGTAGCCCACACTGTAGCGACCACCTCCCTTCGAGCCTACACGACATCAGACTTTATTGTCGACTCTGCTGATGGGGTTAATGCCCTCTTTGGCGAGCTGTGCAGTATCATGATCCGCGAACAAAAGGATGGTGGGTTATTTGGACCTAAACCGATTGTTCATCATGATACGGAGGAGGGGCCTAAATATGCGGGACGGACACGGGTGGAGGAGTTGCCTTTGGATTGGGAGGATGTGGTTGAAGAGCAGAATATGGTTGCAAAGATGGTGCATTTGGTCAAAAGTAGGGATGCGGATGCTGATAAGGAGTTTATGGTGAGCTATGTTGTTATTTCACAGGAAACAATGTGTTTGCTTATCAATTGGTGAATAAGCTTTTATCGGCTGCTCGGAAACATTTTGGAGAGGGTGGGGATATTCGTATCCGGTTTACCCTTCCTCCATTGGTGATGGCCTCCATACGACTCGCGAGAAAGTTCCGGGCGCATTCAGAAGAGGTATACTGCTTTTTTGGCTTGTTTTGTTCCCTATAGCATAGTAAACCCCCTTTCAAAGGACGACTCTACCAGCGATAAACTTGCCACCTTGTTCAAATTCATCCACCAAACCATTTCTTCCATGAGTCGAGCTCGAGAGTACTTTGCCGATGATGACGAAGGGTCCTTGTTCAAAGATGATAACCCTGCACCGTCAAATACATCCAAGATTGGACATGGATTGATGGCTCCACCCGATATGTCCTTGCGATTGTTTTTGATGGCGGCCCAAGCGGCAGATGAAGGAGGGTTTGAAGAGCTGTCATATGAATTCTTTGTGCAGGTATGTATATTGTCGTTACAAATATGGATGCACAAAGTTTGATTGATCCTTTTTTTGGCATTATAGGCATTCACAGCCTACGAAGAATCCATATCAGAATCCAAAGCCCAATTCGCTGCCATCACACTCATCATTGGTACACTATACAGCACCACCGTCTTTGGCTACGAAAACTATGAAACCCTCATCACCAAAGCCGCTGTCCACTGCTCACGCCTTCTCAAACGGGTTGACCAATGCCGTGGTGTGACGCTTGTTAGTCATTTATTCTGGGGGGATGATACCCGTGTACGTGAGGAAGGAAAACCTGTGTACCGGGACGGTCGGCGTGTCCTTGAATGTCTCCAAAAAGCACTCAAAATAGCAGACTCGGTCATGGATAAGAATGTCAATGTGGAGCTTTTTGTGGAAATTTTGGAGAGATATGTGTGGTATTTTGAAAAGAGGAATGATGCGGTACGTTTGTAATTTTCCCCTTTTCACTACCTTTTCAAATGGGAAACGGTGTTTTGTTTCTTACTCGTCAATCTTTTTTTTTTTTTTTGGTATTTTTTTTTTAGATTACTGTCAAATACCTAAACTCCCTTATCGACCTCATCCAAACCAACCTCTCCTCCCTCGAAACCGAACCCCAACGCCCCGGTTACGCATCCTACGCCCCCGGCCCACTCTCACCCGCCGGCAGTACCGGCTCCCTATTCGACGAAACAACCACCAAAATCTCGGAAACGGTCTTAAAACATTTTCGAAATGTTTTGGCGTATGTCAGGGCCAAGAAGGAGGAAGAGGGCAGGGATGTGGTTGTGCCGCCTGGTATTGAGGGAGGGTTTTTGGAAGGGAGTGGCACGTGGAGGGATGTGGATGTGGGTGGACGATAAAGTGGGATAATGCAGTTTGAATTGGTGTGTTTTTTTTCTTGTGCTTTTTTCTTTTGTGTGTGCATACGTTGTTGGATGAATGATGTGGTGTACTTGTGCGATACTTTAGAAAATGGTTCCTGGTTTCTTTTTTGTTGCATCAGTACGTCTCCTCTTGAATGTACTGGAACGCTTTCTCGCGCTTTTTTGTAGTATCGTCTGTCATTCCAAAACAGTGCGCGAAATAAAGAAAGAAAGCTCGAATCATCACAAGTACAAGAAAAAAAAAAGTGGACCCTCCATTTTTCTCAAATGAGAATACCACACCATTTTCGCACTATACACACACACTCAAAAAAAAAAAAAAAATAAACACACACGCACACACACTCTATTGCCCACCCTCGACGCCCTCCATCGCATCCCCATCCTTCACCTCCCCCCCCTTCCCCTCCCCCTCACTATCCACCTCCCCCGCTTTACCCATCTCCAACAACGTCCGCCGCAACTCTGCCTTTCTCTGCTTCTTCAACCGCTCAATCTGCTCCTTCATCATATCCTCCACAAATTCCCCCATATGCTGCACTCCCGTAATAGCAATAATCTTGTCCTTTTTATTCCTATTCTCCACTCCCCATTTTCCCTCCGCTTTTTGAACCACACCATATGCTTCAACAGCACGCGGGAATCCAGCGTGCGCATACAGCTCCCCACGTCGTATCCAAAGACTTTCAAAAGGCCTTTCCAAAAGCTTTTGAAAAACGGGTTGGAGTTCATAACATTCTCGAAAGAGGGGGACACGGCAGAAAACGTATAACCCAAGTCGGGCACGCGACATGGCGACAATTAACCGACGAACGTCCCGTAAATGTCCGACCGTTTTCGTGCGGACCAGGGAAAGAAGGATATAATCGTTTTGTTGGCCTTGGTATTTGTCTACGGTGGATACTTTGTGGGGGTTGCCATAAAGAGGATTCCATGAACATCTCTTCTCGAGAACATCCCGTATTAGCTCTTTTTGGCCATTGTAGGTCGTTAGGATGGTGATGCGCTCCGCTGGGTATCCAAGTAATCTCATATACTGGTACACCGCAACCACATACTCTGCCTCGCCCAGGTTTTGCAAAAAGTGCGGTCTGGGCTCAGTCTCACCCTTGCCTAAAAAGCTGGGTACATTGACGACTTGATAGTCAAAGGCGAAACCCGGATTAGCCAATTGGAACTCGGGCCGCTCCACCACCGCTGGGAGATCGTCCAATCGTGGGTATTTCCATTTGAATAGCTGAGCAATAGAACTTCGTGATCGTCCTTGTGCGTCCAGTTGAATGGTAGGCACTCCAAGACGTACAAACCGAGTGAACAAGCTTTGTTCCATGTTGCCATATCGTTGGAATGCCGTATTCTTCACCACAGGGGGGAGCTGGTTATGGTCCCCAATCATGACGACACGCTTCAATCGGCTTGCACCGGTATCTGGGTCCGAATTTTGCAGTAACAATGGAATGAACGTCTCCACTTCGAGTATCTGTGCTGCCTCTTCCATGACGACATTATCGTACTTGAAACCTAGCTGGACAAACTCACGGCGTTTTAATGCAGCGTGGGTGCATGTCATGGCTATAATTTTCGCTTCTTTCACAAGGAGGTAGTTGGATCTGTCGTATCCTGAACGTAGCAATTCAAATGCTCGGATTTCCTCCAGTTCATCGAATACGTGGCGGATATGACGCCAGCATCCTTCAGCAATTTCCAGAGCCTCGTCAAAAGACGCCTCCTCCGGGAACAGGGGCTGGGGTGCATCCGCGAAATAGACCTCGAAGGGAAAGTCCACAGCTACATCCTGGCGCGTTCCTTGACCCCGTGCGGCTATCGCCTTCACTTTGTGGATGTATGGCTCCCATCGGCTCAGTATGTGGTACAGGTAAAAGTACCCAGCTGTTTCGCATGTGTATCCATGTGCACCAGGGATCTCCAAGCTTTGTGCAAGTCGGTCCACATCGCCCAACAACTGGACGCGCTTTTCCAGAAAGGCTGTCACACGTCCGTATTTGCCCCAGCTCCCCGCGTCTGCTAGTTCCAGCTCTTCTTGTCCATGACCCAAACGAAGAATGTGTCGTGGATCAATATCCAGCGCGGCAATCTTTTCAAAGAGTTGGTTTAGCGCGGTGTTGCTATGTGTTATTATAAGGGTATGCTGCTCCGGGAAGTTGTGGTATAAGTTCGCAATGATCTGAACGGCCACATCCGTTTTACCAGTCCCAGGAGGACCCACGATCATGGTGAGCCCCGGCGAACTTCCCGCATGGATTGCTTCCACTGAACATTAGCAATGTAAATGTTAATATGTACCCTTAGCACCACCCGCCAAGAATCACATTTTGTACGTACCTTGAGTGGGTGTAAACCGCACGGTATTCTTCTTTGGAACATCCTCTGGATACGGTCCCATATTTAACGGCTTATACGTCTGCACAAGTAGCGTGTCTGCATCCTGATCCACTTCCGCACCGTTGTCACCGTCTGCCATGTTACCACCTAATTTACGCTTCACGCCGGAAGAGATTGACGACTTGGCGTTTGCCTCCTCTTTTTCCGAAACCGAAGCCGAGAACATTGATTTAGGGAAAGTAATGACATAAGGCGGTGCAAGACTCGCGTCCGATCCATCCGTCCTCTTCCCCGCGGGAATGATGCGCTGAGAGAAGCGAAAACGGCACAGGATTTAGGCATTGCATGACGCGCACAGAAACAGTAGCACATTTTTATACCTTATCTGGGAAGCTCTGGATTAAATGGTCCCAGTCGAGGAACGTATCTCTAAAGTCCAGAGTCCGAATGGGCTCCGGCACCTTGGTAAAGTGCGCACTGTTGCGATCGCCATAACCCAAAAACACGTTATGTAACCATGCCGGAACAACCAGATCGCTTTGCATGAGATCCCGAATGGTGTCAAGTACCGCTTTGAAGTTGTTTTCCTGCGGCTTCCGTCGCATGAGAACATTAAAGGTTGGATAGACATCTTCTCCTTCCTTGCGCTGTATCCGGTCCATATCCTGTTGATATTGATTGGTGTCCAACAGGACACGGAATGTTCGCTTATACCCGGTAACAAGAGGTTTCTCATTGGTGCCGGGTGGAGGTAGTTTCGCGCTTTCAAAATCCTCAATAGGTAGACCATCATCTCCAATCAAATCTGCGACCTCACAACCCCGAACGTACTTTAGACCAAACTTGCGGCGGAAAGCGCTACCTTCGCTTTCGATGACTCCGCTTTTCTTTGCATCGGTTTCCATCCATCCAGGACCATCCGGCTCCATCTGGACCGTCAGAAGGAACAATACATCACGCGGCCGTAAGGATTCCCACTCTTTTCGAATCGAGTCAGTGTATTTGAAAATATTTACGGTGACATCCGCCTTCACCGCGCTGGGTTTGGTGTCACCAAGCTTTGGGGGGCCGACTTCGACTACTTGGAACTTGAGAACATGACAATAAGTAAAGAAAGGGAAATATATAGTAGGTTACGATAGAGTACGCCAACGTACCATGTCGATCGGAGCACCCATTCGCGCCCATCCGGTAAAGACTGTCTGATCTTCTCCAGTTCGCCGATCTATGTTATGTTGAGGTGCAATACGTTGAACAACATCTTCAATATCTTGTCTGATTTCGTAGGTACTTTCCAAGCGGAACAGGGTAAAGTTACGAAGTAAATAGTCGTGGATGGTCAAAAATTGTAGGTTAAGTTTGGGAATTGCTAGACAATGCGTGTTTGGGAATTGCTGGGTCGCAGGAACCGTCGTTTCATCAAACAAAAATTCCTGAAAGTGTACCATAAACAGCAGGTTATTTCCACGTGCTATGCAGCGTAGAGCATCATGATGGGTTTAAGACAACTTGCCTCGTCAGGATACAAAGGCAGAGAATTTATCAACTCAATCTGACTGGGCCTCTTCGCGTACATGGCAATGAGAATCTCGATGAGAAATGCCTTGTCATAGAATGGTGCATCGTCAGATTCAAGTTCCACTCTGCGTGTTCGAATCCCAATTTCCGAGCAGAAAGAGCGGAGTGTCTCTTCATCAACTTTCCCGAAATAACTGCGCAGGCTCTCTCGGCTTTCCACACTCCCGACGTTAGCCAAAGCAAAGTCCTCTAGCGTCTCACGGAAGTGAACAAAGGCCACCTTCTGCAATCGACGAATCTTGTCGTAATAATCATGCGTTATGTCCGCAGCGGTTAGGGCAGCACCGGTGAAGTCATTAATCTCAAATCGAGCGTAGTACTTCACTCGGTCAAGCAATTGCACGAAGAGTGCCCCGCTCTCTGACCCTCGCGATCCCCAATCCGACGGCAGCACAATGGACAGATCACGGTTCGTGCGCAGGAACTTTCTACCGCGTTGAGCTAGCTTACTTCGATCGCAAATCGGGACCACGAGATGATCGTGCAGGAGGAGATTAAAGTGGCGACGTGTAGGGAGCTGTGCCTCAAGATCGATCAGGAATTCAATGAATCTCTCACAGTAGGCAACACCATGAGCGGGTGGTGGACCAGATTCCGGTATGGAGGATAGTACGACAAGGAAGTTTTTGATGAGTTTCGACATAAACGTGCGATCAAACTCCATTTTCTCTTTGGCCGACGCTTTTGCTGGTGTGAACGACAATGCCATTGATTTAGGACTAATGCAGGCAAAACTCGCAAGAAAATGACGTGTACTCACTTGTAGAACTGTATTTAGCCTCTGATCGCTCCCATAATGCAAGACGTTCCGGGTATTGTCGCAACTCCTCCTCGCGACGCTTCTCAACTATACAGCTCCATGAAGAAATACTGACCAGACGCATACACTCGCTTCGCACTTGGGCATTCTCCAGAGATTGGAAGAGATGAATCAGGAATATCAGCAGAAAACGCCGGGTCTGCAGTCCTAGTTCCACGCCTTCCCCACCCGCCAGCTGTAGAGGCTCCACTAGGAGTCTCAACACACGCGATACTAGTCCGGAGAATTTGGATGCATCTTCTGAGAATATATCCCAGACGCCGCTTACGCGTTCCCGAAACTTCTCGTTCACCATAACAACAATTGATAATACATGGGCTAATGACGATCGCGGCTTCCCCTTGGATCCCTTTGGTACGAACGAAGGCCACAGATACTGTGATAAGAAACAAGTAGCGGATTAGTGATGGCGGGGAGAAGATCTAGGACGCCATTTAATCTCGAGCTTAACCTTTTCAAGGTACTGACTAAATTCCAACAACATCACTTTGCGAAGTGAGAATCCACTTCCTTCCAGCTGCTCTTTCCATATGGTCTCTACGAGCGTCGGGTCAAACTCCAAAGCTCCTCTTTCACTCCAATGTGTATGTGCCAACTGTGTAATGGCATCTGACTCGATTTCCTGCAGCGTTGGTGCGTATTGCTCGCCTTGCCGGCGATCTGATAGTGAAGCTATCGGTGGAGGAGGTGGGGGCTTGACATCGGGGACTGCTACCTCTTGTGTTGGTGTGGGCACTTCCGGTTGAGCTGGAACAGCGATCTCCTCTTGAGCTTCAGGCTCCGGCTCAGGAGGGGCAAAGTAACCCAAGTCCACGGACTCTTGTGCTGGCCGTGACATTCTCTGATATATAGCCTCCGTGTCGCTACCGTAGGTAGGTAGGCGAATCGTGTGGCCAGCAAGCGTCCAATGGTGATCTCTAGCAGCAATCGACTGGAATTGGCCACCCCGCTGAACTCTTGTTGCTCATAGCAACAACGTGTGTTCCCGTGATACCTAAGGCTTCCGTAAGCCAAGTTCAGCTGTCTTCGCCTTTGGGTGGCCACCTACTGCTGCGTTACTGCTTGAACAGCCTAGTCGTCCAGACTTGTATGTAAAATTTACCAAGAGAAATAATATACTACAATCATCTCGATCCGACAGTTTATTTAATTCGTCTCTATCGGACGCATAAGGTTCTTTGTTTATAATCGTCGAGATGTCCTTCCAGGTATGAACTCGGAAATTATTTCGCAATCACGAGATGACGTCAATAGAGAACAAAGCGCACTGCAGAATGGAAGCACTTTCTCCAAATCAACGTAAAATGCTATGATGATTTGCCAAGGTCGTGTAGGTCTCGGGGTATTCTCTACTCTGGCCATCGTATTGGTTCTTCTGTTGCCGTTGGATCTGTTGGATTGGAGAACCGAAGCAGACGTTTCCTATCAGCAACCAGTAGTGTCCCTGACGAGTACTTCTACACGGTTGACTTTGGAGCTACCGATCACTGTGGAGTCATTGTTGCAGCAGACCCTGCCACCAGCTGAGATCCGCTTATATATTCCTGAAGCCACGGCACTACTGTCCAACAGCTGTAATGTCTCTAAGCGGCCGACCACCCCCTTTTGTGCAAGGGAAGCCAAAATTCTCAATGTCCTCAGTCATCCCAGCGTTCATGTCATTCCCGTCGCAGATTTGGGACCTGCTACCAAATTCCTGTACGTAATTCAGGAGTTCCTTTCCAGAGGAGGGAGCCCTTCTCGAATATTTACTACCACCCATGATTTTGCCCACTCGTCAGAACCAGACGTCCCGGTCTCAGCAACGTATCTACATCAGCCAATCGTTGTTTGCGATGATGACCACTACTACGCACCCACATTTCTACAAGATTTAATGCGCGCACATCACCAATTGGGGCATGCAGCAATCGGGCTACGTGGATGGAGAATACGTCAAGACTTGCAATGGGGCGTTCAAGGAGCTCAAGAACAACGACGTCATATTATTCAAGGGTGGACTCTAGCTGAACCGTACAGAGTCGGTATTGTGACAGCTAATGAAGGGTATCTGATTCAACCAAGATTCTTCGCCACGAGTGCAGGGGACGGTACGTTTAGATGCAGTGATAGCTAACACTAGTGACTGTGACTGATGGGCGCTTAACAGTGCCAATTCTTAACTTAACGGGTGCATCTTCAGAGGCCACATTGGTCGACGATATTTGGATGAGCGGACATCTCGCTGCTCAGGGTGTTCCACGAATTGTTGTACCTGCTATTTCAAGTAACGTCGATATCTCACAATCGTACACACTTGAATCACAATTTCAAAGTAAACAGACATCTCGTTACATAGCCAATACAGTAGCATTACGACTATTTAGCAGCGTTTGGGAGAATAGCATGTGGTATCAATTTGGAATAGATAGCTCAATATCGCCTAGAAGGGTTCGAGGACGGGTGAAGGTATATAGATGGCTTAAAGGCATTGCGCTATCTTTAAAAGTACAGCTGCGATTGTCAGCGCTATAAAAGAAAGCAACCCGGTTCTTGCTATGGTATTTGGTCACTTGTTACTGCTCGATTTTCGAACAAGATATCCTTCTAGAATCTGAATTTTTACCTTCTGCAAACGTCCAGTTTGCAAGCCCAAAAGTCCAGGAAGAACGCGCAGGTGGCAATGCGAATTGACAAATGGCCCAATCACTTTGCAATCAATCGATGCGAAAATGAGCCACTGGCACAGCTTCCACGTGATCACGGAAATTCGGTGGCACAGGTCGGCTGGAAACCCAACTCGTTTCCCCTTCGTTTGCTCGTTCTTCCCCGCCTGCTGCAATCTTTGTGCAGGTCGTTTACGACACATTGATGTCGAGTTGCGAGACATTGGCGCGTATTGTTGAATACAGTGCTGCTCGAAAGGGATTTGGGTACTTTCTAATATCGAAATCGGGGGCCTTTTTACCCCTCACTACTTCAGGAACCAGCGCGCTGTTGAAGTTTTTAGCGCATATTCGCTAAGCACAGTGCTCGCATTAGTGCATACCACAGCATGTCAGCGCCTGTGAACGCTGAAGAAGCGCCCGAAACGCCCCATCAGATATCCGCTGAAGAAGTCCTCCAAACCTTGAACAGTGTTCAAGGAGATCCAAACCGACCGGACGATGAGGTCGTGCAGCTTCGAAGGAAGATATCAAAGATTATGAGTGTACTTAACGAGAAAGGAGGTGTGGTTGGCGATGAAGCTGGAGTCTTAGAGCGCGTTCGCGAGGTAAAGTGACTGAACCGAAGACGCTTGTGTCGCTTCCTTCCACCATTCTCTTTTCACCTGCTTACACTCTATCTCACGTGTAATGACTTTAGCTCGCTGCAAGTGCCTCTCAGTCGGCGCAAGCTGCATTCGCCGCAGGAGTAACACAACCTCAACCCGATGCTCTACCTCCAACACCAAAACGACACGACGACGAAGAAAGACAACAAACTCCATCACAGTATACCCAAGCCCAGTCAACGGCCCATGCTGTTCCCCTTTCAGCTACATCGCCTACTTCAGCAAATCAGGCACATCCCCGCTTTCAATTTTTCTATCCTCCTGGTAATCTTCCAGGTCCTCTCTTTGCCGTACCGCAGCCTACGTCCACAGGTGTTGGAGCTTTCCCACTGTTAGTGGCAGCAGCAGTTGCTGCGCAGCCAGCTCCAATACAGCCAGGCCCAGCTCCAGAGCGAGAGGACAATGGAATGAGTTCCATAAAACGCAAACGACGGCCTACCAAAGTGTACAGTTGCACCTTTCCTGGATGTACGAGACAGTTTACTCGCCACTTCAACCTCCAAACTCACATGAAGACACATGACCCGAATCGCGACAAGCCCTTCAGTTGTGAGCTATGTGATAAAGCATTTGGACGTAAAGTTGATCGAGACAGGCACATGAACGGTGAGTGCGGGCGGGAATGAAATCTCCCAGTTCTAGCGTCTACATTTGCGATTGCTCATGTCTCATTTCCGCTGGTCACAGTGCACACAAAAGAAAAGACACACGTTTGCCCATACTGCAGCAAGACTTTCACTCGCAAGGATGCGTTACAGCGCCACGTTACTGCTCGTCGATGTGGGCCTGTCGTACCAGGCCTCGGTGCTGTTTTTGGGGGAATACCGCTACCAAGCATCCGCATGATCGGCGATGTCGATGGAGGAGTACAAGAACACGACGGCGATGCAGTCGGCCGGAATGGCGGAATGCCTGCTCCAGGAACACCAACACCTTCTGGGGTTGCTGGTAATGTTAATGGTCAATGGGTTCTTCTTCCGATGGGCAATATGATGCCCAACGGCCAGAACATGCGTGAGGGCATGGTAGGCAATGTCATGAATAATGGTATGGGAGGGATGGTCCTTGGCCAGCGTATTCAAATGGAGGATGGAGGACGCGATCAGCCCGACGGGCATCCTCAGCTGCGCATCATGGAGGTTAGGGAAGGTGATGAAGAAAAGCACATGCATCGGCACCCTACTCCACAAGATATGGGCATCAATCACGATGATCGACACACATTGGCACAACAGAGCGCCAACGTTGCCGAAGCGGCGCATCACGCTGTGCTCGCTTACCAACAAGCAGGAGCTCAAGATGCCGGTAATGCCATGCTGGCTTATCAGCAACACCAGCAAAATGCAAGAGAGGCACAACAAGGAAGACCTGACGACGGAAATCAACTTCCCTTGGAGATGAGAGCGGGTGCGATCCAGGTAAGAAGTGCTGGTTTCAATAATCATGTGCGTACCAGGAAAACTCACCGAGATCTTGGTTTTAATGCAGTTTTCACTGCAATAATTGATGTAAAGGAATCTGAGAGATGTCCAATAGGAGCGCACGTCTGTCATTTGATGAGCCAGACGGTCGTAGTGGTTTATAGCACTGTGGGCACTCATTAAGCACTCCAAAGGTGTGCGATATGTCACATTTGATATGTTGGAGCTACATACTGGGTAGCATTGTAATGATATAATAATAAAAAAAGAGCTCACAAATCCAAAGATTCTTTGGACGTTTTCCATCAGCAAGTTGAATGTGTCTCATCGCGTGCGATGTGAGTCATTGCCGACATCACGCAATTACACAAGCACGGCAGATTATCAGTATGCGCTGTGTTTACGTTCTTTTGCGATTCCGTTCTTCCATCGACTACTTGACCCCCTCCTCATCGCGATAATCCCCTCCGGTTTTCCATCTCAGTGAACGATATGGCTCGTATTCGACGTGTGGCTCCTCCTCCACCACCTGCTCCCGCTGCATTTTCCCCCTACGGGAACCTGAACGAAATTCTAACGGATTCGTACAGTCCAGCTGTTATTATTCCACACCGCGACTCATGTCCTTCTTATAAGATATATTATTCGCATCTCCGGCATGTCATCAACACCCTTCAATCTCAGGCGCCTTTCTCGCATCTGCGTCCACGGGACGTGTTGACGTTCTTGTTGCCAAACTCGCTCGAATACGTGGCTGTGTTTTTCGCAACCACTGGAGTGCGTGCCATCGCCAACCCACTTAATCCTTCTTATACCGCGGAAGAAATTGCATTCTACCTTCAGGACGTGGGATCGAAAGCGGTAGTTGTGCCCAAAGGGGACGCAAAAATCCTTGCTAATACCAAGAAGGCGGTGGAGAGTCTTGGCGGCGCCATTCCGATATACGAGGTCTGGGCGGAAGTTGGAAGTGTGCTGCGAAGAGACAAGCCAGTGAAGAAGGTTGACAAGGAGAAGAGGGTAAATGTCATCGATCCCATTGTTCACGTCAGGCCATCCGATGCCTCTGGCGCGATCGGGGCAGCCGTGCAACCGGAGGAACGGGGCGCTCCGGTAGCGGATGATATTGCGCTCATGTTGCACACCAGTGGAACTACAGGAAGGCCTAAAGGTTGTTTTATTGGAAATACGTTTAATCCATACATTATACTGAAGCGTTCTTGTAGGTGTCCCTCTTTCGCACGGGAATATTCTTGCCACCTTGCGGAATGTCGAGGAGACTTTCGGACTCAATGCATCTGACGTCTCGTATCTCGTGATGCCGCTCTTCCATGTTCACGGTCTTATTGGTGTGCTACTTTCAACCTTCCACTCTGGTGGGACTGTGGTCATCCCTCCAAAGTTCTCTGTGACGCATTTCTGGCCAGATTTTATCGAACACGGCGTATGTCAGGAGATGCAATGACAATAGTCGGATGTCTTTGCTAATCAGCGTGTCCCTACATAGGCCACTTGGTATTCAGCTGTGCCCACCATTCACCAAATGATGCTCCTCAAAGTCAAAGAGAGCTATAAAGGAAGCAGTGGCAAGCTTCGGTTTATTCGGAGCTGCAGTGCTAGCTTGTGAGTTTTTGAAAAAGCTTATTTATGGTTGTATTGTATTTCTCACCCGTACCGCTTATTAGAGCGCCCGCCACGCTTTTCCAACTTGAAAAGACGTTCAAAGCACCTGTTGTTGAGGTAGATGAATTTGGCTTTGCGAGCCTGTAGAGACCATCGCTAATCAAAACTGCTCTGATAGGCCTACGCAATGTCCGAAAGTGCACATCAGATCTCGGCGAATTTTCTGCCTCCTGGCATGCGGAAGCCGGGCTCTGTGGGTAAAGGCCGTGGAGTTGAGGTGCAGATTATGGACGCGGAAGGCAAGCCCTTGAAGACAAGGCAGGCAGGAGAGGTTTGTGTAAGGGGTCCAAACGTGATTAAAGGTAGGAGACATTTCTCATCGATCATCATCTGGGGGTTATAATTTTCCTAAATGAGTTCTCATTAGGGTACCACAACAATGAGAAGGCTACTCTAGAGTCCTTTTTCGATGACCCAACGTCACCGTCAGCTCCTAAATGGTTCCGTACAGGCGATTTGGGGTACATTGATGAAATGGGATTCCTGTTCCTTGTCGGCCGTATCAAGGAACAGATTAATCGAGGTGGGGAAAAGATTAGTCCCCTTGAAATCGACCAGGTGCGTTTCTTGTTCCAATACGGTCGCTTTTACCCCCTTTTGCTCAAATCTCACCTCGTAGGTCCTACTTCAACATCGTGCCGTAAGCGAAGCGGTCGCCTTCCCCGTTCCCTCACAAATCTATGGCCAGGAAATCGAGGCAGCCATCGTACCCAAAGATGAATACAAGGGCAAAGTGAAAGAAGCTGACTTGCTGGCTCATGCCAAAAAGAGCTTGGCAACCTTTAAAATTCCACGTAAAATTCACATTGTCGATAGTGTACCAAAGACGGCGACTGGCAAAGTGCAGAGGAGGCATGTTGCTGAAGTCTTGGGTCCCAAGGCAAAGTTGTAGAGATGGCGCGGAAATCGTTTAGATATCCTAGTACCCCCCTACTTGTTACATTTTTGTACTTAACTGCTAAAAGAGACGCAGTGCAGTCGTAGACCTGCAGAATTAACAATCTCTCATTTAACTGGGAACCATACAATGTTATTATCAGAAAAAAAATGTCGTCTTCACTTCAAACTGCTACAGAACATACTATGCTGAAAATTCAATATCAAACCTATACGAAAAACGTTCCAACAAAAAAAGCATGTAAAGAAAAAAAAAGAAAACGATACGAGCCCTGCTAAACAATCATGTAAACTACTCGTCCCATATCCACTATCTTAGACTACGCACACATACAGAAAAGGGAAAAAAGACAAGCAAAAGAACAATAACTATACACCATATCAAATGTCCAAGAAGGACCGTTCCTCAATATCCAAATTCAAGCTCAACCGCGGCGGCTCATGGTCCCCAGATGAGGAAGAGACTCTTGTCGTGTTTATGAGGGACGTCGGGGTCGGTGGTGGTATGGTAGTCGTAACAGAGCCGGATTGAGAGGGCGCGGGAAGAGGAGGCAAATTAAGAGTGCTTGAGGCAGAAGAGGAGGACGGGCTGTGCTGTGAGCGCTGAAGAGGGGTTGAGGTTGACGATGCTGATCCTCGACGAGGCGAAGGGTCCACACCGGATGATACGCTGGTGGTGTTGACTGGGTAATAACCCAATGTATCAACGTGCATGTTCTCGCAGAGGTCGTTGAGGTACATAGATGGAAGAATATGACCACGACGACGGTCGAGTTTGGATTTGGTGTGGCGAAGTCGGCCTCCAGAAGGCACCGCGGGGTGGCCAGTGGTATTCCCGCCCTCCTCCGGGTGCAAGTCCGTTGCTTGTTGATTAGGTAGATCGGCGGCCTCTGGTAGGGATGTCGGTTCATTTTCCGTATGCGGGATTTCCTTGTCAACCCCTACAGTTGACCCATCCGCAGACCCAACTACACCACAATCAGAAGCAACATCATTCTGATTAGACTCTGTCCCACCAACCACAATGTTGCTCGTAATATCCTCCTCATCATCTGCAACCACCAAGTCTTGCAAATGCTCAAGATCACCATACTCCACGACTTCCTCCACTTCTTCATACTCAATTGGACCAAAGACCCAGTCAACCTGTTCGATCAGAGTCTCAACAACGGTGCATTGAAACGGCATGTCTTCGATAATTCGCGCCATCGAGTCAAGTGCAGGTGGAGGTCGTAACAGGGTCGGTCCAAAAATGATGGATAGGTTACGCACAGACATGCGATTCTTCTCGGATTTGGAAGCAACGCGGTTCAAATGCTCGCATATAAACTTTAGAGTCGCGAAATGGTTAGCTGGGAGGGAATGGACAAGGTCTTGTATGGCAATCATTCGGGATCGCCAGTCGCCAATCTCTGTAGAGTACACAAAAGTCAACAGGTGCTTATGGTGAAGGGGAAGTATGGATTCACTTACGAGTGGCCGAAATGAAATCTTCGTAAGCATCAAAGGTGCAGATTGGTAACTTCTTGGATCCCAAGCCGTCTCTCAAAAAGCCCTTGATCACCCCAGTCACAACGTGTATGTCATTGTCGTACAACGATGGGCCAGACAATCCAGCTATGCCTGGAGGGATACTAGAGGTAGATAGCCGACGTGCTCGAGACGCGCGACGCATCTCAAAAAGAGAAGGTCCGAAATCAACGCTAGATCGCGCAGAGGAGACGGTTTCGGCAAGTGACAGTCTTGACGATCTGTGCGGTAGACTGGGTATCTTTTCAGCTGCGGCCACAATCTCAGCCGTCACCATAGCAGACAGAGGCGAAGACAACGGCAGTGTGGTGGGCGGCGCTTGAAGATACACATTGGATGGGTTAATCATCAATAGGCGTCGTAGCCGCTCAACACTGGCAGCGCTTCCAGATATCCGATAAAGTCCTTCGGTTTCCATTCCTGTTTAGCATGGTTATGAGCAATCAGTCATTCAGAAGCCAAAATAGGTCGTATCATACCAATATCTTCAACCAACGCAATGCACTTCCTCAGTTCCAGAGGCACACGCCCTTGCCCATCACGTACTGCGCTCCCGATTGTTCCGCGATCGCTAGCCATGGTACCAGAAGACGGCGGCCGCGACTTACCAACACGCCGTCTTACTGTTGACGCCCTTGAAGACACAGTAGCTGTGCGCTTTAAGATGTCTGCCGCAGGGGATATGGCAGCGAGGCTTTCCTTCTCCTTCGGAGTAAAGAGGCTTTTGTTGAAAAAAGGGAAGAATAGTCTCGACGTGGAGACGCTAGGCTGCTGATCCAGATCTGAAGCCGGTGGATGTATTTTCTGGGGTTGTTGCTGGTGTACACCAGTCGAATCGCTTGCAGTAACCGCAATAGGGGCCGATATTACAAAAGAGCTTGAAGAGGCCTTGTGGAATTTGCTTTTGTCTTTTCCTTCCCGTTTTCTCTCCTTTTCGCGATCTTTCTTACTGGCCACCACATTAGACCCTGGATCTTTCTCCTCGCCCTTATGACTTTTCTTTTTATGGACGTTGGTTCGAGGTGCCTTCTCACCCTTTCGGCGATCATCTTTCCTCCTGGCATCGGAGTCATTCACTGATGGTTCGGACGAAGGGACCAACTCCTTTTCGCCAGCCACCGACAATGGTTTCATATCCAGCTTAGAACGGGATGGCGGGCTTCCCGAAATTGGCCCGCTGATAGCGGCGGCGTTCTTTACAAGCATTTCCGGCGATACCTCAAGCTTTGTGAAGTTGGTCGGGCCCGAAATTACGGGTTTTGCACGTGCGGGTTCTTTCTCCTTTTCAAACGTCATCTTCCACTTATTAGAGATCAACTTTGCAAACGACTTGTTACCAGGCGCAGGAACGCTTGGATGAGAGGCACGAACGGACGCATCCGCAGCTACAGTGTTTAGAATCAATGGTTCGGCAGCGGGTAGAGAGTCCGTCAGTGTAGGTGGCAGCGGACTATTCAGCAAGGCTGATGAAGGGAATGATGCGGGGCTTGACGGTCCCTTTTGGCGCTCGTCCCGGGCCACTGAGTCAAGCGGTTCCGGGAGCTCTTCAACAGACGGTGATCTTTGATTCCCGGAGTTTTCTTTTAACGATTGTGCACTTTCAGAGCTCTTTATACTAGATATGGAGCTATTTTCTTTGAAAATCATCTGAACAGGTAGCGGACCAGCTCGTTTCTCATGGTGTATGCTCTCCGGTCGTTTATCTCCGGGTTCAGCATTCTCAACAAGCGATGGGCTCAATGATACCCTTTCAGGGTCATACGACGGTGGTTGAAAATCGCTGACAGTGCGGATGGCTGTCATCCATTCCTGAATCTCTTGGCGACGCGCGTGTGTATCACGCATCGTGGAGTTCACGGTAGAGACAGTGAGCTCATTGTGATCTAGTAGGATATCTTCGTGCAGAACGATATCCAGCAAAACTTGATCGCATTTCGCGCCAGCCAGACCCGCTTCGTGATGCCGTTCAACCGGGGTGGTGCTAAGGACAAGATGCGAATTCACATGACATGAACTCGTACTGACAAAAGAGGACGAGTTGCCCGGTGAGGTCATCGCCCCTGTCCTTGCTTGTGGCACAGGTTCCACTAAAGCCTTGTGAAGCGGTAGATAGTGAACTAGAGTACGCTAATAAAGTATAAAATGAGTTACAGGTCATCAAGCTAATAACCAAATTTGCATAGTTACCGGTGCGTCCTTGAGAGCATCGGGTGTGAGATTTGCCAGAATGGTCCTCTGCTGTTCATTGGATGGTCGTCGCACATCATCCACAGATGACCTCTCGTTGCGGAAGAGCTTCGCAGCCAAGTCAGCGGATGACTTTCTCGCAGGATCTGATCTTGCTTTCTTCCCCAACGTATTAAAAAGCTGCGCGGGTACCGTGAAGAAATATGAGAATCTCTGTTTCGCCATCCCATTTTAAACAAGAATATACCTTCGTAAAAGGTTTATGCAGAAGTCCATCGCGCCCAGCTGCGGTCACCTGAGATGGCCCTTTTGCCGGAACAGCCGATTTCGCAGGCAGGGGGGGAGCTCCTGTTCCAGGATTCACTGGCGACGAATTTTGTCGGGGAGGCTCCTGCAACACGTAGAACATCAAATACCGCCCCCTAACTTCGGCGTAAAACAAATTCCATTCGTCATCTTCTGTAGAGTAAGCGGGTCTCGATTCGACGTAGTCGCCAGGCCCTCTGGTTCTGCGCTTCCCTTTCAAAAGCGTCCCCAAGGAGCGGCCCACCATTCTGACAGCTGATGGTCGATCCAAACTTCGAAGGTGCATCGATGCCGAAGATGATGCAAGCACCTCTTTTCGAAGAAGAAGGCCACATTTAAGAACGGGCCACTGTAAAGAGAGTGTTCGGAGCATACTGGCTGCTTCAGGATGAACTATTATCTCATGAACCTTAAATATAGCCAGCTTTAGTACACGCAAGAAGAGGAGAAGCTATCGCACATACATTCAAAGGTGGTAGCTTGGGCAGAGCGGTAATGGACTGGCGAACGGAAGAACTGTTCATTTGAGATTCTGGCTGATAATTGGAATCATTCAATGTTGCTGTGCTAGGCTGCCGGGTCACCATCGATACATCGTTTGCAATCACTGAACTGGGAGCTTTCTCCTCGGCACCAGGACTCGCATTATTAGCAACTTCTTCGTAAGCCGGAATTGGGAAGAGCTCAGAGTCCTTTGTCCGCGTGGGTAAGGAGGACGGCGCGGTAACGGCGGTGAGCTTTGATGAAGGAAGCAGGTCAATAGCGATAGACTTGTCTTGCATCTGCTCGGCACCACTTATGATAATGCTGTTCTTGGCAGCAAAAGGTTTGTCAGGCGACTTTATGGATTTGACCGAGCTGACCGAATAGCGGCTGGACAGGCTGATAGACAGTACTGAAACGTCGTCCGTGACAGTTCCATCTGTCCCGCTCGATGACACTATTATTGCAGACATCCGCTTCTTTTCTTTCCTCCCTTTACCAGCTTCTTCAATGTGGAAAAAGGATAATTGAGAATGCGGTATTGTAATACTCAGCGTTGCTTGGGATTCTGCGTCTTCCAATTCAACTTCGGTTTGTGTGCCAGTGTCTACTACCCGCTTAGCCTCTGCCGTATGCGTCATTGCGGATTCGTGAATAGGAGACGTCGGAGAAGTAGTGGAACTCATCGTGCAGCGTCAACGCAAGTCAATGTTCTTGTAGGTACGACGCTTGGAAATAATAATGCGTTCGTTTCGACTACAGCTTATGGCCACCTCGGTCATAGCATTCTCCTGGTTCAAACCGGGCGACAGATAATCAATCGACCTTCTAGCTGTCTGCAAGGCACGCAAGGGATGAGATCCAATCTCCAACGCCTCCTTCCAATCCCAAAGACCTTTAAGAACGTCCAAGACTATGGAACAACGATGGCTTTTGGCTGCTTTTGTGAAAACGTCGCTCGCGCCACTGTTCCTACAATTAGGCGTGGACAGCAGGTAACGGAATGAATTGAAGCTAGCTGTCGACGCTGACAGGTCCACAAAATGACCGTCCTTCTCTTGGACGATGAGTTGGGGGTACCCGTTCCACTGCGTATCACGGTTTAGGTCCACGCCCAGGAGCCCCCGGTGCCCTGTCGATGCGGGATGCCTAAAGAGATGTGAAAGAAAAAGGAGAGAAAAAAGGTCCTATTTGCCCGCCACTTGCGAGTAGTTTTGCTTTCCAAACCCCAACTTGCCAGCTGAGTCACGCGCCGTTCATCTGAAAAATTACTGGGTCGGGAGCTATAAAATAACCATTTGACTTTATTACTACTAGAGTGTGCGCTGGGTTTAAGCCAATATGTGATTCTGTTGGAGGATTCTAGTCAAGGCTTTTCGCTGTCGTTTTGAGATTCTTATAGCAAAAGGAAACGATACAGGCTTCATCATTGCGCACAGTTAAGGTTTGTTGTCCAAATTTCTAATCATCCCTTTCACAGCCTCGCACCATTGTCAGCGTTTCCTCTGTTTGAGTACGAATCATGCAACAGAAAGTGGGATCACTTTGGTAACTTGTTCATCGCTCGTGCAAAAGATGTGTTTAATGTTGCAGTCTTTTGTAGCTCTTCATCACCGTTCATGCTGTGCAAAATGACACCTTCTTGACTTGATCTAATGTTTGTATTTCAATCTCACATCCCTGTGGCTTGACGAGATCGGAACACACACGATCGGGTTGAGCATGTCAATCATTTTTGCTTTGTTTTCCGCTTCTAACTTGATGGCTCTTGTATGTCGCCTCGTCACTACTAGATATGTAAGTTTTGAACCCGTATTGTACGGACATCTGGTGTCGTTTGTGCTATATATGAGTACTGTGTAGTTATCTATGAGTTCCAGCCACATATACAAATCTACCTTTAGATATTCTAAGGTACTCTATCCTCAAAAAAAACATCCCTTACGCTTATTTACTTTGGACCTGTCCCCCGGCGATTGCAAGCTTATCCAGCTCCTCCGCTACCTCCTCATCATACTGCACATACTCCGGGTTCACCACAAACGCTGACTCGCCTCGTGACAATTTTGGTTTGCCAAATTTCTTGTCGCCGCTCCATTGTCCACGTCCAATCAGTATTCTTCTCGCCTCCTCAACAATATCGAGAGCATTTTTCACAACCGATACAGGGTGCCCTTTCCGATTTAAGATTCGCAGGACGTTGTGCTCCACCCTTGGCGCACGCTCCTTTGCGTATTGGCTGGTTACACCGAGAATCCATTCTCCAAATCGCCGTAGTCCAAGTTTCGAAATAGATTCGAGACTTGCAAACATTTGGAAAACATGGACTTGATCTTCGTAAAGTTCAAGTTGAATAGCACTTGTGGGAAACTTCTCTTCCACAAAAGTTATTATTTCGTCCCGTAGTTTCTCTGCATCTCCGCATTGAATGATCATCGGCGGGAGTGGGCGGTTAGGATTTTCTTTTGCATACAGAGGCGAAACTAGTGGATGATCCAAGAAGGAATTGTGGGACACATAGTAGTGGGAACGCTCGGGATTAATGTATTTTGGATCGTTGGAACCGTCCGGCAGATAATCATAAGGATTATTGAGTCGCCATGAGGGCATAGAGTGTGTTAAATCCATCCAAGGTGACATGAGCGCAGCAGCACCCGGCATCGGAAACTGTCGGCCATTGTCCCGAAGCCATAGGATAGCTGACAGTGCAAGACCACCACCAGCAGAATCACCCATGAATGTAATCTGTTCAGGGCGGTATTTGGGTGCACCCGTATGAGGCGGTGGATCGATAAGGAAAAGATAGGCCGACAAAACATCGCTCAGCGGTACGGGAAAGGTGGCCTCTGGCGCCAGGCGGTAGTCAATTGCTACATCAAGATCGAGTAAGAGACTAAAACCCAGCTTTTACACCGAATAAAGTAGTAAACTTTATAAATACTGACGTACCCAGTAATCTTGCCTTTGCATACTTTGCTAGTCGGTAAGTGATTCCCCTGTGTGTTTTCCTTGAGCATATGAAATACGCCCCGCCGTGCACATAAAGAATCACTCGATCCGCTGCTGATTTATCGTTCTTAATTGGCTCCCAGTCTACCCACTCTGCCTTGATCGCACCCTCAGCATCCTTTTCAGCCATTCCTTCCGGAAGGACATCTTTTCTACGTGGAATATATATTTTTGAGAGCTTTACTCGCAGTGGAACGGGAGTCGCGGCTTTATCAGTGAGAAGGCGGGCTCGCCGAAGAGAGTTTTTGTTCGCTTCTAGTGTTCCACGCAAAACCCCGAGTGTCATGGTCTTTCAAGTTTAGTGGAGGGGCAAAAGTTATTGTTAGTATCACTACATTATCAAAGATATTCGTGGCCACATACAAAAGTTCTGCTCCATGTCGGCAATGGGGAACGCAACGGTCGTGATCGCTGATCGAGTTCAAAGGCTTCTCTATCAATCTGAGTGGACGACCTCATGCTGCTGCTCTTGCTTGGGGAGGAGTGGGGGGGAAGAACCCCCAGCCTGATATGTTATGACCTCAACAGCGGTCGGCCTGTTGTACCCAAATTGTCGTATTAACGCGGCTTATGCAAAAATCTAATTAACATACAGTTTTTGGGTTATCGACCCACACACTTGTCCACACCATTGGACCTACATGAACGGCCATTGTCGATTCTCATCTTAACAGCAACAACACCAAAGAGGGGCAAGAGATTTACTTTGCGGACACTGGGACACTGGGGATCCGCAACTTTGGCCGTAGGGGAAGTTATCAGTAGACTCCCAGCGGAACCATGACACCTTTGGGAGACTACCTAGCCAAAGTCGCAAATGCAGTTGGGACTGAAAATGGCGAAGCACTTGCGACTTTGACGGATTTGCTTATGCCTGAGGAATGGGTCTCCCAGCTATTACCAGAACTCTCAGAGGTGGATAGATAAATTGAGTTTCTATCACAGATCGGTTTCGCTCATCTTTTGTTTAACAGGGCGAGTTTTCAACAATAGAAGCACGAGTATCTTCAGCGGTGCCCGCTCCCCTTGATTCCTACGTCTCGGCATTCCTAGGCTACCTACAAACCGCCGACCCCCGAGACTTTTACGATGCCGCCGCTGCGGTATTCGCGTGAGTCTCAAAAACGGAGGCTTTTTTGGATGAGAAAAATGTGCTCAAGGCGGATATCCCTACGTAGGCAATTTTGCAACCCAGTGTTTTCACGACATTGGCATATCCCGGTCCTGAAGCGGCTCTGCGGAAGTATGATTTTTCTGGCCCTACAAAGGGATATGTACCTGAAAAGTTTGGGCAAGAAGGGAACAAGTGCCGTAAATTTGCAGAATCGGTTTTCGGTGCTAATGTCATTGATATTGGTGGATCGGTATGTCATTGCGGTTGAGAGGGGGCGGTCCTTTCGCGCGACATTTATTGACTAGCCGCTAGACCCGGATTTGCTGAGACAAAAGCAGCCGCTCTCTTAGTGGCCAATACCGCCCTCAGATTTTATATCAAAATAAACGAATGGCAACTGTGCACCAAGCTGGTTCGTCAGATCGATCAACGAAGGCTTGATCTAACAGCTTATTCGATGAGTCAACGAGTTACATACCATTTCCTGGTTGGGCGACTGAAACTGTATTATCATAAATTTCGCGCGGTAGGTAGACGGCACCTCTTTAGATATATTCGTTTCTGATGTCGTTACTTTTAGGCAGAGCGACATTTATCGTTTGCATTGGAACATTGTCATGCACGGGCAGGAGCAAATCGATGGTGGGTAATTTGTGCAACTAGTCGTGGCATGCCAATCTGACCATATTTGAATTCATCAGCCGTATATTCTCTCTTCTTGTGGTCGCCAGAATGATTCGAGGGATGATCCCACGCACCTACCTTCTCGAGAAGTTTCAACTGGACCAATCGTTTGGGCCACTGATTGCGGCCTACAAAAGAGGCCATCTCGCCGAGTACGACCGATTATTGGAGAAGAATGCGAGCTTTTTTGCGAGTTTGGGAGTTTTGTATATTTTGGAGCATCGAACGCGTATTATTATGTACAGAAACCTGTTTCGAAGTGTGTACGTACACTTGGGCTGTGTCTTCGAAGTGGGCCGCCGGCTGATGTCACTACGGTTTCTAGGTTACTGCTGTCAAGAGAAGGGAAACCCGATGCTGCCATGACCCAACTTGATTATGCTCAGCTTCTACGTGCCTGTGTATTTGCCGGTGTGCAGGATATGAACATGGCTAGTCTCGAGAGCATTGTGGTGGCCCTGATCGCCCAGGTAAGGCAGTACAAGTTCCGCTTGCTCTGTCTACGAAAAATCTCAATGGACAACTCTACAGGGATATATGAAAGGATACACGCTGCCGGCAAGAAAATTAGTGTAAGCGCAAAGCAAACATCATTGTCATGTATATTGTGTTCATCCCAATGTGAAAATAGGGTTGTATCGCGGAACAATCCATTTCCGGTTCCCTATCAGTTGGCGGAATTGCGCAAGGCCAGAGCAAAAACGAAGCGTGTCGTAAACCCACCTCGAAGACCATCACGACGGCTTTCTATGGGAGGAATGTGAAGAGGGATTGACCACTCATGGTTACGAAAGACAAAACCAGAGAAATTTGGCTCATCAGCCTGCGCTAGCCACGGAAGCGACAGGATTGCCTGACTCAGCTAACAATGGTCAATGAACCCGACATCTATATGATGAAGTTCCCCCTCAGAAGGGCACTTTCTCTAGCGGGTGTCCTCCAAATGAAAATCAAAATCTATTTATTTATTTATTCTTCAAGACGTTTTCAACTTTGTCCTTTGCTTGCGCAGCGGTATCCTGTGCCGCATTTGCGATTGTTTTTGCCTGGGTCGTTAGCGGAGCGTTTTTAAGCGACTGCCTGTAGCTATGTCACAGGGAGGCAAAACTGTCAATCCACACCTGGCAGTGAATATAGAAATTAAAAACACTTACTCGTAGATTCGATACAATTGATACAATCCAGTGGCTCCGACGAATACGTTGACGCTGAATAAGCTCCAATTCTTGGGTGTAATAACAAGCGAATACCGGGACCAGATAACCCCTGTCGCCGCAAGGGCCACAGTTTGCATCACAGAAAGCTTTTCAGCAGGACGTTGCAAGTCTCCCAAGCCAGCAATGACGAGACCCTAAGTGGGTTTTGGTCAGATCCTTGAAGCGCAACGCATATATAACAGCAATACGAATATTTACCCATTTCATAGCAGGTGCCCAGAAGTGGATTGTCTTCGGACCTGTGCAAGCAATCAAAAACTTGGGTTTAGCCACAATAAAAACAATCTCCTTTTCCAAACAGCCTCACTCGAGCTAAAATGGATTGCATCATCCGGTCATTTCAGAAGCACACGACATACCTGCGGGATGGTTCCAAAACCGCGCAAACGCGGACCCAGTGTGAGCTGATGCAGCAGCCATTGTCGTTCAAACAAAAAGTCTAATCCAGAGAGTTGAGGTGACTGGTATAAATAGATTCGAAGGTAAGAGCTTCTTGTACTGTGAACCTACGCCTGTGATGGCCCTTAAAATCCGTGATGACAGCAGTTGTCCCTTTGTGGATATCATCATCACTGATCGCAGTTGATTTCGGTGGCTGTGTCAGTTTATTTGTTGCCCTGGAAGTGTTGACGGACATGCTGACGTTTGCTCCGCGCGGTAATTCCACCTCTGCACCCCCTCCACAATGGAATGCCTCCAGAGATACGTCGGCAAACAAGCGGCCCACCGAATTTGGACAAGGCCTCAACCCAAGAGAAAATGCCTCAGTCTGTGTACACCGTTCATCCCCCAAGTTCGATATACAACGCATTCCTCGTCAACACCAGGACGCTTTTGCCCCTATCAAACGCTTGATGTTCCCAAAACTGCCACACTTGCGCAAATCAAAAAAGCTTACTATAAGCGAGTATTCGACCTGCATCCCGATCGACAAGTTGCTTCACATCTAGGAAGTAGTTCACATAACCGTAAAAAGGAGCCGCGGAGAGCAGATCCTGTCGAAAAGGAACAATTCCTTCGTGTAGTCAAAGCCTATGAGATTTTGAGTGATAAAAAGAGGCGAAATGAGTGGGATTCGACAGGCTCGTTTACATCGGAGCATGTAACGGGGACATCGTCTAGGCCGAGAAGCGGATTCGGGCCAGGAACTGATTTCGATCCATATGGCGGCTACCGTTGGCAATCACCGCGTGGATGGCAATCAACGGACGATGATTACTTTACATACTATTACGCTAATGTTGCATCCAATACCGGCCCCCGGTACATGTCAAATGGTCGGATGGCTTCCATCATTGTACTTGTCGCTGTTTTGTCAGGTGTGATTGTGTTCCTGCATGTGAAACGTATGCGACGATATTTGCGGGAACATATGGATGCCAAGGATGCGGCATTGCAGCAATTCTATGATGCTAGAGTCCAAAAAGCGCGAGAAAACGGATTCGATAAGCAGATCGAGGGCTTGAAGGGACGTGCAGCTGCCATTGAACTGGCAGAAGAAAAAGAGGGACGGACTACTCTACCGGTAGGCCGAGATGCAAGACGAACGGGAATATGGGAAAGAGACGAGGTTCCAGACTATTCAGCAGGCGATAGGACGTTAAATATTAATTCGGAATGTATTTCAGAGACTTAAAACTGAGCTGGTCTCTGTTTTACAATTACTGGGCTTGATACTACCTGCTACAATCGCATGCAGAGTGTCTTATGTGGAACCATTGCAGAAGCCAAACATAAACCGCAAATCTGCCTTAGTCTCGCCATATATTGAATCAATCTAGAGTGTAAGATCTATGATCGAAGCCATGGAAGCTTCTCCATGTCGACATTTCCTCCAGAAAATACAATACCCACGTTATTTAATCCATCCAATGACTTGAACTCCTCATCAAACAGCGCAACAGCAGCCGGTACCGCTGCGCTAGGTTCAACAATAATCTTCATTCGTTCCCATATCAGCCTCGTTGCCTTGATGATATTGTCCTCCGTTACGGTCCGTACGTCTTCCACATTGTCTCGAATAATTGGCCATGTCAGGGATCCCAAACTCGTCAGCAAGCCATCCGCAATAGACTTGGGAGCAACGGACGGGACAAAAGTTTTGGACTGAAAGGATTGGGCACAGTCATTTGCGCCCAATGGTTCAGCAGCAAAAATGCGAATATTCGGATTGATTGCCTTTGCGGCGGTAATACACCCCGATAGCATTCCTCCACCTCCCACTGGTACAATCAATGCATCAAGAGGATGCCCCAATTCCTCAGCCTGCTTCAAAAACTCCAGTGCGAGAGTCCCCTGTCCACTGATCACATCCGGGTGATTATAAGGATGGATAAACGTCGCTCCAGTCTCGTTGATAACCTTGGCAGCTGTGTCCTCTCTCGCCTGCAAAGTCGGTACGCATTCAACAACAGTAGCTCCATACCCTTTAACGGCGTCCTTCTTCACTTGTGGCGCGCTGCTCGGCATGACTACATATGCAGGTATGCCATTCAATTTTGCTGCCAACGCAACCGCCTGCCCATGGTTCCCTGACGAATGCGTGACAATCCCTTTCGCAGCGAGTTCAGGTGTCTCCTGACATAACCGTGAGACCGCATTGAACGCACCGCGGAACTTGAAAGCGCCGACTCGTTGAAAGTTCTCGCATTTGAAGAGAAGTGTGCGTGGCGCATTAGTTGAGGGATCTCTTCCAAAGAGCGACGATAGGGTAGTCGAGGTCAGGACGGCAGTCTTGTGAGCATGTCCTTGTATCCGTTCAGCAGCTGCCGTTACCGTTCGCAAGGAGATCTCTTCTTTGACAGTCATGGTGGATCGCTACGAGGGTGCGGCACGACACCCTCGTTACCGACATGACACATTGCCTGTGGTGGACAAAACCAGTAGCATATCTGCCGCGTGTCGCCATTAATCACGTGTATAATACGATATGGACATTGGAAAAAGGTTGGAAGACAGCAACGTTACCTGCACAGATAATGCCCATCGGCAGGTCATCACATTGGAGTTGTGCAGTGACCCTTCAGCACTGATTCAAATGATGGAGCCGTAATCGGGCTGACAATTTCAACCGTCTCGCGAGGCCTTCACCACTTGCAACTAGGGTCAGATGGTAAACGGTACACAGGCAAAAGACGCGCCAACACTACACCGTGCGTTAAGCACAGTGAGTGATACTGGCTAATTACGCCGGTGTGTTAGAGGCATATAGTTCATACAGGATTCGTAATACTGCGACTAGTTAATATAATTTGGGAATCTCGAAATATGCAAGTATGCACAGTCTATAACAACCTAATTACACTACCGATATCGGTATACCTCATCCCGCCGCCAGGGTTTCAATCATGCGTGTCCTCCAATTTACAGACTCTGTCATTTCAAAATGAACATTCTCTGGTGAAAGGGTAGGATCTAATTCTAAAGCTAGCTGCTGAATGCGACTACCCATGATTTGCCCACATCCCAGAAATGACAGAACCGTTATGTTAGGACAAGCAACCACGAGACTGTACACAGCCTGCGGCGTAATGTTCATGTTCATACTCATGTAGAGCTTGCGAAGGCCAGTCGTATGGGCGCTAAGACTCAGGAGGGTCCAATCCGTGATACCCGTCCCGATTCCGAGCATTTTAACTTCTTTGAGGTTTGGACATGCGGTAGCAATGTCCTCTAGCTCGTCGTCTGTAATGTCTTCGATAAAGCTTATGTCAAGAGATGTCAGGTGAGGGGTACTTTGGACAAAGCCTGCAATGTTGGCCCCCGTCAGACCGGAGCTTCCGTTGAGGGAGAGCTTAAGCAAATTACTGCTGTGCGGCGCGAGACGCGCAAGCGCACCACCACTGAGTCGAGGACAGCGAATTAGGCTGAGCTCCCGGAGGTTCATCGTCGGTAGTGTGTTCAAACGCCGAAATGGATTCTCATTCAGCGTGTTGTCTGAATTCAAGAAGGTGTGAGGACTAAACGAGTCTCAACACTATCTGGTTTGCCACTTACTCCAGTCAATAACCAGACTCTCTAGCGTGGCATGACACTTATCAAAGATTGCCGCTAAAACGTCATTCATGTCTGAAAGCTCAAAAATACCGCCGAGATTAAGGACTCGTAATGGCGCCCGACAAACAACGAACGCAGGGTGTAAACTACGCATCATGGTACAATGTGCCAGTGAAAGCTCTTCCAGATGATCAAGATTTTCCAAAAGGAGTCCCATCGGGTCTCCAGTTACCTGCCCACAACCGTGTAGATTCAGCCGCTTCAGTTTCGTGCAGTTTATCAGCTGCATTACGATCGTATCCGTAACCTGCGTGGGAAATATAGACATGAGCCACCACCTTCGATACGAGCAAACGGGAGTCACAGGTGCTTACCCACAGGCAATTGGTCAGGTTTAGTGACTCTAGCTCTCGGCAGTGCATGATGAGCTTTTCGAAGTTTAGTTTCGGCTACCAGACCAAGCGTTACGCACACGAGATTAATATACTGAAAGAGAATAGCCTGCATGTGCCAACAGTACAACAATATACCTCTGCATTATATATTGTCATTCGGGACAAGTCGATCTCGCGAATTAGGTGAAACAGAGAACTAAAGTTCATTAACGGTGACAGGACGAATCCGCGTTGGGCCACATTGATGACGATTTGTCGTATTGTGTCCGACTGAGTCGGGGCTATGCATCGCCATATCTTTGGTACTAACACTCGGTACCAGAATCGGCAGACCTGATTGTGTTCGTCGATAAGACTGGTGGGCATCTTGCACATGTAGCTGAGAGTGACATTCATACCTGACTAGCAGAAACCCAGTCCTCACGAGCTTCCAAGGAAGTGACAATCTGCTCTGCCAATTCGGCCGGAAGAGACGAGAACGAAACTGGTGTTCGCTTCACTTCCATGTCGTCGGCGGTGATGCAAAACTTTATTCAAGCAACTGAACGACATGCTTCCAGAAGCAGGTCACGAGACTCTAAAAGCCACGTATGGGCTTTTCGATGAGACATGCTGTGGAGCAATAATTGGACTCTTAGATTGGCCAAATCGGCTGCCTTCCCCGTCGACCAAATTGCTTGAATGTACGCACAGCACCTTGAAATACCGCCTAACGTTTTCTCGTTACCGGTAAGGATAAGGTGAGGGTGGGTAAGTTAAGGTGAGGGTTAGGCTACCACCCTCACGTTAACTAAACCTTCCCCAACTTAACTAGGTTGGCTGTTTGTAGGACGGATGATAATATATGGTCCCTTCTACACATGCAACCAGGATTGAAACATGATGCTGCTCTAGGGGACCTCACGTCTTACTTTCGGGCACTGGGAATCGTGGCAATGCAATGCTAAAATGTTGCGAGAGCCATACTTAAAGTGCCCACCAGATCAATGGTCTTTCTTACTCAAAGCTCGGTACCAAACATAACAACCAGACACGGAGGTTTGAGTAGAAAGAGAATAGAGAAGGAACCCGTCAGCTGTATTCTGTTTTCTTTGTCCGCATTACGAATTTGGATAGATAACGCAGTGTTTACACATCATTCGGGCTCCATGTAGGGGATGGAGGGTGTTACAATATATAGGAGGACGTTCGAGACGAGACGCAAACTAAAGACAAGTGCCTTCAAGAGACGACAATGTTCCTAGAAAAACGACATGCTCATCTGTTGAGAGGCACTGTCCTTGTTCACCATCGTCATCAACTGTAAACGAAAAATCGACAAGAAAGAAAACGGCAGAGGGCCTTTTATAAGGTGACGTTGTCATAGCAACAGAACAGTTGGCTTAGTCCATTATGCCCGACATGAAAGCTTCCCATTATGTGCTGGTCACAAAGTGCTATTACTTTATCTATATCAGAGTTTATCTATTCTTGATATTCACTTTTAAAGATAACGGATGTTAAGTACACTGGGCCCTTGATTTAGATATGTTCTTTAACCATGATCTACGCGTCTAGCCATCCGTAAACCCATGTAAATCGCCACAGTACGAACAAACACTCTTCGATCGCCTTTGCCTTATCGACCTATGAAATTCATGGTAATCTCGTACGCAACGAATGTAGCAGCATTGACGGGTCCAGCACGGAACATGCAAGCCCAGAATCCTAGGAATGTAATATATCAGCATGCTGCAATAATTTCCAACTTTCAAATTATTAAAAGATACCTCTGTAAAATCCGGCAAGTCCGTCTTGGGCGAGAGTCTTCCTAGCACAGTCCAACATCCCCTTGTATTGCCGTGTCGACAGGGCGAATCCATCCGTCTGAATCTTGGACTTGATCACATCCACCGGGTATACTGAAATCCATAAAGCATATCCTGCCATAGCACCATACAAGCACTGCTTCCAGGTTTCAATCTGATCCCTCCTCTTCCCCTCACTTTTCATCGTCCTTTGCATCAGCCATTCATACGTGGCGAAATAGGCACCGTATCCAAAAAACTCTCGAACCATCGTCACCGCCTGACCCTTGTACAACGCGTTCACACCATGTTCACCGGCAACTTTACGCGCAAAATCGAGTGGCCCGCTGTATGTCGGCTTCCCACCAGACGTACTGCTTCCTTGAACCTGCAGACGAGTCCGCACGTGCTCAATTGGTCCAGATAGTACCGAGTTCGCGATACCTGATGCGGCCCCAGCCAAGAAAAGTTGTGGCATGGAGAGATGGTCAGGCGTTGCAGAGCCAGCGGATCGGTTGTAGGATGTAAAGGAGCGCTTGACATATTCAAGTGCACCGAATTGAATGGAGACACACCCTCCTACTCCAATGAGGGGTGTTAGTGTGCCCTTGTAGAACCCGCTGAACCCTTCATTTTTGACAATTTTCTTCACACAGTCTCCAATGCCGCTGTAAAGCGGGTTCTCACGAGGTTGTGTCTGGAGGCGGACCTTGACCGTATCGAACGGCTGAAAAAGAAGGGTCATGTCAACATAACACGGCCAGTGCGCAAAAGCATAGATAACCGTCATGACCCACTCATACCTGACCGCTCAAGACTTGCACGATACCTCCCACGCTACCAGCGAACAGCTCTTTGGCCGTTTGCCAGGACTCGCCTGCTTTTTCTGACGTTGCTGGCGAGGCCATTTTGTAGAGGGAGAGGTGAGATCGTTCGCGAGTGTAAAATCCCCAAATCCCGTCTGTCGTGGACTGAAACTGTGCCACTGGCTGCCCTAAGCCTGACCTTTAGTTTAGGGATTCCAAATCAAACCCATGTTCAAGCATTGGTACGGGTTGCTCTGGACAATCTTTCGGGAAATGACAGTGACATATCCATTCTACAAAGAGGTACCAGAAGGTAAAGAGAGAAAAACTACATGTTCATCTTATTTAGATTGAAAGGAAGAGTGGGAAACCAGAACAGCTTGCTGGGCAATCTACAGAAAGTTGGTGTAAACCAGTCACTCACTCGCTGCAAATCCCGGGCAAACAGACCTACCACCACCGCCCATCGTGCACGGTAGCAAGGATCTTCTGGATCTATACGGCCTAAAGTATATTTTTGAGAAACACGCCAAACCGTACAATCCCAGACTCGCTGTGAATGTCCAATCCCTGGATGCAACGTATACACCGTACATTGCTCACCTTCGGGGTATAGCCACTTTTCAACCTTGCATAGGATTTAGAGAGAATTCTCAACCATCTTGCCATTGACAGGCAAGCCGGATACCCGACCAGGGCGATACATCCGCGACCTTTTTGTCCAGCCTCTACCACCAGTTGAAGTGAAACGCATTGATAGAAGTGCTCTCAAAGCAGCATTCAATTTCCCTCCAGGGCCGATACCCAATGTATGTCTTTACCACTGTTCTGAGCCACTACTTTCGCATGGGTCAAAGCCTTACATGAGTAATTACAGGTTGATACCAGCCTCCTTGGCCGGGAAGTCCAACCTCAGAATAGCCACCTAGACAAGGTCAAATTGGAACATGGACCTGACAAACCTCAGAAACGAATATCCCTCAAATTGAACTTTGCAGGTGAATACGCTTGCTGGTTGGCATAGAAAGTCCATCGAAATTCTGACTTGACTGCTTGATAGCTGCACCTCCACCCCTGCCAATCAAAACAGAGGCTGGAGATGATGGCAGAGACAAAAAGGTGGCGCATTCTCGATAGAAAGAATCCCAATGTTTGCGTCAGTACTCACCCTCGTTCAAAATTCAGAAGAAGAAACGAAGGACAGAAGATGGAGATTCAATAGGAGACAAGAAGCCAAAGAAAAAGAAGAAGGTTGTGGAGCAAGAATGGGCTTCACTTATATTTATTTGTATGTTGACATTTTTCACCTCCATTTAGCTTTCGCCTGGCTTTGGCCATCCCCCAGCATCTCCTACCGACCCATCATCTGACATTGACATCCTGAATTAGAGTGCAACTGGATTGCGTTTTTCTTTCTTTCAAAATATAGCTTCTGTACATATAATATTAACATAAGTGAATAAGGAATTTGCAAAGACATGATCCACTTATTTTGAAATGTCGGATTAGTGGGATGCCCACGATAAATTACCTCCCAAGTCTATCTACCATGCTAACGATATCCCTACATCTACACCGATACCCTCCGTCATGCCGCGTTACAATAAAAAGGGTATCAACGCAGTGCGGTCAGGAGAGTATCCACTGACATTTCGCAGATACCTTTATAAAGAGCCACAATTTAGACACTATAACGTACACCATCACGGCCATTTTAAATATAAGCATACGAACCAGAGTCTCGTCTGCACAGCTCTACCCATGAGTTTCAGACAGATGTAAACGACATGCCCGTACACGGTGGGACGATGTACGGTTGCCGCAAATCCTATCCATGCCACAATCTCGAGAAAATAATGCGGACATGTGGTGTACCAGAATAGTCCGCCTCGGGGTATTCGATAAGGCCTATGGACGTTGTATTTTCCTATGCACATCGCATCAACCCAAAGATCTCGTAATGGACTAACAAATGTCAAAGACATACCATGCTTCGGTCTTAGTCTTGCAAGCAGCAGATGATGATAGAAATTCCCTGCTAATCCAAAAATCATCAACGGTACCGGAAAGAACAGCACCACCCAATCACTATCATCCACACTCTTCGTAAACAAAATGGAATAGCAGGAACATGTTGCAACGAAAAGGTTTGCGGCAGTGAGACATGCCACGACTTCCTTGGATATCGAACTGGAATACCGGTGAACAAAGAAGGATTCAAGCGTTCGCTTGGTGTAATTGACAAAATAGAAAGCGTATGTAACGATGTGGTAGGGGTGGTCGAAGGATCCAAATAACCCGTACAAGATCGAGACCCATATCACGACTGAGCCATATACGATGGCCATGCCGATACGAGAGGACAGTTCGGTGGTGTATGACCACCTTGCACGAAACTTTGAATATGGCGCCTAGCGTTGGAAAGAGTTGGTTAAATTAGGGCATAGCGGACGTAGATAAAGCCTGTCCATGCAAAAGCTTGGAATATGACAAGATACGCCCTTGACCTCGTCTACTTTGCACCAAGGAACATGCGGGCACACACAAAGAATCCATACTTTGCCTACTTACATTGAATCGCCCTGTCCATTCCAAATAACAGGCTATAACACCACTCAAGCTAAACACAATACACAGTAGCATCTCAGCGTCCCACCACCCGTCTTGTGCTGCACCACCCGCACCCTCCGCTCTGGTCGACGACGGATACGACCGACGACTGACGCGGCCGCACGCCGCCGTGGCGACGAGCGAGCGTTCGATTACTCCTATCTTTGTCTTTTCAGAACGACGGAGAAAGGGAATGTCTGCCAGACCACAAGATTGGTGTCGGATGGGTGTTGGATCTCGAATGGTTCACTTGAGTCCCTGGGTGTTCTGGCCCCTGTCAAAGCGATTTACACGTGTCTGCTTGGCAGCTCAGATCTTCAAATAACTTTATTCCTTTTAACTTGCTTGTAGGGCGGACTTTGCAACCAAACAAACACTTTGAGGATGCACTACTGAGTACCATCGCATATAAGCTAATAATCTTTCGTCTTTATAGCCTTGCTTCTGGCTAGCTTGACCGTTTCTTCAAGGATTTCATGCTTTCGGAGGCCTCATCCTGCCATGAAATCTAAAGATCTCAGGGAACAAACTAAAATTCTTTAGTTCTTGACAGCTATCACTTCCCTAGCAATCATGTACAAATTCATGTCCGGCGGTATAAGCAATCTTTGTATTCTGGATGAAGGGCTAGCCAAATCCTCCAGACTTTCGAATGCCAAAATAATGATATCATCCCCTTCGAAACCTATTCAGCACCGATTTCCTAGAGAAATAAAAACATAATGGAAAAAAGGAAATCACGCTATCTTTGGCAACTCCTCCCTCTTCCTCTCAGCTGCTCCCCCATCCTCGACATCCTCAATCACTAAATCTTCCAAAGGGCCCGACATTCGATTAGGTCTCGTTGGTGGTCGCCCGCTAGTTTTACCAGGAGGCGGCAAAACAATCTCTTCATGCACACACAAAGAGCTCTCCCTGCGATGCCTCCCCACATGTCCCTCTAGGAGCCTTTCGTATGTCTGAGGATATTGTGCAATATTGCGTAGATACTCCAGATTTTGGCAGCGGGATGCAAAGAACTTTGTGCGGGGATATGTAGGTGGCTGGTCTTCGATCCGTTGCAAAATGGTCTTGGGGATGCACAATTATTAGACATGTCAAACGTTTATGAATGCTGAACAATTCCCTACCATGTTTTGAACCTCAATCGCTTTCAAATCCCTTTTGCGTTTAGGCGCATGCAGTGACCTCGTGCTACCACTACTGTTCACTGAATTTGCACTTCCCCGGTGGGATGAGACTCGCTGGGAATTCTTCAAATCGGACACTTGGGATGGATTATCCAACTGGAAGGCAATACGGTCAAGCAAAATGTGGTTGTTCCGTTCGATTTCCTGTAGCCTTTCTGTAAATAATACGATTTAGTACAGAGCAAAAGGCTTGAGATGCGTTGCGGCGAATGATTGCACACACCTTGCTCAACCTGAACCCTCTTCAGTCGCACTTCCAAATGCGGCCATACCCGAGGTGGACGACTATCAATTGTGGATTTGGCTTCTTTGATCTTTTTCATGTGCAGTGATCGGCTCTTGTCTTCCCATTTTTTGGACAAGAGTTTAGACGCCGTGGGATGGGGTGGGTTATAGTGGCGATGGGACCAATTCTGAGGTGGTGGTGGTGGGGCATGCCGATGTGTGTGATGAAGGACGGGACTGTACATAATTCTTGGGTGGAGGTTGGTGGGATCAAAAGCCGGGGAATTTTTGAGTGCCGGCGTGGTATTGGAAATACCCCGGGTAACGGACCCTTGATTTTTTTGGCTAAAGGAATTTCGTTGCTTTTGTTAAGAAATTTGGGGTGTTTGGAAGGGACTGATCGAACTTTGAAGAGCCATGATGATTAATTCGCCGATCACCAGAAGGGTCGTGCCCTTACTGACGTTCACAATTGACATAGTAGGTGAACGCACAGGGACAGTGCACTATGTCGGGCCGGGGTAAAAACGGCGTACTTGCGCGCAATGGTTTACCATGAAGCAATGCTAGTTACGTGCGTAATGGTTTATGGACAAAAGAGTTTCCTTCTCATAACAAACGATACACAAAAAGTCTACATATCCCATCATCCTCTCATGAAAATTCTCGGCTCTCTTGCCGTTGCAGAAATTCTTGATGCACCCCGCAATCCAATCAACGCAAGCTCCTTCCGGTAGGCCTCATAATCCGTTCCCAAAAAGTCCTGCTCATCTGCTACCACAAATGGATGTTTCAACATTTCCTCAGCCGTGATCCTAATTTCCTCATCTGGCTCTAGCATTTTACTCAACAAGTCAGCGGCATGGGATACAGCAACATGCCATGGAGCTTCCCGCCCCATTCGTTGAGCATCTAGACGATCCAAGAGTTTTCGAGATATATAGGTGGTTGTTGAGCGGCGCACGAGACGGGATCCAAGGTAATTGAGTGAGCAGCCTGGAAGATAGGGTTCGAGCCACTGCCCGAGGATCGCTCCGGCAGCATGAATGTCGGGAGCCGTGAATGATGGTGGTGGCCGGGCAGCCGCCGCAGCCGCTTCTGCGCTGGTTGTGATTGGGTTGGACGGGTCTGCTGCCAAGGTATCAGCAAATTGGGCCCTGCTCCATGATATCATGACTAAGGAAGAGGCGTCATCCGCCATAATGGTGGCTGCTGAGATCTCGGTGTGGGCCAATTTGATGCTGTGAATGCCATTCAGAGCCTAAACACGAAAATCAGCTCCAGTGGCATGTTGAATCTTCAGCACCGTTTCGGGCTTACCTCTGCTAGTTGTCTGGTATATCTAGCAACCACAACCAAATCAATATTTCTCGTCTCTAATCGCTTCAGTCTGGGGAAGACCAGAACCGAATTCCCTGTTTCCCTCTCCACATATGAATCCAGGAGGGTCAGAACATGTGGAACATTCGCTTTCTGGAGCCGATGTAGAATCTTCAGTTCGCGGTTGGCGGTTTCAGAACTAGGTATCCGCTTCAAAATCACGTTGGTGCTGGTTTGGCTATCGACGGCTGGTATTAAGGTCGAGCGATCAGTTGTCTACAGGGAATTGAGCAGCAAGGAAGGTCAGCTTGGCTGGTCAGTCCTCAGTGCAAAATGCCATTCCTTTGCACACTTCCAACTAACCACTAAGTCGACGTTCCCGTTTTCAAGGACATAACGTCCTTCTGACGCCGTCTCTTTCCCTTTCGAGTTGCCTAATCCAAGTTGAGATAACTTGTCCGCTGCTGCATCCACTTCAGATGCTGTGCTCGCCATCAAGGACTCCAAACCGCGCGTGTATCAGGATAAAGTGCGTTCAACGTATGAAGGAGCAGGCTCTTATGGCAGACTTGTCGTATCGTAGGCGTTGCAGTAGATGACTTGGCCGTAGTGGCTGTGAAGAAGGCAGTCTGGGTTGGACCATCTCAGGTTGATGGGTCGCACTTGTTGTTGCCATGGCAGCACTAATCTCTGAGATAACGGATCCACGCGTTTGGTAACGTTTGATGATCTTCGATGACCACCACGACTGTATCGCAGCGATGCGAATCCCCCATTTTCACGTCCTTGGCGGCAAGGGAAATCTTCAATGCCTATGTTTCTTCCTTATGGAGGGGTCCTTAATTAAGCATTGCCGATACACGGATGGCAAGAGTGGTTTGTCAAATGCCTGAGTTGTTTCACCACTATTCCTCCCAGATGCTTCAGATATCGCACGCAACTCCCTTGAGATGTGACAATGAATCTTCTATGCCGCACCAGTTAGGTGGAACTTTTAAGAGGAATGTGTGCTGCCTAAGGTTATGAGTACATCCCCGAGATTAGAACCAGTTATTCTGGGAGTTGCGCGGGACGCTCTCAAGTCGAACTTCAGAGACGTTTCACATGGTGCGATCTGGCTATGTCCAGAATATGTGGTTGACATTACCGTGATCAAGGGAGTCGGCCGTATGTCCGCCCGGTACATATTGCCCATCATGGTGAACAACTGCACACAGGATATTGTTCGGTCGCGAGTGGATTGGAAGTATGGACCGCGTCTCTTGTTCATCTTGGTCCTGCACTTGCCTTTAAGCAATGTGACCACTGAGGCAATGGCTCCCGTTAATGTATGAAGATCGCACTCTTCACGAACCAGGATAGAATTGTAAATAAACAAAAGCAAAAGGTGGACGGTCAAATACCAGCCTATACACTTCCCAAATAGGTCAATATATTGATAATAAATGGACCTTCGTCCTGTCGCAATGTTGATCGTCTCATTGTAAACTTAAAGCACCTTCTGTTGTCTCGTACGGTTTCTATGTACGCCTTTGAAGCTCTCTAATAAAATGGGTAATCAATTGACATCTCACATCGCTCTAATCGTCTACAATTTGGGTTTCGTTCCTAGGATGTTGCTAAAGGACATTAGTTTACATGATGAGACTCTTGTAATGAAATGAAGTACACACCTTTTTTCTTTCCGCGATGTTCCGCAAATGCATCTACAATGCTCCTCCCATTCAGCAGATCCTTCATACACTTTGCATCAGTCTCTACCCCTTTCTGCGCGACTTGAACGACCTCCTCTACACGATCCAACGGGACTCGTACAACCCCATCAATATCCGCAACAATCATGTCGCCATTACGCACCACTACGGGCCATCCACACTCTGTTCCTAATGTTATTGGCTCACCTACACTGGTAACACGCACGTAAGGTGATGCACCCAAGGTCGATGTGCCCGAGGAGAAGACGGGAAAATTCAAGCCCCAATGTTCTCTCAAATCCCGAATGCGACCCTCCACAACTACCCCCACGCAACCCAACTGGGACGCCCTAGCAGACATTAACCCTCCCCATACGGCATTAGGTGTGGTTAGCGGAGCCTTGATAACAATAACGGAATCTTTCGGTGCGACATCAACGTGGTGGGGAATGGAGGAAGGAAGCCGAGGTGAGACGGTATCTGTTGCAGGAACAAACTCTACTGTATGTGCGGGACCGCAGATGCGAGTTGAAGAGAAAGATGAGGAGGAAGGATCTGGCGAACGAAGGACAACGTTGGGGATGTGTGCTGGGATGGATAACTTTGTGAGCGCATCTGCGAGCTCACAGCTGCCGAATTCACGAAGAAGTGATGCAGCACGGGCTGTAGATATAGCTGTGGCCGACATAGTGTTGAGTTGGCTGCAGTGTTACAGTAGATTATCCTTCTGAAGCAAGTGCAACTGCAATGTGCAATTGTACAAAGATGAATCCGGACAAAGCCCAGGTGTACGCGTCAGACTGTTAATAATGCGATTTAGCAAAAGAAGGATCAGTGGTTTCTCGTAGTTGTTTCTGAGCACAATATAGTGTCTATTCTGAGTTGCCAGTTGCCCATAATGTTCAGCAATCACTAATTTATTGATTTGCAACAGTAATGGGCGAGATACAAGACGAAAAAGTATCTCAAATGCATATTCACCAGCATTGTCTCTACTTTGTCATAGGTCCCGACAACCCCTAAAGGGATCTTTCATCTACCATCAGTCCCTCCAGAAAAGTACCCGCAGTGGTAAGGTGCAGTCGACGACACGCAAAAGCGCGGGTTCATCACCTTGCAACACCAACCGGGAAAATGCAACGACGGCGAATCCAACAAAGGCGGTCATCGACCCCTAGCTGTGTCAGAAGCCCCAGGTGTCGTAGCAACTTCAGAGGTTTAGTCAGATGCGTCAAAGCACATCCTTTCCGCAACATCTTGCGTAATTTCCGTGGGCAAGAGGTAACGCCTCTGTAGTGAAAGATGCTATCCCAAAGTCGTAAGATGGCACCTTCCAGCAGGTACGTGCGAAGGGAAAAAGCGACAACTATTGCATTCGTGGTTCCTCTCGCCGGAGGATTTCTCACCCATCCATTCTCTGATCGCACACTTACCGGGTGGATGCCGCTTAACGATACAAAAGAAGGATATGACGGTGGGACAACATCAAGCCTGCCATGCAATGTGATGTTCGCCCAGTGAAAACCACGTACCCCGTCGGCGTGTCCGCGGACGTGAACAACCAAACGCCCTTGCTACGCGGACGCAACAAACCCCTGGGACGGCCTCCTCATAGGGCGCGTCGCGGACGTGAACGACCAAACCCCTTGCTGCGCCAGACATGGAAGATGGACGCGTTGTGTCCGTGGACGCGACAGACCCCTCGGACGGCCTCCTTACAGGGCGCGTCGCGGACGTGAACGACCAAACCCCTAGCTATGCCAGACGTGGGAGATGAACGTGTCGTGTCCGTGGACGTGACGCTTCTCCCACGGACACAACACGTTCATCTCCGGAGGCACAATAGACGTTTCAGGCTTGTTAGTTACGTACCTTGACGGAGATACTATCAGATATTAAGAGGTTGGCATACTGTTTGGTAGACCGGTGGAGCAGGATATGTCTTTGCTCGTCGATTCAACTGCCAATTCAACAACGCGAAATGCATCCATGTTTCCGGCCCTTAAGTCTAAAGATGACAGACTGAGGACGGATGGGTCAGTAATGTAAATCCACTTGCGCGTCAGTGGTAGTTCCCCGAACACCGAGCCCTCGCGCCGATTTCGCCTCTTCGCACCGATTTCAAATCCGTGCACCAACGAAAGTATCGCGGCACGTGGGGAAGAGTTAGGGGAGGCTATCATGGTGAAGACTGCGCTGGAGGAGCAGCGTAGAGGGGGTCATAGCATGAGCCGCTCCACCCATGGATCACATATGACTACTGTCATTGTGCCGCATGTTCAGCATCGCGTTACCGCTCTGGAGGATTTCGAAAAGTCCACCTGTAACGGTGCTGCTCCTTAGCTTCCAATGTCCCAAGCTGTTTGGCATCGGACGCGTAGCTCAGCTACGAATGCGCGCAAACAGGAAAGTTGAAGAGATACGCGCAGGCATCACCACTACCACTGAGATGCAGACAAGTAGAACTAGCAAAATAACTCACATCATATTTGTCCAGCAATTGAGCTGCCCGCTCGGCGGCAAAACCTTCTTCATTATTCCTGATATGCTCCAATGAGCGGTAATAGACATTCGCGGGGTGTTCCAACTTTGATCCGCCGTTAGCCCAAAACTGTTGGGGGCTCCATACTTGCGGGTGTTGCCCAGTAAAGTACTTGTGGGGTATGAGAGGCTCGGCGATGTCTTTCATACTTCTGCGGCGGATGTAGAAGAGGGAACGTTGACGGCAGATGTCGAAAGGAGAAAGTTGATGGGGAAGACGATGGGGTAGAACACCCCCTTTATATAGGCGAACGCGTCAAGGGGTACATTCCTGCGCCACGCGTAATCCGATAACGTGCGAGCAATCTGATTGGCCCGGTCCGTGCACTAAGCTGTCCGAGAGTATCGGACAGTCCTTCGACTTCACAAAGACAGTCGGCAGCTGTTACCGTCATTATGTAGGAGGTGAGCTTTTGAAAGAAACTCCGTTAAGCCTTAATTACATACCGAAAGCGAAATACTGTGAGCGCCCGAGGTAATGCAACAAAACTAGTGGAAATGCGTGCGCGCAACACACTCGACAGAAGACCGGATAAAACACAAGATGCAGCTTATTGTTATTCATATCCTATGGAAGCAGTTCTCTATATTCTATATCATGCATTTATCCCGTAAAACGTCTTTGATTGCGCCATATCTTTTACACTTATTTTAGTCCTTCACGCATTCCGTGTATATAGAGGCATTGCATCACTGTGCATCACTTGCTTGTCGTAGCGCATCTCTCACCCACTCAGGTAAGTATACCTATACTTTTCGTGATTTCATTGTAAAAGCTAAGGAATATGGAAAGTGGGGTGGCCGACTCTATCACGCATCTGTCACGTCAAGTTATTCAGAGCTTTCTTCCTTCCCAAAACCTACGCATGCCTGGCCATTAGATAATGCGTGCTCTCCAGCTTGGCTCACATCCATAAATGTTTCCCTGCGTCTCAAGATACATTCATCAAATCATGTAGCTACTTTGATATATCGTGGCAACTATTTACCACCGACATTGTCCGATATCCTCCGTTTTCCAACTTTTCCTACTAGTATCGTGCGACATCCCCCCCCAAGCAAATGCTCTAACTGATCCACAAATCCACAAAACACTCCGAGTGCAACCCGCTTTCACCGATCACAGAGGTGCTTGCGGTTAAGGACGCGGGCCCGGTAATCATGGCGACTCCACGAACGGTCAACTGGCAATCACTATGTAAAAGAAATGGAGCACAAGCAGTTAGTATATGCCGTCGTAATTGAAGCAGACCAGCTGCAGAATCAATTGAACACACCCTGACAATCCCACCTAAACCTCGGATCCTCACATCCCTCATCCCCGTTCCGCGAATGGGAGCAATCGCTGCGCAGACCAGCTGCGATTGGAGCAGAACACATCAGCAGAACGCATCTGCAGAAGTGGAGCAGAACGCATCTGCAAAAGTAGAGCAGAACGCATCTGCGGCAAAGTAGAGCAGAACGCATCTGCAAAAGTGGAGCAGAACGCATCTGCGGCAAAGTAGAGCAGAACGCATCTGCAAAAGTAGTGCAGAACGCATCTGCGGCAAAGTAGAGCAGAACGCATCTGCAAAAGTGGAGCAGAACGCATCTGCGGCAAAGTAGTGCAGAACGCATCTGCAAAAGTGGAGCTCGCTCTACGCTTCGGTCAAAGCCGGCATCGCAATGCACATCCTCCCAGGTCTCCGCAGACACCCGGGGTGGGATTGACCTAACTTGGGGCCATCGCAATGGACTTCACCTCGTACCGTCGCAACAGATGAGGTGCCCTGTGAGCAGTGTGGAAGTGCGCGAAAAGCTGGGGCGACACGGTGACTTTATAGGAAATTTGCGTGCACTCTGATTGGCCCGGTCCGTGCACTAAGCGCGTCGTTGCTGTCCGGCCTATCGGACAGAACTGTAGTCCTTCGACTTGACCAGACTGTGTACGGTTACTATTTAGCAGGTGCAAAAGAAACTCGACTGCGGTCGAACGTAATAATAATAAGAACACCCTTTTATGGCACACTGTAACCAAGATTGCGAGAAGATATGGGCGGTGACTGGGCGCATGTACTGAGTTAATGCACTATATAACCTACATAATGGGGTGCCAATTGTTTAACGGTGTAGGAGTGGTACATGAACAGAGGTGTCCATATATCAAGTATAACCTGTATTCATGAAACAAGGGTTTAGATTCGCATTATATGCGTAATGTGTGGCATACGAAATGCTAGCCCTGAAACTTCTTACGGTAAGAGCTAGTGCAAATATGGCGATCACTACGCGCGAGAATGCCGTACTCTGCTACATCACGCGAGTTGAAGCAATTGACGTGTATAAATAATGATACATCACTGTTATATCTACATTTGAGGTGTCAGAGGCATTGACGGGCTCTAACTTTAGATGAAACAACTTCGCCGACATGGTGACCCGAGAAGAGATGCCCACACTGTGACAAATTTTGGTTTCGCAAAGGGTAACAGACGATGAAGCCGAGAATAATGGCGCGTTGGGGTCCTTCCCTACCTTAAAGCTAGTGCATAGTCTGGCGGAAATATCCTGTTGTGATGCCATATTCAGATCCTGTCATCTCTTTGTTCCCCTTTTTCCGCGCATCTGTTTCGGTTTTTTGCCAATGGCACCGGCCCTCGACTTTTTGGGTATGGTCGACGCTGATGCTGTTTTCATGTTCCTTGCCAGCCCATGCGATGGAATATCTTCCTTCTTTTTTGTAGCAGGCTTGTCGGCCCGCATCTCGAAAACGTGCACAAAGGCGTTCTCAAGGGTCGGAGCATCCCGAACAGCCGGATGGGTCCTTTGAGGTGTATAGCCAAGCGCCTGCATCCGCTCCCCTTCGAACGGAACACGCTGTTTCATTGCCAAACCTTCTTTCAAGGCCAGATCCTCAATGCTCCACTGTCGGTAAAAAGGAGTATCCCGTAGCGTTACGTGGATTTCACCATTAGCATTCATCAATTGCTGTGCCTGGGCGAAAAAGTTTGATAAGAGGGCCCTGTTTTGCTCAACATCGGCCTGCTGACTCCCTCCCACATGCGGGAACTGAAAAACGATACGATCAAACTTGTTTTGTGCCGTAAGAGCGCTCAACCTGCTGTTGGAAGTGAGGGCGGTTGCGTCGACGTTATGAAGAATTGTCACACCGGAAGACACCAGTTCACCCAGTATGGTCTGCACATGCGGGTACTTTTGTATCAGCGCCGGCTTAGTGTCAAAGGATGTTGCGATGATATTCTGGCCTTTGCCAAGGGAAGTTGCGAGAGCACGAGCATACGAAAAGTCGCCTTCGCCAATGAGGAGAATCCGTTGGTTTAGTTTGAATGGGTGTGCGGGATTGGAAGGCTGGGACGTTCTTAAAGTTTGCAGAAGGAGCTCCGTTCTGGTGAGGGAGGAGAGAGTGGGGAAGCGTTGGGAAGGCGCTGTGCTTTTTGATATTTTACTGGGGTGAGGGCGAGATTTCCGTTTGCCCATGGCGAGTTGGAGCTGTGTTAAACAAAAATTCAGGTTCGACTCGCGTCACTTTGTAATGCGATTTGGAACAGGAAGGATCAGTGGTGTCTCGTAGTTCTGAGCACATTATAATAGACTATGTATTCTGAGCTGCCACTTGCCCATAATGTCCAATTTATTGATTTGCAACAGCAATGGGCGAGATACAAGACGAAAAGTATCTCAAATGTTGGGCGGTACCTTCTAAAACTGGCCAGGGGGCGCTAGACCACCGATATTCACCAGCATTGTCTCTACTTCGTTATAGGTCACGACAGCCCGGGACCCTTCATCTACCATCAGTCCCTCCAGAAAAGTACCCGCAGTGGTAAGGTGCAGTCGAAGACACGCAAAAGCGCGGACTCTGTCCGTGCACTGCTGTCCGGCCGTATCGGACAGTGCGTCGACTTGACAAAGCCGTGCTGCCAGGCTGTGTACGGTCACTATTTGGTAGGTGAGGAGTTGCAGTCAATTGTTTTTTTAACTACTACACATGGGCACATTGTAAAATGGATAGTTTTGCGAGACTATTGAAATCTGCACGATTCAAGCCCTGTTTTCAAGTCAACAGCAACCTTTCCCTACTTGAGGCACACCCAACTCAGAGTCCAGGTCGTAGTTTGGATTGCCTTCGATAACCTTGGCCTTTTTTCCTTCCCCCATTCTTCTGACTCCAACACCATGTTTGTATACCAGCGTTCCGCCCAGGTACACGCTGTACAAGACTCCCGTCAGTCCTACACCTGACAGGAAGATGTTGAACTTGTAAGGGGCAAAATCCACCGTTTGACGCTTGGTAAGGAAGTTGAACAATGCAATCGCAACTGGTTATGGGATACCAGTCATTTAATGCCCAAGTGCGCGCAAGTCATGATACCACTCATTACATACCAGCACTAATGTTCAGTCCTGCGTGCCAATATGCGGTCCGGTTTGCCTCCGGGCTCCTCTCCTTATTGATGGTGAAGAACTCCGCAAAGCCAGTCAATGCAGCTGGGATGGTTGAGATGAGGGAAGCAGCCGTTGCATAATAACTAAATGCGTAAAGGCCCCTAGAGGTTACAAAAGAGAGCACAGGCGGAAACCTGCTTCAACGTAGAGTTGACCAGCTCAGCACTGTATCATCAGTTGAAAAGAATCCAGAAAACATATTTATATTTACCTGTCCATAAAAAGCCCTACAACATCACTGGCAAATGCGACAGGGTACAGGGTAGCTGGAACATGCACAACCGCTATGTATCATACAAACAGCGTCAATGTGCGTGCCTCCAATGGCAAGAAAACATACTAGATACCCACCGGGATGCAGAGGATGCGCATTTTCGCCGACATGACCAAGCAAGATACTCCAAACGTATTTCGTAATGGAGGGCATTGTACTTTGAAGAAAGAAGATGGCGGATGCAGATGTGTAAAGATGCTCCCCCATCCTCCCACGGGGACGAGCTGACTTTGAACAGTTTACGTCACAGGGATCCTAAATGAAACAGCCAGCCACCAGGGTTGTAGCTCTACGCGCTATAAAAACAACGGCAGGTCGCGCTGGCTGTTTTCCTCATCTCTTCCCCACTTCCGGATGTTCATCCCGCCTCCCTGTTCTCGACAAAAGATCCGCTAAGCCTGTATAAGCCTTTCATAATATGCGGTTTTGTTGCTCTCGCAAGTTGGTGCACCCGTAACAGCCTGACCACCATGGCCTTCAACCAAAAGATTTGCAAACTGGATCGTGTGCCCTCCATGTGATGTGGCTCGTCCAAAATGCAGATCCGCTGGGAGAACCTAACCCTAAGTGTGTGTCGAAGCGTAGAGACTTTAATGTGCATTGTCTCGCCCAAAAGGCTCGAGAACATCTGCGCAGTGGAGACTCCGCTTTGACGGTAATTATGGCGGGATTTGACCCTCGGGAATAATCTGTCAGAAAGGCCGGCCCCATCCAGTATTTTATGGTCCTCTTTGACTGGATTTGTCATCCAGCGGGTGGCAAACTACAACATAAAGAGGATCCTAGGTCGCTGTGCCGGAGGGCTTATGCAAGTTGGGTGGGCTTAGACCGTCTTGCGCGGATAACGGGCACTTGTAACTCGCGCTTACCAGTCAGCTTTGGGATGAGTACTACTGCGAGCAAGAAGGAACGGGTGGTAATCCCTTGGGATGGGCCCCCGTTAAAGCTACGTGCTTGCCCCTTTGCGTTCAGGTATGGCTCGCGCTTCAAGCAATCCCCTTGCGAGCTGGTTGGGTCGCTGAGACATGAGCCCCGAACGTACTTGGAGAACAGGTTGAGGTGCGCGGAGTGCGGATTGGATATATTTATTGAAAACCCAACTCCATTTTTCCTCTTCGAAGAGTACGGCTGCGGCCTGACCTGCCTTGCTCTATACGTGGGTCACGCCGATTGCCCAATTCTTTGGAAAGAAAATGATAGCAAGTGCTTTCAATCAACAGGCTTATAAGCCTTCCGTATTCTCCAATTTTGCCTCTATTCGAGCATTACTTCCCAATAATCGACTCTACTCGATCCAGTGCATCTTTTATTGTCTTGCTGGGGGTTTATATTGGAAGTAAGCATCATCAGGTCCGGACGCGCGTTGCCCAAAGTGACGAGATAAACACCCACATTTCTCCGGCTAACGTCTGCACGGCCGTCATATCATGACTTAATTCGTCCACAGCATTGATCAGTCCTGTCATTTGGTCAATGGATTCTTCTATTGAATGTGAAAGGGAATTTACAGCTTGTCGGTTGACGCCAACAGATTCATGGGTATATGACGTGATCTACATCAGTCAGAGTTGAGACCGCAACTTTCAAGAGCCGAGTCGGCAACATCATTGCTTAGGCTACCTCGTCCATTCGTGTTTTCAAATTACCGAGAAACCGAACGACATCGGCTGATACCTGCTCAGCAGTCTTTTCAATTTCATCAATGAGGGTGGGATCTATAGGGACTGTGTTTTGGGGAGCAGACGTTCGGGATGAAGATAGAACGGACGGTAATTGGGGAAGAGGATGCATCTTGTCTAGTTGATTACCGTGTGAAAGTTCACAGTATGCACGAATGGGAGAGAAGCCCTCACGCAAGCTGACGTTGACTCACCAACCTGAACCCGCGCCCGTGATCGGAAATCAATTCTTTCACAGCAGATCACTTTGAATTCAACTGGAAAAATAACAATGTCAAGAGCATCCAAGATTACTTTCGGTATATCATGTGTGGTGACCTTGGGGACTATTGGCGCAGTTCATTACATGCAAGAGTTGGAGTTTCATGTAGGTCATGTGCAGGAACGGGTTGGACTGTGCTTAAATACTCACCAAATTCCTAAAGACTCGAAGGATCGGTCTTGAACGAGATGAGGGTCGGCGAGCCCAGAAAAAAGAAAATATGAGGGAATTGGAGCGGCAGGAAGAACTGCGGAGACAATTGGAAAGAGATCAGCATGTCCCTGGATCTCAGCCTGCTGCGACGACATGACGAGAAGCAAGCCAAACTTGCCGCACATATCCGCGCGCACGAGTCCCCTCTGTGACATCGAAACACTCGTTAATCCCATTCACGCACATCCCAGCACGTCGCACGTCCAATTATGTATTATTCACACATTATATACAAGGATATTTAACAAACTGTATTCTCTCAGTGTTCAATCAAATACCCCAATAGATCGCTGAGTGAGACAACGCCTTTCAACTTGTTATCTTGAACAACAATAAATCGATGTACGGGCATTCGGCGAATGGTCTCTAGAACATGACCTAATGTGTCTGATAGAGTGCATGTGTGGATACCCTCAAAATCCTGGGGCGGAAATAAGCATTGATCGTCAATCTTAGGATACATATATGTGCAGCAATGGGGACGGAAGCCTACCGGTGATCGCTTCACTAATGCTTCGCTTACGGGCATCTCTAGATCGTAGTAAGCCCCTTCCCGCGCCAGCATCTGTTTTCGAGGAACCGAAAGACCGTGAGACCTTCTGCAAGAAGGATTGCTCCGCTGACAATCCCATTACACTACATGGATTCCTACCAGGACATCATATTTCTCATACACATCCAGCACATTTCCTGCGCAGACAACTCAGATTAAATGCCCCTATGACTTGGCCAATCAGTCTCAGACGTTCTTACCTTCGTCATCTACAATGGGCACGGCGGATATCTTTCGTTCTATAAACAGATTAAGTACTGTAATGAGTGGTGTTGTTGCTGTCGCCGTGGCAAGATTCTCAAAAGTCCCGATGCCAAGATCTTTCAGTGTGACATCTAGTTTGGTAACGGCAGGTGCCTGCCAGAGGGGTTTGTGAGCACCGGTGTTGACCACCAAGTTCTCACACACGTATGCGCCTTCCTAGTATTCACCTCCTTACATTCGCAGCAAGATATTTCAGAATCTTGTACTGGGTGACTACTGATACCACTGTCTCCTGATCACCACTTCGATCAACGAGCGGAAGGCGGTGGAGATGATCATCTAATAGAAGTTTACTTGCTAAAGCAACGAACGATCAATATCCCGTAGTGTCACACATCAGGCCGCACCCATTATTTTCATACCTTCGTACAACGTTTGCATTGGATGGATAGATATATTTCGAGGACGTAGAACTTCCATTTTTCGCTCGATATCTGAAAGCCCAAATCAATGAGTTTCTCAAACATGTACGGGGAGAAATCCAAAAGATAAACCTCGGAGCCCGGCTATTTGCAGCTGTTCAATCTCTTCGATGGCAGACTCGTAGGACGTGTGATTATAGTAATATCGAATAAGGTAGATAAAATCCGTTACTGAAGGCGAAATTAAAAGGCCAAGTTTTCAGTGCATGTTCGAGTGTATCATTTTACAGACCACTACCCACCAGTCAACATTCCGGCAAACCGCTGCTCAGAAGAATCCCAGAGCGGAGCCGACTGAACTCCTGCATGAAACGTATTGTGTGAGGTATTCTGGGTATTATAGTCCAGAGTGCGTAGACGAGGGAACTGACCATGTTGAAGTAAAGCTGCCAAGGCTTTTTTCACCAATAGAGATGTGTCAAGTACAATAATTTTGTAGCTGACCGGTAGTAGATCATAACATGTATGGCGTTTAAGAGCCTCTGCTGCACCCGTCACCAGGTTTGAGCCATTCTCCATATCTCGCAAGTTCGTGTTGTCAGTGTTGAATTGGCAGATGCTCCTTACCACCAGCTAGAGTGACGATCGTCGACATGATCAGGCGCCTACTGCGCCACATGTGTGCTTAGAGGTCAAAACTCGGAATGGAAAATAGTGCATGATATGTTCGATAGTTTAGTTAATCCGCTTTTAGCTTTTAAAAAGTTCTATTTACCAAATGCTGTGCAATCTACAATTATCCTGCCCGGGACGGCTAATAAAACTCATCCTAATATCCTAAAGAAAAAATCATATGTACATCCCCTTCACTCGTGGCTTGTCTACCACAACCACCCATCGTCCTCACCCACATGTGGACCTTTTGGCGCAACCACAACTGGACTCTCTACCCGCGGTTTGAAGAGCCTCATGACCACAAAGGTAAAGACAAATGCGATACACACGAACAATACCGTCAGCCACACCATCCAAGTGGTAGATCTGGCTGTGATATTGAGCGTCCCCAGTCGAAGCCCTTCTCTTTGTAGTCGGAACACGTTTGTCGAGAGATGATGATGTGCTTCGTCCAAAACCTACGACAAGCAAACATCAGCACCTGTCGTAATCGTACTCTGCAATAACCAAGGAAGATACCTTGGACTCTTTCTTCAATCCATCCCTCAGTGCCAGACTATTTAGCTTCAATTGAGCAGCCATGTGGGCCATATCTTCCGCCATCTGCTCTTGCAGTTTTTTGTCGTGGTCTAAGAGTAAGGTCAGGTCTTCTGGTGTGTCCAAAGCTGAAGCGGGAGATGCGCTATGCGATTTATGACTGGGAAATTGTGAGAAAGGGCACATTAAAGCAAAGTTCATGTGAACATACTTTCGTTTACGAAGGTCGCGTTGAGGAGTGGACAGGAGCTCTGCAAACCGAGATGGGTCAGAGGGCCACGGCCAGACTAATCAATGAGTCCCAACCAAAGCAGGTGACGCAGACCTTCCCTGGCCTCATCCAGCGTCTGTTGCTCATTCCCCAGAATCGATACCCTCCCGCTCGCTTCACGTGTTGACTACAAGCAATGTGAGGGAAGTCACAGAAGAAATCTGGAGACAAAAGCACCGACCTCCAATAACTCCGCTCTTAAATCCTCCTCCGCCATTCTCTGCAATGTCAGAATACGATCAGCAGCTTTGACTCGCTCCGCAGCATCAGGGTCTGAATCAGGCAGGCAGGATAATTTTCGTATAGATGATACAGTCTTCTCCACCGATGACAACTATCAGAGATCAGAACAGATCAACAGCTGCGGAAAACACGATAGTTAGATGCATAATACCCACCAGTCGACTTTGGTCCAATACATCTTCCAACTGCTCCACTCTACGCCGATACTCGGACAGTACTGAATCCTGACATTTTCTTGCAGAGTCAGTCTCAATCGTGCGCAACAGGCGGTGCAGATGCGATATATTCTCAAATAAGTGTGTTAAGTTAATGTTCACGTTCAGACAACTGAGACATTGAGTACTCACTGCTTGGTATTTGGCCAGCACAAACGGGCCCTTGTCGGAGGAGTCGCCGTCACTTTGGAAAGTTGCCAAGTTGGATTCGAACTTGGCCAGAAGTCGACGGAGATTGACTTCAGCGTGAGGGTTTGATGCTAGCATGGTGGATGGCGTTTTCCAGTCAGTGACAGCTCTTACGACGAGTCTGTTCTCCACCGTTGAAACTCGAGAGGTTGGTTGGCGTGATCATGTGACTAAACACAATCGTGTAAGCTCGTCCTTTCAGGCTCCACAAATATAAAAAGGTGGAGGTCAATACTGGAACTTGCAATTCGCCGATTCTTGGGAGCTTTCTATCTAGCATTCTTATCGGAATGATGCACATGTGAGCCTTGGGCTCTTATAACCATGGGTATGGTCAAAATACTGTTCACAATCGAACAATCATATGACACACTCTTCTTCAGATTTTGGCTGCAGAAAGCTTTCAAACTTCACTTCACACTTTCCACACTTTGGTAGCAGTATGCTTTCATTTTCCAGGACGAATGAAGCCACGTACGGTCAAGGTTTCTAAGGAGCACCAGAAGCAGGCATCTCGGCATCTCGTTCGAAACTTCGATAGTGAGCACAGCTGTTACGACGTCATGAGTGTAAAAGACATATATTTATTATTAATTATTTCAGATTCTGACCCTCGATGCTGACCATTACCATCGTCGTTGAGAAGCAGGATGGTAATCGTCAGGAGCGTCCCCACTGTCCCCAGATGATTTGGTCCGGATCAGTGGCTTAGTCTGGCGACAAATAAGAGACGCCAATGCGATCAAATGCCCAATGCCCGTAAGCTTGACTGGTTAGATGGGCATGACCCACGGATGAAGCAAGCTACTACCAGGTCTTATTACGCATGCGATACACTACAGTTGGTCTAACCGGGTAACTAGTATCACCGGGATGGTGGATGGTAGGAGGGCGAGGTTCTCGGCACCAGATCCCCATTCTTCTCATGATTCTTCGCTTGAGAGTCGAGAGATAAAGAACAAAAGGACAGAGGAAAGAAAGAGTAGGTTCCACTCATCAGATGGCTGCAAATGGACCCATTTTCATGTTGATTCAATAAGCTGCCACGCTACATTGACGTTTGCATTTTCTTACACATGATGAAGCAGCCCACGGCTGCTCATATACGGTATGAAAGTTACCTGCTTTAAGAATTTTGTTTTCATCGGAAAACATATCATGCAAATAATTCCCCAGTCTTCATTCATGCTCTCAAGTAACAGCGCGCTAGTCTTCCGACTCGACTGCTGTGCCATCCGTTACCATGCAACAATAAGGTTGTAGCATCGGTAACAACGACCAATAGGGTTCATTCAACAACGCTTCCTGGCGCCCGAACGACATTCCTTCCAACTTTCAACGTACATAAAACCCACGTTTTCGCACCATGGCCTCCAAACAATCCTCCTTCCTTCCGCAATGCTCGGCCCAAACATCTCTAGACTTCAACGCTGTACCGAGGCACTGCATTCGGTGCCATTCCTGGGCCCCACCATGAACGATGCGTTCGACACATGCTCGGCCGTATTTCATGAAGTTTCATCACAGGGACTAGCGCCAACCTTGTATCAAATTGCTTCACACCTTGCGGGAGAAAGAAAGCAGCACCAGGGCTTGCCTCTTAAGGGCCAGGAAGTCATCAAGACCGCACAGGCCGTAGATATTGGAGCAGAGGAATATAAAAATATAGTTATCATCGGGGGATCGATATTTGGTACGTGTAAACTTCATGTTCGAATAAAGGCACAAGTATTGATCTCCTGCATTGTAAATTACAGGCATTGCAACAGCAATGAAAGTTCGCTACTCTCTTCCCCTTCCGAAAAATTATCGCCTTATCATCATAGAAAAACATTCCCACATGCATTACATGTTTGCATTCCCGCGCGCCTCTGTGATACCAGGTTTCGAGAAAGAGCTTTTTGCTCCATATGATAACTTATTCAAAAGTGCCAAGGAAGGGCGTGTCATTCAAGCATGCGCAACATCCATTACCCCTACCCACGTGGAACTGGACCGGTCTGTGGATGGGTTCGGTACAATAGTTCCATACGAGTATTTGTTGTACGGCGCTGGGGCAAAGCATCCAAGACCAGGTTGCTTGAGTGATGAGAACACTAAGGAAGAGGGTGTGACCGTGTTAAAGGAATACCAAGCCCGAATAGGACGGTCGGACAAAGTGCTCGTCGTAGGAGGAGGAGCAGTAGGACTGGAATTGGCAGCAGAGATCAAAGAACACTATCCGGAAAAGGAAGTGACCTTGGTTCATTCTCGAGCGCGGTATCTTCAGACGTACAAGTTTGGTCTACATCGGCGAGCATATTCCATCCTTAAGAACCTCGGAGTACGGCAAATCCTTGGGGATCGTGTCATCATTCCCCCTGGTGGTTTCAAGGATGATGGCAAGGAAATTGTCGTTAAAACACGGGCCGGGCTCTCCATTACGACGGATCTCCAAATCCTTTGCACGGGAATGATCCCCAACAGCGCACTCCTCAGCACCCTCTCCCCCGCATCGATCAATCCGGAAAACAAGTATGTCCTGGTGAAGCCAAGCCTTCAAATTGCCGATCCGCGATTCCCAAATGTATTTGCGGGAGGAGATGTGGTGGATCTCCCGGATATTAAGACCGGAATATCGGCATTTGCACATGCAGCAGTTGCCATTGAAAACGTGGTGAAATTGGTTGAGGGCAGGGAGAAGGGATTAAAAGATGACGAGATCAAGTTGGTGGAGAGAAGTCCCGTGCTGCCGCAAATCTACTTGTATTTCGGCTTGGTAAGTGGCTTCCCCCTGTATGTTCATGAGAGCTACCCCTTATAACGTTTGTTCATCTCAAATAGCACCGCGGTGTAGCTCAGCTTTCCTATCATGGATATCTTTACACGGCGGGTACATGGTTGGTTCGCAAGCATTTTTCGTACAACGTTTTGGCGAGTCGGGCCTGGGATTGGTGCGGAACACCCTTATCAGCAGAAACAGTCGATATATAAGAGAGATGGGCTTCTACAAGTGTATATAGATTTGTCGACTATCAATTACCATGACAGATAGTGTGTGAGGCTAAGAATTCAAGTTATAACTGGTCGTCTGAACCGCGCTACCTTTGAAATGACGACTCTGCGAACACAATTCGAAGGTGGTTACTTATACACACGGAGAGACAGAACAGGGTAACATAATAAACAGTCATGCAGATGCCGTGTAACGGGATCTACTCCTTCAAGGACCAGAATGTGCCCGAGTTCGATGTTTCTGGGGCGCCGTATTCAGCGCATTGACGACAACATTGCCACAATATATTACGTTGACGAGAATGGACTGCGAGTGAGTCCTCCGGCCAACACCATAGTGCGAGACTTTACGAACAACGTAGAACAATAGCCTTTCCAAGGGTCATTCTTTGACTTTTGATTGCAAACTATGCCTTTTTCAGAACGGTGTTGAACTAACCAAAAGCAACAAGAAGTTCTTGGGTTCCATATAACCACCCAGAGAATCATCGAGTAGTGTTTGAACTTGTATTATAAACCAACTGACGTTAGAATGCAATGCCATAACATCATACTATTTATTCATGTGTTGTCAATCCGCTGATCGATCGCGTTGCAAACGACGCTTGCAAATCCCATTTTCGCCATGGTCCGAGCAACAAAAGGAGCTCTTCTGGAATGGCAAGTGCATGTTCTACTAGACAACACCAAACTCTGTCCTTAACATCGTCTTGTACATTTTTCTCTCAACATACAGTGATCCTGCCGTCAAACAGATTGTGATAGATCTCGATAACAAAAGAGAGGAGAATGGTGAATCTCGATTTATATTCGAGTCACTGGACGAAACTCATCTCTTCATAGGTGCGGTATATGGGAAGCGTAAACTCTGAGATATCTTGAGTTCAAGAACTGAAGCTAATATAATGACATTTGTGCAGATGCTTCGGTAGTGGAGTGGCTGAAGGAGAAGTTGGACGAAATCCTTGAGGTAATTGCAAACGAATTGAAAACTGCTATCAGTTGTTAAAGCATTTTGCTCACATATATTGTGCTCGTAGGAGAATACCTATCGCTTCGATGACCCGCAGTGACTCGCTACTCATATGACAGACTTGTGCACCACGTTTGCTCCTGCACACTAATTTCGAGCCTTCGATCCTATTGAATCCGCCACATACTGACATCCAAGTCAGGATAGCTAGCGTCCTCCACTTTGGAGGAAAGTGCGACTTTGGATGAGCGATTAGAAGGACCATGAATTTCAGGCATTTAACGAAACTTCCGACTGTGGAAGAAAATATGAAGAACGTTTCAATCGTTCCATGGCTGGAGTTCAGCAGGGCATGTGGTTGAAACGTTCTTTCAACGCTACAATGTCACTGCATGGCGACATTAATTGCTTAGGGGATCTGGCATTGAATGCTTTCTAGTTACTGTACACTACATTTCCTTCATAATTACACGACACAGTAAGGGCGGAACAGAAATCATCTACAAAAACGGATATTTCACTGTATGAATCATCTTGATAATTTAGCGAGTTGTCGACGGTCGACAGTGTGGATATAGTACTGTCCTCCTTCGTTCATCCATGACACATTATCCCGACCAAAGTAATGCTAAGAGCCTCGTAAGTTATCAACGCGTTCGGATAGTTGCGGCTGAACGTGACCTACCTCTTTCACTCTAAAAATGGATTCAATGGCATTGCTTCGTCGAGCACTTCGCGCTGTTGGGCGATCAACAGGAACAAAACTACGAAGCGCAATGACCTGCGTACGAGATTCGATCAGCCTCTAATTAAATGTAACGATACCAGTAGCATGCGGGAAGGTTACTTACAATTGCATTTTCTTTCAAGTCCAAAAACTTGGCTAGGATCATTTGATTCAACTCGGCACTGAAGGCATAGCTGAGGAACTTGGTTAAGGATAGTCTCACAAACCGGTTATACAACAGTAGAGGTACCGACTTATTGACAAAGATGACATCGGCCTTCTTGATGACTTCGTGCATCTCATTGTCTTCAAGGAAGTCAGTGTGTTTCAACGTGATTCTGCCACAAGGCTTTGCGTAATATCTGTTCAGCAAATAAAAAGTCACCATTAGACTGATGCATAGCACCGCCGAGAACAAGTGCGATGAAACCGAACCTCATGCGGGATACAAATTCTTTCTTCTGCTTAGCTGCCAGCTTCGCCGGCGTTTCCATTATTTCTATTCCATATGAATCGCATAGGCATTGTGCTGCCACTTGTAGCACAACATTTCCGATACCACTGCCCTAAGATTAAGGTGACAGCGTCAGCAGTATCAGCACCATCTGATAACAATTCTGACAACAACGAAACGTACCATATCCACAAATACATGGTTTGGTTGTATGTTGGCCTCCTTGATAATGGTATTTACAAAATTATGCTTTACTTCACCGTAAACGTTATTTGAGAACCCTAAAAGGTTAAGACATAACGAAACGAAAGCTTAGAAATGGTTCAGGGTGAAGCGCACGTCTCTTATATACCTTCGTAATTATTTAATAAACTTGAGCTGGGTGCTACTGATCGTGAATATGCTTGCTCTAGGATGTGTGCTATCATAGGATAACTTGCGGCAGGCCCAGTAAATTCACAACTTGCAAAGATCTTTTTCTTTTTGAGAGCGCTCATTTCCTCATTCCAAGCCGCTATTCCTGCCTTCAGGTCTTCTGCGTTTTTCCGATTACATGCCTTTTGTATACTTCGAAGTATGCCGGACCGTGTATCACCGAAACGCGCTGCATGTTCGTCTTTCAGGCAATTTTCGATAATAAACTGAGTTGTTGCATAGATGTCTTTGATTGGATTGTATTCTAAAGCTTTCCGTGATACGACGAGTGGGAAGCTACGGTGCCCAAAGAGTGTTAGTAGAACGGTCTGAGATGCCAACAACAGAACACAGATAGCCTACATTTCAGAAGCACTTTCCCCAGGGTACTGCAGTTCAATGGTCTCCATATCCGATTCTTCACGTACGCGGGTTCCTGATTCTGAGACTTTCAGGCAGGTTTTAGCATCTTTCTGAACAATTTTCAAATGTTTGCCACAGACAAATACTCACGCAACGAGTAAAGTTTCAGATGTTCTTTGACAACATCCAGAGCACTGATACAAGGCTCCATGGCCCTCTTCGACAAGTGACGATGATCATTTCTTCGTCTTATCTTTGGTTTTGTCGTAGCAGGAGTTTTTCTATTGGCAGTTTTCGCCGCACCCTCAGGCCCTTTTACTGCATTGGCACGATTGCCCTCATCGACATTTACATCTTTTGGGACGAATCCATTTCGTGGTGACTCGGCAGAAAGGTCACAACTGCGCTTTCGCTTGGATGACATTTTGGGGGCCATCGTAGTATGTTCCTTCGACAACGGTCGGCCTTTTTCGCTAGTTGGTGCTGAATCGCATCCGGATATCGTCTCGTGGCCTAGCTCTGGCTTATTTGGCTCTGGTGAGTCTCCCGCTGTTGACGATCCAGACGTTACTGGCGATATGGGGTTACGTCTTCTAAATTTGTCTACTGAACTAGGGGTAGAAACTTGACTACCTCTGGAATTATCGCAACGATTTGATGCTCTGTCCGTAGAAAGGTCTCGTGAACCTGCGTTTCCACGAGATCCGTCTGCAAAAAGTTCCGAGACTGTTGAGTCGGGGGTTTGGTCTCGTTGCAACGTCGCTGATACCGGCAGCAGCACACTATAGTTTGTCGAATCAGAATCATCCTCTTTCACAACAGTATGAACAGCGTCCTCTCCAGACTTCTCAAACAAGTCCGACGACGGAGAAGGTGGATGTCTGACAGGAACATACAAATGACGCTTTGGCGGAGAGCGGGGAGTATCGTTATATATCCGCTTATGTATTTTTGGTTGCTCCATGGTTTAGATACAGTGCGACGATCAGGTTACAGTTGAATGGAGAGCTGCACCATGCAGTAAGTGTTAATGGAAATCTGAGGAACAGAGTCGTCCTTCACCTCGGAGAAGCAAGCGCTTGTATTACTGCAGACATCATTTGTCTACATTTAGAAGCCGTGGGGCACGGTGACTCGTAGCGGGGAACAACCAGAACGCGGATGCTGCCCGCCGTTCACCGTGTGCAAGGAACGGCGATGACAATGACTGAGAAGGCCGACCCTGCAGTTGCACCCACCGGGGGTTGGGTGGTGAGCAGCAACAGACTGAAACCTTCATGGAAATGCCCTCATCTAACTTTGTATTAAACATAGTATTCGCCCCTACAACCGCCGGAGGCTGCGCTGAGGTGCGTTCAATTGACTTGCCACCTGCTTAATACAGCTAAAGGCTCAACATGACAGCCTTCTCTGTTTTCTCCTTTTTCCAGCGAATCTATGGATATATCACCTTCCGCTGATATTTTGAGACGACGGGCTACCGAGGACATAGGTACTGAAGGGGGCGGGAAGCTGGAGCTGTGCGATTCGGAGACTTGTACTCTCCGATGTGCTTGGCAAACCCGGAATCGGAACTCAATAATCTGCATCGTCCATGGCAAACCATTGCCACCAGATGACGTTCTGACAAGATTGCAATCAAAAGTAGTGCAGTTGACAGAAGCGGTCAAGGCGAAGGGTTCGTAACATTGAAGATATCTGAATTCAAAACAGAATGGGAACGCCCTGACCCTTTGCAATTCTATGCAACAGATGCACAAATTGGTCAGCTTCAAGAACGGATTGCCAATATGGAATTTATGGCGGAGTCGGCAGTGACCGAAAATGAACTGATCATTGCCGCTGAGACTTCCCGATGTGCGACCGAGCAGCTGGAAAATATTGGGTCTGCAATTCGCTCGGTTGCCGACGATACCTCTGCAGTCACCGAAGAATTGGCGCAGGGCGTACCATTGGTAGCGGATGGAAAGTCAGCAGAAGATGTTATGAAGAAGATCGCGTCAAGCCGCTCGGAAGGCGATCAAAAGCGAGAGAGCGTTGCTGAAGAGGATCTGAGTGAAATTGAGAAACTACGTCAAAGAGTCGCGGAATTAACTTCAGAACTGGAAAGTCTAAAGGCGGCAAAAGGGGGGCCACTTCCAGTCTTGGCAAATTCGGGGAGAAAGCTCGAGCACGTACGAATACTTTCTTGAGAAGTCCTTTTATCAGATCTTCTCACGTCAAGCTCTGGTACAGGCAACGAAAGCACGACCCTCTCCTCGAACACGGACAAGTACGAAAAGTCAGGTGGGGGGATGTGGTTTACGATTTACATTGCTATATTATCTTTTCCTCATCGCTCTCTACGCTAGTCCTCTGCTTCAGAGGGAACTACAAAGAACCTGGACCAAGATGTACTGGTGAGCGACATCTACTCTATCAACCACCCGTTAGCGTCTCTAAATAGTTGGGGTTGCCCCAGTCTACCTCTCCAGAAATGGTTGAAGAAAAGCCCGCTGAAGATCCTGCTGTGGAGTTCAAGAAGAAGATTGCAGGAATGGGTGGGATTAACCCTTTGATGGGATTGAATCCTGGTATGATGGCTGGACAGTTGAAACCCGGACGTCTGAGTAGGACCCAGTCGCAGGAGACTGGGCTTGAGTTGGGTGATGTTGATGAGAAAGAGCTGAAGGATTGGATTTTCAAGACCATCGGAGAGTCTAGTCCTACCAACCCTGCAGACCTCAAGGAATTATTGAAGGACGGCCAATTACTATGCCGGTATGTTTCAACTACAAATCGCTGACAATGATTTCGCTACTGGTTTATGTTTGTCCCCCATGTTTACCATTTGCCAACAGGTTGATGAACGCGGTGCGTCCTGATTCTTCGTTGAAAATCAACACTGGAAAATTCGCCTTCGCACGGCTTGAGAATATAAACAACTATTTGAAGGCCGCAGAGGCCACGGGGGTAGCGAAGCAATACAATTTTTCAGCGACCGACTTGCAGAACGGCGATAATTACACAGTGGTAAGAAGCGCCTGCGGTGTCAATTATACGACGCGGTCTAAAATTCAGATTACCATACAATCGTAGGTACTTCAAAATATTGCAGATTTGAGGAAAATCATAACACAGAAAAAGTAGCTAGTTTCTTTTCATGGCTGGTCCTTGGGGTGTACATTATTGGGAAAGAAAGATGTTGATATCTCGGTGGTTTTTTGAGGTGCCCTTGGAATATATACGATATGTGATATCAGATACCATGGCAACAGCCATAATGAAGACCTTTTGAGATCGTCGCAGTACCCAAGCGACTTTCGACGCACGACAATGCCAGAAGCACAAGACCCCGACACTCAAACTGGGAGCGAGAATGCCTCCTCAAAGCTTCCTCAGAAGCGATATTTTCGGCAGCGGTAGGTATTTTGAATCTTGTCTACAACTCATTCAGCATCCTCAACCTGTGTATCGCTTGTCCCAGTGCACATGCAAACCCTTTTTCGGACCATCAACTAGAATAGTGAGTGTGTGACTCCCGCTTCTACATCAACCGGAAGGAGCTGAATGCCTTGAAATTTTGCTCAGTCCAGTAAGACCAGAAGAGTATGACTGGTCAAGACACTATCCAGCGTGGTTTCCATTGAAGGAGGGGCAGCCCGAAAAGTTTGTGGAATTTGCAGATATTGGTGCGTGTTCAACGTAAATCGAATCTGGGCGATGGTAACTGACCTGTTGGTGTACCCTTTTATATATGATAGGATGTGGATATGGGGGTTTGCTTGGTATGTGCAAATGAAAGAGAAGATGGCACTCACACACTACTGAGCATGATGCATACCTAGTATCATTATCTCCCCTCTTTCCGAACACACTCATGCTCGGAATGGAAATCCGAGTTAAAGTTGAGGATTACGTTCATAAACGTATCGAAGCCCTTCGAGAGCAGAACAAGGATAAAGCCATTGATGCGGCAGGATCCTACCAAAATATCTCAGTATCCCGGATGAACGCCATGAAGTTCTCTCCCAATTTCTTCCGTAAAGGACAACTTTCCAAAATGTTTTTCCTGTTCCCTGATCCACATTTCAAGAAGCGGAAACACAAAGCCCGTATCGTTACCTCGACACTACTCTCTGAATACGCATATATGCTTCGTGTTGGAGGCATACTATACACTGTTACGGATGTGCGGGACCTCCACGAGTGGATGGTGAAGCATTTAGATGAACATCCATTGTTTGAGCGGATTCCGGATGATGATCTGGTGGATGATCCATGCGTGCCGTGTGTTATGAAGGAAACCGAAGAGGGCAAAAAAGTGGAGCGAAATCAAGGAGACAAATTCTTGGCTGTTTATCGACGGGTTGAGGTAGATTTGAATATGGAGTGGAAGGGGTTCAAGCCAATACTTGGCGGCGATGGTGATGGTGACGACGCTAATGAGGAGGCATAGGCTTCGCCTGCCACCTTGCATTTTCGACCACGTAATACTTTGCAAATAAACGATCAAAACATTTATACTATGGATGTTAATAGACTATATATAAGGTAAAATTACAAGACAGTAAGAGACAATGTACATTTAGGCCAAGACCACAGTAAGAACAGTAACAAAGATCGCGCCAACAACACTTAACACAGTCCACTGAGGAATTACAACAGCATTCGAAGGCAACTCCAATGGCTTGTTAGACCCTGTTGCTGTCGGCGCTATGGTCGAGACCGGTGTGGGAGTCGGGAGAGTGCACTTTGCTGGATTTCCTTGGTTTGCCGGGGGAATCGCATTCTGCGGGTTCTTGGCAACAATGGCTCCCAGCTTGTTCAAATTCTCGTCACTGAAAGGGATCCCACCTCCACAAGGGTTGAAAACGGTGTAGATTGGCATACCACCCTGAGGCACGCTCGTCGCAACGTAGATAAAGTAGATAGAGGACGAGTTCACTATGGCTTGGGCACCAGTGTTTGGAGGACAATTCGGGTTCGGGAATCCAAAGCCCGTTACCGTCAATTGATTATTCGCCATATTCGCTCCAGTTCCCTTGTTGTTCCCAAAGGACGCGTACACACACTGAATCAGCATCGTTGCATTGTAGTTTGCGGGAGATGCACCTGGGTCTGTCGAGTTTGCATTGTTAGAGGTGATCGTACCGAGGACGGTGTATTGGGCCTTTGTCATAAAGCACTCGACATCAGTTGGAAGACAGTTAGGGACCTGAAGTTGGGCCAGTGCTGTTGTTGCCGATAAGAGACTGAAGAGCGCAGTTAGAGCTGTTGTTAGACGCATGATGGATACGTTTCTGTCAGGAGAGTTGTGGGTTGAAGGTTAATTTTGGGCTTTGAAGTACGGTGGATATGGACGAGGGAGGGTGGTGAGCGAGGTGAGATGCTTTATGTAAAAAGATAGCCAAAGAAAGAACGCCTCTATCTACCTAGCAGATTCCACGACTTGTGTGCTGTATCACCATTTTGTCATTTGATGAACCGCTTCCCCTTGACTTCATGTGCCGTTTCTCGCAGTCAGTCAACGTCGATAGCAGCAAGGAAAAGCATTAGGCAATGTTGATGGCCGCTACGGTCTCCTTTCCTTTCAACGGGCTGTTTCTATTAATAGTAAACTCAGCGACGCTGTTGCTTTTGCATGTGTTTTAACAAACATTGACCCTCGATCCAAAAAGTTTTAATGATATTGGAACATGCAAAAAATGCTGACATGAATAAATAATGTGTATACAAGTGTGCGAAAGGAAAGGTTCGGGATGGCTCAAGCTTTGACTTTTGAGCTCCGCATCCAGATCCACAGCCCAGCCCCCACAGCTGCGACAATACCCACTCCCACAGCAATCTCCATACCAGACCACCCAGTGTTCCGCGTTCTGGACTTGGCTTTCGCTTTCGCTTTTGATACTCTTCTTTTCTTCAGTTTAGCAGACTTTTCTACATGAATTTTTTCCTCTACCTTTGCTTCTGCCTTTGTGCCAGCGGGTTCTTCCATCATGTTAACCTTGACAACGGAAAGTTCCAACTCTTTCAAAGCCTTTTCTACAGTGTCCTCCACTTTTTCCTTGCCTCCCGCCTTTTCAACCACACGTCGAGCAGCGTTGACAAGACTCTCCACATCCAAGATTTTGCCCGGCTCGACACCATTCACCGTTCTCGCTTCCTTCTCCACTCCGACTAAGATATCCAGGCCAATGCCATCGAGCCCCTGAAATTGCGGGGGGAGATCCAGTTTTGGGTCAGCGGCCAAAGCTTCTTTAAGCAGCTCGACGCCTTGAGGGATGTTTTGATCGCAGCCGAATCCATTTATATAGTATAGAGCTAGAGACCACATAGCTCGCGGGTGACGGTAGTCCAGTGCGGCTGTAGAGAAATAAGCAAACGACTGGGAAATACCTTCCGCAGAGGAAGGAAGACCGTTCCCGCCTTCGGCGTACAAGACACCAGCACGCCACATTGCCAATCCCATTAGCTCACGAGTCGAGGGAGCTTGTGTCGCCCGGTGCTGGATGACAATATCTCGTAACCGATCCAGATAGCTAACCGCTTTGGCAAAATCCTTTTCCTGGGTTTGCACGCCCAAATTTTGAGTCTCCTCTTCTCCAGGTCGCAGCTTTATCAGCATATCCTGACTCATCGGCGCAAACCATTCGCTCACAATTAAGCAGGCCTCCGGGTGTCCCAGATCGGCCGCACGCAGGTGGTATTCGAAAGCCTTTGCACGATCGCGTTCCACAGGTATATCCTTGTGCGCATCTTTACCCAGTTCAAACCATGCTCCCAATTTCAAGCACGCCATGATGCTGCCACGTTCTGCGGCTTTACTGTACCATGCCAAAGCACGGTCGGGCTTTGCTAGTCTTTTGAGCATCCAGTCCGCCAGAAGGAACAACGAGTGAGGGTCCATATCGTCCAAAGCTGCATCTTTCGGCATGGGTGCAGGGGTGTTGAGACCAGATGAAAAAAGGACAGGGTATGTTGGTGCAGGCATGAATGAGTCGGAAGGACCAGCTTTGGTGAGGTTTAGGTTCAAGAGACGCAAGTCCGTTCTTGCGTCTCTTTGGAGGTCATACACCGAGTCAAACTTGTTGATGGGATGAAAAAGCCAGCCAGAGAGTCGAGGAGTCTCCTCTCCTTGAACCTTAACTAAGAGGGTATTTTCTTGTATCTCAACCACATCTCCCTCACGGCGTTTAGGGTCATATTCGTCGGGAACTGGCAATGTAATCGTCAAAGAATCCTCTGTTTGGGTGACAGTGTAAGCCGCACCATCGAGAAAGGTGGTCGGAGCAGGAGGGGATGCGCCTGTCTTTGCCGGTGACATGATGCGTACCCAGTGTGCGTAGGAATGTGGACGGAGAACGAACAACGTAAAAGCACCATTTGATATTGCCATGGCAACAAGGGAACTTTAACGATCAATGCCTCAATACTGGATTGAGCTGAAGTGCATCTTTGAACCATTTTGCACCAACACCATAACGCTCTCTTTTTTTTTCAGCATGGTAATGATGTGTGAGTTACAGTCAATAATTAATAAGTAAAAATACAAACTTCGAAAGGCGCCTATTCAAACTACATTATAGACTCCATCCAAAAAAATAGCCGATGGGGGCGCATACGCCTGGGTCGATAAGCGCCGTGGTATCAAGATGCCGCCATACTTTCAAGAGCAGTAAACAATTTCTTAGTCTACTTCTTCGTGCTAGAAATAACCGAGACTGACGACAAGGAAAAAGGAAATGTCAGTTCTCCTTCTGCTCCTTCTCAGTAATCGAATACTGTCTTGCAGACGCACCAATAATAATAATCAAAACAGCTGCAATGACCCCTCCAAGGATAAGCTTCATCTTCATATCCTTCCACCACATTTGTTTTCGGACCCTGTTTGCTCCTCGCTTGAATTGTAGCGAGGAGTTTTGAAGGTCCTCTGCACAAAGATATAGAGTCAGTCCGCTGCTATATGCCACAGCCATATTGGCAGGACATACCTGTCTTGTCCTGTAGGGTGTCAAGTTGCTCGCCTCTTTGCATGACCTTATTGATATTATCTGTAGGAATTGAGTCAGCCACCGCCTTGAGAAGTTCTTCGCCAGTTGTGCGAGTTTTCACCTTGCATAATGCCGACGACCTCATTCACTTGGTCCTGCACTTGTGCGGTTTTGCCCGATGGTTGCGACATGGCGAATAATAGATAATGCACAGATGAAAAGACGAAAAGTAGTTGAAGTGGGAAATCTCACTTTGGACCGAACTTGCTCGGTTTAATGACCAGCGCGAAATGACACCGCCATTCTTCCAAAAAGAGATAAATTGCACATTGCAACCATTGGTTTATTCAAGGCTCCTGCCCACTGGACAGCTCTTCATCAACTTCATCCTTCATCTTTCCCCCAACCGCAACCACGCCTTTTCGTTTCCGCAAATTAAGGCTATTTAAACTTTGTGCCAATTTCATCACGATTTCATCATGCTCACGTTCCTGGTCTCCGAGCTCAAGTTGCAGCTCTTTCACCTTTTCCTCCAGGGTGGAAATCCGTGCCTTTTGAGCGACCGTGGTTTGTTGGAATAAAGCTCTCTATACCAGGATTATGATTAGAGATGAGCTACTACATGTCTAGAGGATTCACTAGGCCGTACCTCTGCCTGCAATTCCTTTAGTTGATGGGTTAAATCTTGTATCTCCAGCTGCAATTCCTTTTGCCGGGCCTTATGCGCTTTTCCCTGTGCATCCTTCTCATGTTCGAGGCGGTGGATATTCTCTGTGGCAGATGCAGCTTCATCCGTCACCTCTCGAAGTCTATAGAAAAGGTTCTGAATAAAGGCGCTTCATGTGCGCGTGAACGTATGCTGGTGAATAACTTACTTCTCTCGACAACATGCCAATGCTTGCTCAGTCTCATGATTCTTTTTCTTGTATCTATTTGTTTCTTCCGTCATTTGGATAAGCTCTCCCTTGATTCTGCTACTCTCGTGTCTTGCTTCTGAAAGTGACCTCTGCAAATCCGCTACCTAGTGGTCAAATTAACATCGGTGTTCAGTAAGTTCCATATTTGGAGCCATCTAAGGCACTTTGCTCACCTTCTGGGTCATATCTGCATTTGCTATTTCGCTTTGTTCAAGAGCAGATGTCTTCTGGTCCAAACATTCCTAGAATAGGAGACTCTTATAAGATGCTAAACGTGGGAGTCAAACTCCACCCAACCACCATACAGTTAACCGATCCAGTTCTGCCTATGGATACCACCAAGCTGTGAGAAATTGAACTAGGTTGTCTCAATCCATTAACTCACCTTCAGGAATTCTGATTTGTTCGAGTGGACAGAGATCTTCCGCTGAGAAATCGCATCTTTGAGCTCCATCTCTTTGCGCATGTTCTCTCGTGTGATAGCAAGCTCCTCTTCCTGAAATTGCCATGTCTTAAGGACAATCGCCGTTGTTTTGAATACGGCTGAAAGAGGTTACCAGCTTTTCCAAGGTTGCCAACGTCTCGTCCACTTCTTTTAACTCGAATCTTTTCTTTGGTTTTGAACAAGCAGTAACTCGACCAAGATTTGTGTCTACATTATTCGCATTATTTACGATATCCTTCTCTTGCCAGTCTTCAGCTGCTCTCGATATATTCAGTCGAGCCAGAGAACGACCTAGCCTGCGGTCAAAGTTAGCAGCCGAATAGATTCAACTTTACAACAACCTTACTGACATTTGTTGGCAATGAGTTGTTCGTGCGACCAGAGCCAGGATACGCTCAATTGTAGAACAGCAGGAAGATTCACGCATTATTGTCGCTAGCGTTTTGGCAACCTCATCGCTTGACAGAAACTAAGGATATGGTCATTGCGGCTTCATCAGCAAGTGGCTCCTGATTTTCATCTCACCTCCAGCGCATACGGCACTTTCTTGGTCTCTCCCAAGTGAGTAACGAGAGTAAAAACAGCAGCACATGCATCCCCACTCTTCATATTGCTCCATAGATACGCCACGGCAATTTCCAAGGCAATAGATATCCACCGTTCAGTATCAACTGCTTCCATATCCGCCTCGTCTAGATCGAACCGGGGGAATGTAATCAAAAGTGTGAAGAGTCAAGGCACTTGCAAAAGCTATATACTCGAAAGAAAGCAAAATCAATAACAAAAGGATATCATCAATCGTTTGGGCAAGTTCTAGCAATTCTTTTTGTGTCAACCGCTGGGCTGATTCATGATTCTCAGGTTCGACGTTCATTTGATCTTCCTTGACGGTTTCCAAAGCCGACGCAAGGCAATCAAGCAACAGGGGTATTGATGGGATAAACTGGTCGGCAAGTCGATCAAACTCTTCTTGCGTTACAGATTCATTCTCGAGCTATAGGAATGAGTTAGTCCAGCGTCCGTCCAAGGATGAAGGAGGCTATTATGGTACAGTACCGCGATAAGTACGGTTCGCAAAAAACTACATGCGTTGACGGTGCTGGAGCGGATTTGCATTCCCCGATCATGTTGCCCGTTACGGCCACGAACCAGCTTCTCTTTCGGCTCAAGACAATATTGGGCAATGCCCTCCAACGCCTTCGGTACTGCATCGGACTCTAGTACTACTGCTAGTAGCTGGTGACTATATTTGCAATTCTCCATCATCACCGCCGCAAAACGGCACATCTTATACGACATCCAGCATTAATGAGATGCAAAGAGTAATTCGGTATTTCTCTGGAGGTTACCATACTTGGGACAAAAGTGCTTCATCTTTCGACAAAGACAGCAGTAATTTGCGTATGACCTGCGTATCTGACACATATCTAAAATTCGTCAAAATACAGCCCTCCTGCCAATCAAGTTTCCAGAACATACCTTTTCAAAGTTCCCACCAACTTCTCTTGCCGGAACATGAATTCTAGCAAGTCGATAGCAGCCTCGTGGCACGATTCTTGGGAATTCTGCTTGCTCAATATAGTAACAACCAATTTCCATGCTTCTTGAACATTTGCATCGTTAAATAGATTTTGGATAATACTGGTGCATCCAACAAGTTGCACGAGAATCTGGAGGCTGTAAATCACGAGAATCAAGTTCTACGTCACAAAACTAGATAAGTTTTATGCAAGGAAGCCATAAAACGTATCAAGCTAACCTCGTCGCTCAGCATCTTCACCAATCGCCGCAATATTCGTGGTAGTACTGATACGGATAAGAGGGTATTCCGGAACGCCTCGGACTCGCAAAGGTTGGAAAATAATCCCAGTATCTCCGAGTTGAGGGTCTCAATGGTCATGCTGGCAACGATATAACTCATGTAACTCTGATCCCACTGGTGGCCCAAGTCCCATTCAACCCACCTTTACTCACATCTTATCACAAAGGATTTCAACAAAGTCCGGTGCAGTGCATTTCACCTCGCTTTTATATGTAATGATACTCAGAAGAGTAACAAGCTACGACGAATGTACCAAATTATAATGGGCTGCATGGGTCACCGCGCACTCGTAAAAGGCACCTTTGGAAGCTTGTCAGTGCATTTCGTGAGATCAAGGGCCAAGATCTCCATGAGCGGCACTTGAAATACAGCAATAAGTTCTCGCCATAACGAATCCTTCGCTAAGAAACACGGTCGCGACAAGCAGATAAACATAAGGCTCTAGCAATCTCGGAAGACAGAACAGCATTGAAATCCACCTAGTAGTTCCAATATCTCATTTGTTCTCAAATACAATTCCTTTTCACTGCCCGAAACCCGTAAAACGTTCACCAACTCAGATACGAAATTGTATGCCGCGCAAGCATTTCGCTGTTCAGAGTCAGACCCGAAAGGCTGCCAGAATGCTGGCAAACGAAGTAGGGACGGCGTTTGACGGAATTCTTCGAGACAAGGCTACATATCCAGTGCATTTCAGTGGCGGGTCAAAAGTACATAAAGGCCGAATAGAGACAGACCACAATCAACGGGTGAAGCTTTGTTGAAATTGATTCTGGATGGGAGTGTCTAGAGCCCAGGATCTCTAGGAGTTGTTCAGAGGCATAATGGGGATGTAGAGGAGGGGTTGGGGATCGTGCCAACATTAGGTAGGATCTTGAAATTCATTTCTTTGACGATTCTGCAAGTCCAAGGAAAATGCTCGTCTGTGTCCGGAAGTCTCGGACGGATACACGCGACGATACTGGAAACGGCACATTGGCAACAATTGTAAGTTGGAACAATGGAAACTCCCTCGCAAGCCCCCCGAGCAGCAAAACTCCCTGAAAATAACAACTCCGTATGTAGCGGCGAGATGGTTCCAGACGACGGAAAGGCACGTTCCAAGACCAGACTGTATTGTGTTCAGTTGGCCTAAACCTTAACGCAGATGCACTTCGGTGACGAAACCACCGAGAGGCCGAACATACCTGTTTTGAGCATACCGTCTGGGAAAGAGCAGGCTGAAAACTTCTTAAAGCAGCTAGCAAACATTTCTCTGCCCCGCGGGCAATCACAGTCCTGATAATGCCATGCTACTAGTGGATGTATTGCTTCCGTTACCTCACATGCCCTATGTCATATACTGTCTCACTAGCTATCTATGGCAAGCAACACTACACATACTGCTGTCTGATCATTTTAGTGATGGGTAGGCATGTTGACAGCTGCCTCCAGCTCAGTGGCATCTTCGTGTCTCCAGAGTTGCGTAACTGTCTTCGTCGAAGTGTAAAACTACAAATGATAGTGAATATCAAAGTTATCTCAGCGTTATGTGACAGATACTCTACCTGAATGCCGCTTTTTCCGTAAAAGTTGAGGTCTCCCTGAATGCTTCCGCGACTCCCGGTGAACCTGGTAATACATTGAGCCAAGATAAGAATCTTGACGCATAATTGTAACTTGACTGTGCAAAACTTACGAGAACATAGGCAGCGGGACAGGGATGGGGACATTCACACTGGGTATTACAATAATGTTAGTGAAGCCTTGATACCAAATACTGGATGTCAAGGGCTTACCCGACTTGGCCAACATCAATCTCCTCCGTGAACTTGCGAGCAATTGCGCCCGAATTGGTAAAAATAGCAGTTCCATTGCCTATAGAGCATCACAAGGTTAGTCACAAGCGAGCGGCCAAATTAGAACACAACCACCTTACCATACGGGTTTCTGTTCACCATCTTGATCGCATCATCCAAGGTGTCAGCTGAAAGGCATACCAAAACCTGGAAACTACATATAAGCCAAATGAATGCAAACTGTGCGGCCTTTGACCCGAATACAGACTGGACCAAAGATCTCTTCGGTGTAGCATCGCATTGTCGGTTTTACATCTCCTAATATGGTTGGACCAACGAAGTTTCCGGCCTTGTACTTCTCAGGAACCTAAAGAACAGTAAGCGCACATGCCATCGGGCACAACCAAGAACGTGATCTCAACCTGAGGGTTCCGTCCGTCCAGCAGCAATGTAGCGCCTTCATCAATACCTATGTAAAATGGCAGCAATACGCCTCAGTGATTGCACAATATATCATGAAATGTTACTTGGTTACCAGATTGAATCAGCTCTTCACAGCGTTCCTTAGCCTGGGGAGTAATAAGTGGCCCTAAATCAGCGCCCTCCTCAAATCCCCCAGTAACCTTCAACGTCTTGGCGCGTTCCACAAGCTCCGGCAACCATTCCCTCGCTTTTCCCACAAACACGACAGTAGATAACGCCATGCAACGCTGACCAGCAGCTCCGAAAGCAGCTCCAAGAAGCTGATTCAAGGTGTGGTTTTTGTTCGCATCTGGCATAATCACACCATGGTTCTTTGCTCCAAGGTTGGCTTGAACCCGTTTCCCGTTGGCAGTTCCGCGTGAGAAAATGTATTTTCCAGCTCTGTCTGAGCCAACAAACGAGATGGCACGAATTGCAGGGTCATCACAGAGGAAATTTACAGTATCGACACCTATATATGGATCACATTAGTATCTTTGAACGCAATGTTCTTGAACTTTTAAAATGTTCTTGACGTACCGCCATGCACAACGTTGAGAACACCTTTAGGTACACCAGCTTCTTCAGCGAGCTTTGCCAATATCATCATAGCACCCGGATCCCGCTCCGAAGGCTTGATGAGGCATGTGTTGCCTGTTGCGATGGCCAAAGGGAACATCCACTGTAAAATGTTGAAATCATAAGGTTTTCGGTGCTCACAAACCTGGAGGAGGCTGACGGACAACCTACCAAGGGTATCATAGCGGGGAAATTGAAAGGGGCAATACCAGCGACCACGCCCAATGGTTCACGGATGGTGAACGTGTCCATGTCTCGCGCAACGGGAAGCTTCTCACCCATCAGAAGCGACGGGATACCACACGCGTTCTCAACTCTGCGACACGGACTGTTGAGGAACAAGTGTCCAGAGATTTAACAGCATGGCAGTTTACTCACACTTGCAGACCACGCAGGACATCACCCTTGGCATCTGGAAATGTCTTTCCTTGTTCTGTCGTGATGGATTTCGCAAGTTCATCCTATAAAAAGCTCGCGCTCAGCAATTATCCAATATTGCAACAGTTAAAGTTCCATAGTATCAGCGCACCATGTTATCTCTTATGAGCAATTGTAGATTCATCATGATCCGCTGTCGAGTCAATACGCTGCTCTGTTTCCATGTCTTGAATGCCTCTTCAGCGGTTCGGGACGCATGCTTCAATTCCTCCGGCGTCGCTTGTGGTACCAACGTTACGAGCTCCTGAGTTGCCTATAAAGAAAAACATATTAGTCGCTTAACTCTTGCACTATGCTTGCTTGTGGAGCACTTACTGGGTTGCGCAACTCAAACCACTGCTTCGTCTGTGACTCAAAGAACTCTCCGTTGACATACAATTGTGTAGTCGGTGTCTTTTGTGACTTTGTGCGTTCCACAGTAGCTGTAAGAGACATTCCTCGCACAGAGGCAAGTGTACATGTCCGGCTAGCCAACTGAGACAGGAATTGTTAGGTGTGCAGGACGAGAAAGAAGTCCACAAGGCATGTCTTCACCTGCAGGAAACGGGCTGCGGGCCTGGTGCGCGTGCAAAGCATTGTGATGTTGAAGCAAAAGACAACTCTAGGTGGGCAAACTAGCAAGTCGAAAGCACCAACTTACAAAAGCCAACTTTGCCAACTTGAATGTCACGCGATGCGCGGACCTCTCGTGTTACCCTCCGAGGCGCAGCACTCAACTCGACGTCTGAACTGCGTTGGACAACGGACAACGAAACGCACAGGTAATTGCCACATAGGCCCTTTTGGCAAATATACAGTCTACTTCCATACTGCCATGCAACTCGCAGCCGACTTGGGTGTCGCTTGAAAAAACATGTCATTCTTGAAGTGTGCCGTTTGAATGACCTCTACTGCACATCCAACTCTTCGAGTTGGCTGCATACACCAGTCGAGGACATGCCCCGCAGATGATACCTGATCGATCGCGTCTTTGGACGCCTTTGTCGCCTTTAAGATGGCTTCGTCAGCCTCATCAGGGTCATCCACCCAAGAGTCTTCTTGGCCTCCATGCTCACGAGGGTGTCCCCATCAGAGGTTTGCCATCTCTTCAGGATCAAAGATAATGGTGGTATGGATGGGGGTGATGGACATGACTCGGCGATACGAATATCTTTTGGAGCCAGGGTTCGGAAAAGATTATTCCATTGACAAGGCAATTGTGAGGGGACATACGCGGGTGCTTTGCCACTGTTTTGGAGGACTACTCGGTGCAGTGCAAGCATTGACCTTTGCATTTTCTGGAACGTACGTTGGATACGCTGCGGTGCCCATTCACGCGCCTACAGCGGGTACTCATTCCACGAACAATGTGTATGTCTATGGATTGGGTTAACAACTCAGATGTAATGTCCTGTCTGTTCGTACTTTGAATGACTGTCGGGTGCAACCTCAGCAAGCTTCACGACCTTCATGGGTGCAACGACAGTTCCCATTCTTACAGCTAGCGTACAGGGAGTATTGCCAAGGTAAAGTAGATGCACCGGAGGTACCCAACTCGTGCAGTGGGATCAATACCCTAAACTAGGACATTGAGCGTCAACCCAGCGCAAATGCATATGACTTCAGTGGAAGCTCTGGTAGCTCTGTCAGTATCATACAAATACAGTGACGGCCGTTTTGGGAATCAATGGGAATATCATGCAATAGGGGCGCCGACCTTGGCTGCACTGTCTCGGTCACATTGCCAGCAGCAGGTCCCAATCTTGAGGAAATCCACAGCTTAACAATGAGAAAAGCACAGCTGTGGAGAGCACTTGCATGTCAAAAAATGAGTCACAATATACTCAACAAGGATTGCCCTACATATGTCATTCAGTGTCCTCCCAGGCGTCATCTTTATACGGGAATTTGGCTCGGATTCATCCAATCTGCTATTTGCGTACCCTTCCGATCCATCTCCTTGCAGAGACAGCGGACTCTTTCTTCAGCCAGAAGAAGACTGATCAAAGGCCCTCCTGTCAATCTTGTTCAGTTTCAGGTTGAGATCGTCAAAGCAGCTCGCTTGAGGTCGGCGAAAGCGGCACACTCTCTAGGCACGTACTTTGAACCGTAGGGATCTCAAAAGGTCACTAGAATAATGCTTTTTCGGGATGGTCCCCTTGGATGTAGGGTATTCAGTTTTGCCCAAACATCTTTCAACGGCACTCGCTTTTCTTCAGGAAAATCCCTCTGATGCAAACGAGCGATTTCATAGCTCCTTGTGTCCAAAATTGTTAATTCATTTCCTTTATAATTCGACTACAACTTCCTGATTACTTCGTCGCGGTCTGCTGGGTTGACAACGACTGTGCCGATGCGAATTGCAAAGAAGGGCATGAGCGCGCTCGGACCATTGAGTTTATCGCAACTTAATGGCGACGACAGCCATGTCAACATCGGGATCTGTGGTAAGATAGCGAGCGCAAAGGGCTCATCGGGGACTCTGGGCATCTACCAAGTTTAACAAAGGGCCTCTGCTTGGCACGACGCAATAAATATATTCGCAGGTTTTCAGTCAGGCAGTTTTATGGTAATCCTGTAGTGATTGACAACGTTTGCTTACATAAGCGATCGGGACGTGGACGATCACGAGTCTGTCCAAGCACGGACGTCGCCGTCGCCATACATTTTCCGACCGTCAGAGTGTAACGACAGATCGCAAAGCGCTTTGTGATGAAAAAGGATAACTGAGACAGTAAAAGGGGTTCGAGGACGGTAGTATGGATGAGCAGGAGGCTTTGGGACCCCTGAGAAAAGTTGAAGAACAAACTGGTCATCAGAATTGACCAAATCGGACACATCCTTGCTTACCTACTTGGGTCTTTCCGTATGCGCACCTATAACCTTTAGAGGCAACAGGTTAATGACCTGGTAGGAGCACTGTCCCATAATAGTGATCTTCCAATTCAAACCAATGTTTATCACGAGACATTTTATTGATGTCTGCTCAATATCCACAGACGCATAGAATCATACTAATGTCTAATCCTTAACTGGAGCCTGCTAGTCAAGGAAAGGTAAAATGTCTACCCCAAAGCAACTACCGCTACTCTAGAAATCTAGATCTGGAGGAACTTGTTGGGAGTACCAGAGGGAACACCAGAGATGGCGTTGGTCTTGGCCTTGCTGAGGATGAATTGGAAAGCTTCCGCGGGGGAGGAGAAGGAGCGCTGGCTGTAGGCAACGGCAAGAGCACCGGTAACGTGGGGAGTGGCCATGCTGGTACCAGAGATGGTGTTGGTGCCACCGTTGTTCCATGCAGACTTGATTTGAACACCGGGGGCGATAATGTCTGATGGAGAGCAAAACAGTCAGCACCTAAAAAGCCATGTAGTGCATTGTCACGCATTTGATCACTTACCAACACAGGGACCAAACTCGGAGAAGGAGGCAAACCTGTTGTTCACATCCGAGGCGGCGACGGTGAAAGCTTCCTTGACGTTGGAGGGAGATCCAGTGCACGAGTCCTTTGCAGAGTTACCGGCAGCAACGGCCAATGCAACGTTGGCGTTGATCAAAGCACGGGCAGCGTTGTCGGTGGCCGAAGATTTGCTACCACCAAGGGACATGTTGGCAACAGACTTGCGTCCAGTCGATCTCGCCCTGTCAGCGACCCAGTTCATACCCGCAACAACCCCGGAGTTAGAGCCACTTCCGTCGGCACCAAGGACACGGACACCAATGATGTTGACCTTTTTGGCAACACCGTAGGTGCTACCACCGATGGTACCAGCCACGTGGGTACCGTGGCCGTTTCCGTCGGTCTGTCCGGATTCACCGGTGAAGGAAGCACCCCAGGTTGCGCGGCCGCGAAGGTCAGGGTGGTTGACGGTCACACCAGTGTCGATGACGTAGGCGTCTACACCAGCGCCAGCGCTGTCGGGGTAGGTGTATGAGCCGTCAACGCGGCCGTCGAGGGAATCAATACCCCACAAGCCCCTGTCCAAGCCACTCTGGGTGGCCTCGAGCGTGACGACGGTGTCGGGCTCAATGGCCTGAACTTCGGGGTGAGCCTGGACCTTTGTGAGAGCATCGGCTTCCAACTTTGCAGCGAAACCTTGGAGCTGGCCACTACCAAAGTCGTACTTGTGGAGGAGTTCGGCCGACTCTGCGCGACGGAGGTCAGTCTTGACTGAGCCGAGGATGTCGTTGATGAGAGCGTCAACGTTCCGGGGGGCAAAGTTGTTGGATTCCTTGAAGGTAATAATGTACTGGCCGGGGATGACATCTGGAATATATTAAAAGGGAATGAGCGACCAAGTAGACTTAAAGCAATTGAACCAAAAAAAACTTACCACCAGCACGCTTTTGCAACACTGGGGAAGCCGAGGCAACAGATGCCAACACGAGGCAGAGGAAGGAAGTCAAGCGAACCATTTTGAGGGTATAATGAGGTACAAAAAGAGTGTAGTAGCTTTGGGTAGTTAGTGCTTGTGGGGAACTTGGAGGAACAAAAGTGGAAGGGCGGAACAGTTGCCAGCTTTTATAGACCTGGGGGATTATTATTTTGGCCGGGCATTTCCCTTTCTCTCTCTTTTGCCCTCCTTGACCTATTCCATGATCTGGGACGACGGGGGGGACGGCACTTGTGTGCTTTTGCTGTGCAGTTTAACTCGTTTGCATGATCACTACAGTAAGATACACAGTGGTTGCCATCAATCCCCCGATCGGATCAAGGAGAGAACGCGCAGATAACAAAAACTTGTCAAATGCGTGGGATGAAAAGTTGGCAGTGCGACGGATGTCAAAATCTCCTTCTTGTGATGATTTTGTCTTATCACTTTTCCAAAATCTTAAACTTGTCGTAAGAAGAATGCGGTCAATGGCTTTGTTGGGTGGCCCATCGACCGTTTGAAAGATTTTTTTACTAGTAGGAGACTTGTCTCGCAAAATACGCCCTAAAACAAGAGAGTTAAATCACCTGTGTGGACGGCCATCTTACAGAAATTATTGCTACCAAAAAAGATTTTGATTTTTATAAAGAATTTGTAATACACAATTGTTTAAAAGATTATCATCTTGTCACTAAACAAACAGCTTTTGCAAAGAGCATTCGCAGTATTGCGTATGTTTGCAACACACATGATAGTTTTTCTGATGACAAATACACTTTCATGGATGGACTGATAGCAACAGTGTGTAAATCAGACATGTCAAAAAGTTTATGGTTTTTTGCATGATCTGTGCGGCTGTGACCTTTTGGGGTTCAACCGAGCACGATCCGTCATGAGAGAACAAGATCACTGGCACATGCAGCAGCCGTTATCGTCCCATGCTGCTCCTCCGTGATCACACCTGTGGTCTCCTCAATGGCACACTACATGACGATATGGCGAGCGCAGAGACTGCGCTTCCCCTATGCGCAGACTGTCTGCGCCAAGAAGGTGACAAAATAGTCGGGTGAGCTGCTGTATCTGTTGAAGTTTGCTGGCACCCTCCCCTTTTCACAGGGTGTTACTTTGACACCTGCGCGCACACAACGCCGCGCGGTTGATCAAAAATCCGGTTGTAAAGGCAAAAAGATTTCGTGAATTTAGAATTGCACCATCTGTGTGGAACGGCTGATTTTGCGCAGACAGCGATAGGGCAACCGTAGGAGAGCAACATTACGTCGATATTTTGCAGCTCGGCGCCGTTGCATGGTACGACGCTGATCTTGCCAAGAAAATCAGCTACACAAATTGTCCATGGCCAAAGGGCAAAATGTTTTTGGTATTTGTCAACATTTTCATTCATGGACAGGACAACTTTAAAGGGTTAAGTAGTAGACCGAGATTCTATAGTGAGCGGCGGTTCCTCCATCATGGCCTCAAGCTCGAGCTTCAAGTCTTCACAAAATTGGTCTAGCTTGAGATCATTCGGATCGTAACCAAAAGGATCCTCTGAAAAGAAATAACAAGAGCAACGAGTTTATAAAAGAAACTCTCAAGAGCAATGTGGTTTCAGAAAGTGACATGTACCGATTTCATCGCCAATTCGCGCTACACCGAACAGTGCAAATGCAGCAAGACTGACGACTGGAACTTGAAAGAGCGCGAGCTGCCCTATCAGTTGCGGTGGAAGAGCTAGGCAGTATAGCCCTAGAACTGCAGTTTGACGCAAAGCATGAGGACATTACCAGTCTAGCGAGAGCTATTCATGTCATACAAGACCTTGTTTCAAATGCACTGTGTATGCAGTAGGCATAGGTGTCGATGACACCCGTTCCATGCTACTGATTGTTTGAACCAAATCGTTGAGTATGAAAACCATTGCACCGTACAGGTTAGAGTCAATGTAAACCTATAGAGGATCGTCCTTGTCAGACGATCAAACCCTTGCTGGAAGAGAAAACATACTACCTTGTCTCGTAGCTCCAGCATTTGGGACGACATCAGATGCGATATTTCCATGGGCAGGTTTCGAGCGCCAATGGTCCCTGCAATCAAAGGTTTTGTTTTCCCAGTCGAGGCTGACCCAACTCGCTCCACAAACTCTGGGGGCAGTAGGTGCACGAGATCGGGGTAATTTGGACCAGGTTCATGTCGAAGATGGTGCTTTGTAGACACTGCCAGCGCTATCGTCAGTCGAACGAGCCTTTCTTTTGCTTGTATGGCAGCCTGATTCGGGGATCCGTCCTGGAGTACATGTGACGATGGATTGCTTACCCAAGTCAGGCGGGCAAGGTTGCGAGATAACGCAACAAAATTGGCCCAGAGCTTTCTTCCTTCCCAAAACCTATGCATGCCTGGTCATTCAATATTGCGTGTGCGGTGAAACTCCATCTGAGAGCAAGATCACCTATCATATGCAAGGTTCTGATTTACATTACTCAAGAGTTACACGGCAAATGGACTACGACCAAGCTTACCGTCCGGAATGCCAAAAGTAACCCGACAACAAAGCTGAGTATGGGAATCAGATGTGATCCCACTGCCAGCGATTGACCAGCAACTGTATAGTGCAGGTACGTGAAGATTGAGGCGTAGGTGGCAAAAAAGCCCGTGACGGGGAGGACTTCAGGTATAATAGTCCCCTTTATCCGAAAAACGTCAGGATCTATGATAAGCTGCCGACCTCACTTGTGAGTTTACAGAAATATCCTCTCCATAGTATAACCATAAGTGCCCACGTACTCTCCGGGGCCGAAAGCGGGGTTGAAGGGAATTCGAAGAGGGAGCTTCGCTCCTTGTAAGTATCAAGCGCGGTACGGTAGTGGAGCCCACCAACACGGACGTTGCTGCAAGGACAGGGCTTTGCTTCGCGTAGCCTAGAGGTAAGCGCTGCCAAATAGGATTTATTCGACAAGACCGGAAGTCCAGCCGTCGATATCCCAACACTTGAGCGCGTTGAACAACCCACATGAGCCCCAATTATCTACTAGAATGATGGGTTTTCAGCGCCAGTAGGTTCATGAGGTGGAGGAAGAAGTGCAAGGGAAGAGCGCTTGGGAAGTAGCACGTGACGAGCCGTCCATATTTGGCTTGATGAAGGTTGCTTGAGCATTGATGCAACGAGCTCCTTCCTTCTACCAAGTGCGATTTTGCCAACACAATTCCACTCGCTAATGTCATGATACTATGCCTGCACTGTGATACCCATTGCCATGCCAGTGCTGTAAATGGGTCACAGTTGACTGAAAATCTGGTCTTTCACAAAAGAGGTTTCATTCCTACATGCTAACCGCAGACGACAACCGACAGTCCAACATGCTGTTGAAAGGCACAGTGATATGTGCTTCCAGTATGGATAGGGAGTTGAAGGTACAGTCATTCTTTCTCAAGGATAATTGCTTGCACTTGTCCGGTCGTTGCATAGGCTGAATTTCCTCGTGCGTGAACCTAAAGCAGGAGATCAGAACTATGGTTGAGGAACTGGGCGGTACTTACAGCCAAGGCCTGAATGTCCAAGTCAATTATCTACTTGCCGATACGGTAAGATCAGGTTTGTCAGAAGCATATCGTTATTAAAAGCAAGTTTCAAATATCACACATTGACTTTGGGTTTTTGCAGAAAAATACAGGGTATGTATTCACATAATCGACAGAAAGTGGCCATGTTACGATATAGCATGGGCTAATTCTTGTCATAGATGGCTGCAAAGCTTTCCATACCCATCGTACGAACTGCCTGGATTCGCCTCTGCTTTTCTCATCGCAACGACGAGCGATTCGATCCTTTAAAAGTGAGACGAGATCTATGATATCCGAACATTGTGAGCCAACTCATTGACATTCAGCAGCACATTGCAGAGTACGAGTTATTACCCTTTGCCGGATTACGTGTTGCTGTAACAAACTTTCAACCATGTGAGAATCCGGTATGGATTACGGCCAGAGGACCTCGTCTAACATATCCTGCAGCGGAAGTGCAAACGATTAAAGAACTCGTGTTGCAAAACGGTGGAGACTTTTCAGGACAGCTGACTTCAACCTGCACGCATCTCATTGCCGCGTGGTATGTGCCCCGTTTTCTGTGTGGACATATAATATTGGTAACCTGACAAGTTCTGCTCAGTGCTGGCAGTAGGAAGCATGACGCGGCCATAAAATGGAAATTGAACATTGTAAACGCTCAGTGGTTGCATGATTCTATTGCCATGAATGGTAGAGAACACCTTGCTGGTTGTGCTTCATACTATGGCCATATCACTGATTGGTTGACTTGAACAGCATGCGCGGATGAAATTCTCTACCCTATTGAAGTCAAAGACCCGAACGCCAAAGTGGATAGTACGTCATTGGCCCTTCTCGAAGATGACGATAGTACCTCTCAGGATTGCGCTCTGCTCTATCTCGATCGATGTAATATCTATCCTGGGGAAGGATTTAGTGATCAGCAGTTACAGCAAATCAAAAAGATGATTCGAGCCGGAGGAGGGTCAATGCCTAAAGCGTTTGACGGGTTTGTTACTCATTATCTAGTTCCAGGGAGGACTGCTTCTGAAGGGTAAGCCGCTAGAATCGCGTCGAGGCTGGCCATTGATAATAACAAACTACCTGCTTTGCCCAGTGACATCCGCATGATCCGGACTAGTGCGCGATTTATACCTGTTATATCGTATCAGTGGCTCCGTGATTGCTACCGCGAGCGGATGCCATTACCCACCGACTCCTACATGATTGATGTGGGGGAAGACCCATTTGAAGCATCCACTGCGAGGCGGACCCGCTGTATTTCGGAACAACGCGATATTACGGGCCTAAATGCTGACACGGTGAAGCCAAAGTCACGGTTGCGCGATGCACAAAAAAGGTCGAGGTCGAGTTTCCAGATGGAAGACGTATTTGCTGACCCTCTGGAGACCAGTAGTATGGCCCATCGAGTGCTGACAAAGGCGAGGGAAGCCCCCAATGGTGACGAATCTGCTGTTATCGCGAACCAAGCGCCGCTGGAAGGGCGCGGTAAGGGATCACTATCAACAAGTCATCCTACAGCAATCTCTTCGCCACGATACACGTCCAGACCGAACCTTGAGTGCAATATCAGCAACCAATCACTGGCAGCATCTGGTATCCATTGTGAACGGTGAGTCTTTGTCATACCCACCGTTCAATTTATGAGTCAGGTAATTGACTATTGTTTACGCTAGGCCCGGCTCACAAGCATACAACGGTATTTTAGCCTTTTACCAGGATCCTAAGCCCGAGGGTTATGGATAACGCTGTTCTTTGCCAGGTGTTTTCTCAGGAATACGGTTTAGTTGCTCAGGCTTTGGTTCAGAAGAGGTAAGCATTGCCGAAGCAAAATTGAAAGGTTCGCTGGCAGACTCACGTCTATTGTCTGAGCTATTAGCGTGAGATGCTACGCCAGCTGGTTGAAGGGCAAGGAGGGAGCTTTATAGTTAGCCTTCCGGAGTCTACCGATGATCACATAGTGATTGTTCCACTGCTCGGGTAATTCAAGCCTTTTAGTTGTACGTTAATTTACCTTCTAGAGTCATTGACAATGTCAGTATCCATAGATCTACTGGAAAAGTCGGCTTACGATCACGGTTGGTGACTGAGTTCTGGTTGGAAAGATGTATAGAGGTATTTGTCTGGTGATTATAGGGACCGTTCATTAGTGCTTCTTAACCTTTAGCTGGTGTAACCGCGCAGGATGGCTTGTTGCATGATATGAAGGCAAACATCCTATTCACTCCTTTACGACAAGATATGCCGCTGCCAGGTAGGTAACAACATGGAGTGAGAGCCAATAAAGCCGCATCGGGTCTCATCATAAACTAGGCTTTAACAGATACGTAATTGGAGTGTCAGGATATGAGGGCGTAGAGCGTGCTCATTTAGGAAAGCTGACAACGATTATGGGTACGGTGTACCATGTTAAAATGTTTTCAATTAGCCTCATCTTATTCTGCAGCATCTCTTAGGTGCCACCTTTACGGAGACATTTTCGAAACAAAACACGCATCTTTTATGTAAACCGGGCACAGATAATGCCAAATATCGACGGGCGAAGGATTGGCGAATACCAATTGTGGATGCGGACTGGTTATATACATGCGCCGCGGCTGTAAGCAGTATGTCCTATTAGCTGTTTTAAGGCGAACTTATATAAGTATCTGCAGGGATATGTAGTGCATCCTCTGGAGGGCGAAAGCGTGGGAAACACCGTCGACGTTACAAGGCGTCCAAAGGCATCTGGTTTGTGAAAAACGGACTGGTTTCTATTGGACGATTATTAACGTCCAAGCATCAGATTTGTTCGATCGTAATACGGCTTTCGAGGATAAAGTGTCAGATTTAGACGAAGAGAGCGAGTTTCCGGCAACAGGTGCTTTTCAACCGAGATTTGAAACCAACGCGGTCTTGTCGTCCTTGATTACGCCGAAAGCGCAACTGCGGGACATTGGCCGCAATGTAATGAGCGGGTCGCCGTTGGAAGTATCGTTCACGAAAAACCTTGAGAAGGCTGTTCGACAAGCTAATGGGCCACGACAGGGGTCCGTTGGCCAGATCCATTCGATAGATTCATCTGGCTCGTGTGTGGAGCAGAAAAATGCTGCACCACCACCAACCCTTCTTCAAGGAGTAATAATCTGCCTCAGCCCCCGAGTCGTTCATAGACGATCTGCGCTGTACCCAATTGCAACTCGAATGGGGGCGGAAATGCTCGTGGCTTACAGCGATACTTGCACCCACTATATGCATCAAGGCAATCGCGTCAATGAAGCGTTCCGGGACTTTAAGATTGCCCGGCAGCGCGGAAAGTATATCGTGTCGCCCTCCTGGCTTGTGGCGTGCCATGAGACTGGGCAGCGTGTCAAGGAGTTGGATTATCCCCATACGTACAATCCCCATCGAGCATTATCCATATCTACACCAACAAGCAGCCAGCGGATGTCAGATACGGTAGAAGATCAGCATCCGAACGAGACATCAGCGTCCTCGTCTCCGCAAGAAAAGCTTGAGCGGGATGATGTGAAAGAAGACGCGCGGCAACACCAACAGTCACCACATGCTGATGATTCACGAGACGATCAGTGCGACGTGGGAGATGATCAAAGCGCGCCGCTACCAGGTGTTGAGAAATATGTTGAAATCATCGACAGGCTCTTGGACGCGAAAATGGTAATCGGCAAATTTGTTGTGATTTGTGTGCCGAGAATATTGATTCACGTAAAATCCTGCATAGACACGACGGCGACCTCGTCACAGCGTGCTACGGCGGGATGTGACGGTATCTTCCATCTTCTCCGACGACATCCCTACTGAAGACAGCACCAAAGAAGTCGGACGAGTGGACGTGCACCCCTTCACTCAAACTCAGATTGCCAACAGACAGCAAGAAGAAGCCGCGGTGATTGTGTACGATGATCCCGATAGTCGAGTAGAGAAACGCAAGCTGCTTGAACAGATTGAGACGAATGGGAAGCGTCCTAAACTCTCCAATAATGAGGATCCATCGACAGAGCTAGAGGGGAACGGCACTACGACGTTAACTGATACCGGCATTATGCCACAACAACTCAAAAATGTTCACGAGGTGAATGAGTTATTGAGACGTAACTCCTCGTTTACTGGTAGTACGCTCGATGCAAATGGATTCACGACTGAAAGCGAAGCCCCGATTCCCCCAAACCGCACAGTTTCAGTGTGCTCCTCCGGCATAAAAGAACCAAGCTATGCCAGAACCACTAGCATGGGAATATCCTCCGTAAGCGAGAGAACAATTTCTGTGCCCACAACGGTAACCCCACCATCCATGCGCAAATCCTCTCGCATGTCCATTTCGACCCGCGTGCTTGAACCTGCCGCTAGAAAGTTCCTGCTCTCTGGATTGCCCCGCGAGGAGCGGGTCCGAATGTCTCAATTAATAAGCCGATTAGGCGGTACCGTGCTTGAATATGATTGTTGGCACCCAGATTGCACGCATTTAATTGGTTCGTTCATGAACGGTGCTGGCATGTTAATTTTCTTTCAAGAAATACTTAATACTTGACTCCATAGTGAGCAAACCAGCAAGAACGGAAAAGCCGCTTGCAGCTATTGCTGCGGGTGCCTGGTATGTCAACATCAATTGTTTGTGCTTATCTCGCATCAGTTAATCTAAAAGACATAAAAGGGTTCTACGGCCAACTTACATAGAAGCATGTAAGACCGCCGCTCGGTTTCTTGATGAGGTCGACTATGAATGGGTTCCAGACCCAGATACTCCTCCCAGTAAGTGTCCAGACGCAGAAAAAACACTGGGTTGGCACCCGTATCTAAAATTTTACCGCTGTCAATCCAGTTGATAGGAATGTATTCAGTGCCCCACGTCGATGGCGACTAAAGCTGCAGAACGCGGAGATGGTTAATGGGATTCGAAAAGGTTTGTCAGCAAGTTAGGGCTGATTGTGTAAGATTCCGCTGATATCCGTATTCAGGAAGTTTTACGGGATGGAAAGTCTTACTGCTCGTGGATAACCGCAAAAAGGACGGTTTTACGCGGTTATTGAATGCTGGAGGAGCCAAGGTTGTTGCAAACCCGAAGACTTTTCGGGGTGTAAATACGGAGGTAAGGACTTTGATCTCTGCTCTGTCAACAGGGCATATTTGCAAACATGTATCCTCATATACCTTTTGAACAGGATTTGACCTACGTCATCACAGATCAGGAACCATCAACGCTTCGCAAACAAGCTGTCCTCATGAGGCTGGCTTCTCGCAGCATACCGTTCGTCGATCCAAACTACTGCGGCGAGTATTTGTTTGGCGAACCGCCCCCTAGTCCTTCGAGATGGCAAATTAATATTTTGGGTAACGAAAGTTAAAAGATGAATGCGTAAAGGTGTATATGCCTGGCCTGCAGGCCCGATTGGTGTCTCTTTGGTGTTGAACAAACGATACATGTACAGTCTAGCGATATCTAAATTAGGAATATTTACACAGCAAATAAAAAGTTTTGGAGAATACAGCGAGCAAGTGATTGATGGCTTTCAACAAGTGGCTGGTCAAAAGCACGCCGCAGCTTATGCCGTGTACTTGAGACATCTGGCGCGGAAACCGAATGAGCATCAAATCAAAGGTTAAACTTGAAACAAAACCTACCGAGTCTCATTATGCGTGTCTCTGCAGGTTATTGAGCAATATCGCATGCCGCATCGTATGCAATTATACTGCGAGAAATATCCACACACAGAGCAGAATTTACGGGGAGGAAAGCGGGATGGTGCTGCTGCTGCTGTTAGGTAGGTAGGTACTTCAGGCGGCATACTTTCAATATTCTATCCAGAATTGGCGTTACTGGCTGAAAACTTTAGGTCAATAACGAGAAACCACTCACAGATTCCTGTATCAGGGTTGCCAGATTTTTCTTTTGGAGAAGGATTCGCTTTACGGATGCCCGTTTCTGACGCTTGTTCATGGATGTTCGGGCTGCGATGACCCATATTAATGCTAGCCTTCTGAATGTGTGCCTAATGCAACAACATACCAGACGGGTCCTCATCTTCCAAAACCCGTTTCTTTCTTGCGGATGATACTATCTCTAGTTCGGCGGTATCTGGGATATCGGCTGCATAATTGTCTTGCTGAAGTTCTTCTAAATGTCGCTCCTGTGCTTTTCGACGGGCGGCTTCGTCAAGGACTATTTTGGGGAGGCGTGACGTTTGGCGGTCTAGGTTACCAGTATCGTTAGAAATGCGGTGTCGCATTGTCCAGTGCATGCATGACCAACAAACACCCTCATTCGGCACTTGACCCGATCTCTTTTTTCCAAATGACCGCATACTTGTACAGACATGCCAAAAGAGGAGAAAACCCGAAAAGCTCACCTGGAGTGCTCGAAACGACGCCAAATCCAACGGCAGCTTGAAAGCTCCTAGACTTGCTGCTCATCGATATCGTTCCTCTCTGGTACCAACCAGCGATATGCCGGACCAAACACAAACGCGACTCTCCGAGTGGTAGGATAAGATGTGTGAGAGTGTATTAAAGTTATCCACACGTTAGTGAGTGGAGGATTCTTCTTGTCACATCAAAGTTCAAGATCTCTTCGGGACAAACACGACGATCTTGGGTAGTGGCACAGCACAACGTTATAACGTAAGCGCCCGATCAGGTCTCGTTGCGACCAGAGACTATTCCGAGATACCACCAGTGGTTCCCTGGTGACATTGGATGATGCTGAGATATCTCATAACCTCAGTCAGAATATACTCGTAATTGGAGCAGATCGGCACAATTCAAGCCGCTGTTAGTACAACTTCAATGGGTGTGGACTTCTTCCACAGCAGCAACGGGATGACTACTGGTGCTCTCGTTATCAGGAAATAAGTTCAGTGTATTTAGCGACTAATGTCTAATTGCTGGACAGATTCCTTACACAAGTATATTCTCCACCGATAGTTCCACCAGAGCATTAATATGCTCGAGCAGTGCAAGTATCTCAAAAATTGCTCTTTCTGCTTCCCTGTCTTCAAGTAACCCTTCGCGTTCTCTTTGTCCGATTTGCCTGCTACAAGTAGGAAATCCTCTTTTACATATCGTCAATCCTTAAGGATTGCTCAGTGTAATCTGCGCCTGATGTATATCTATTCCATAAATGTGCCTTGAACGACCGGAAACCAGAAGCTGGGTTCCACTGCTTCCCTAGTGGAGATACAGCTCTATACGGCACTCTTTCTCCTCCGTCAGTCATTTACCGCCAGGATGGGTAAAGTAAGAGATCACACATCTCACGGAGAGGAATAGTCGGCGATTTTACAGAAAGGCAAATGCAAGAAAGAATGGAATGGTGTTTTGTTTTAAAGGCAGTGTGGATCGTTTATATCAAGTGATGGAATAAATTATGTAGTATCAATGGATACGTAGGTCAGTTCTCAGAGTTGGGGAAGTACAAATGTCAGTACCTGTAGCCACAATTATTGGATCATCATAATGAAGATAAACAATAAGATGGGTCCAACGGCCATTTAATGACTGGACCATTCTGCAGTTGCCTGTAACTTGTCCCTGCACTAGGATATTTTGTCATTTTATCACATTGTAATTTATTTAACTGAGCATTTTTACAAAAGGAACTATATACAACTGGTGCTAGGACAACCGGAATCGTAACCATTTCTTGTTAGAAACATTTAGATGAGTGGTCCTTGCATTCAGTATGCGGCCGGTGGTGGGTAGGCCATGTCAATCTTTACAATTTCGGGGCCTGCACCCCCTTTGCGATAGCCAGGTCCCGTTAGCCGATTACGCGAGGCAATAACTGCTTGATCAAGAGTCTCGTAAAGACGGTCCTCTCCAATTTCTTGTGTGATCTTTGCATTCTTGAAGGCCGCGCGGTGTTGCTTCTTGACGTTGGCAAAGCAAACGCGAACATGGCGGTGATGCAGAGAATGGATCAGTTCGTACAAAACGAGGGCACCCCTGCAGAATCGAGTTGCATTAGCAAAGTCTTTATCAAAGAGGTTGTGGATGCGGGAATAGCAATACTCACGTAGAGTCAATTTCGCGACATAGGCCAATGTCCAAGACAAATTCTTGAATCGGGTTGGGACCCTTTCCATATGATTCAGCAAGTGCACGAGTCTGCTTTTCCAAGCGAGCAAGACGATCCCGCAGGAGACTCGAATTGTAGAACCTCAAACTGGAAAGAACACGAATAATCATGATCTCATCCTTGGTCTGTGCGTTGGGATATTCTTCAATTGAGCGGTACACAACGTCTTTCCCCTCTTGGACTGCACCAAGAACAGCCATTTCCGGCTTGCTGCTCTTCTTGAGCAGGGTCATAAGCGACAGGAGGATACAGGCCATGAGGCCTACCTCTGTGTTGACAAACACTGACGCGAGGAAGGCGATAGCAAGATACGCTACGTCGCGAACGCTTGCCATACGGATGATGAACATGATCTCAAACCATTCAATCAGATTGTACCCAGCGACGAAAAGGATCGACGCGACAGTTGCACGGGGCAAGAATTTGAGTACTGGCAAAAGGAGCACGTAGATGGCCAGAACGAAACCCCCAGAAAACAGTCCTCCTATCATAGTCCTTGCTCCTGCAGCTTCGTAGATCTTGGAACGAGCAAAAGATGCAATGACTGTATAACTTCCAAGCATTCCTCCGAATACGTTACATGCGCCAAGAGCAGCTAAAACATGGGCCAATGTCAGTGGTAACGAACATTGAGACTCGAACTGAGGAGGGATACGAACCTAGTTCCCGGTTTCCTGACACTTGATAGTCATGCTTGTTGGCAAATGCATTGGCAGCCACCATCGTTTCAATAAATCCAACAACTGACATTGTAATGGCCGGTTGAATCAAGGTGGGGATGATCGAGAAGGGCACGTCGGGTAACCGCGGCGGCTGGAATTTCAACGTGATTTCTCCCAGGGTCGAAATGCCCTTACCCTGGAAACCAACGCCTGCACTTGCGCTGATCATCACGGCGACGAGAATCAGAACGGATGGCATATTTTGCACGATTGGGTGCTTGACTTTTCCCTTCAACACTTGCATCCCCAGCAAGAATGCAATTCCGACGAGACCAACAATGATTGTGCCCGGATGAATGTCGCGAAGGTGCATAAAGAAATGGCGGAATTTTTCCATTGTGGATAGCTCAGCCTCGGGCTTGATGATGCCGGTCAACGGTGCAAGCTGTTCAGCTATGATCAAGGTGCCCAGGGCACCGACGAATCCGATCAGTAGCGATCCAGAGAGCATATTGTTAAGGAACCCGAGTCGGAGGACGGCAAAGATGACGTCGATCAGACCGACCTAGTGAGTACAACATGAGATACTGATCTTAGATTAGGCAACAACAGGAACAGGCATACATACCAAGATGGTGATCAGAGCTGCAATCTGATATGTGTCTGCATTTTTCAACTCTGGATGTTCCTCCTGTTCAGCACAAGGTGAGCCAAGTGCTCCATTCTAGCAAGCTAAAGCATGGACGATCTCACTTACCCTCACAAATCGAATCGTTTCGGCCAAAACCACGGTCGTTGCAGCCTCAGGCCCAACAGAAAGATGCTTTCCTCCTCCGAGGAAGGCGTAGATAAAAACTGGGAATATACCGGACAAAATACCGTGGTATACGTTGATGTCGGCCAAGATGGCAAACCCGATTCCTTGAGGAATCAACACCAAGCTGATGGTCATCCCAGCCAGGAAATCCTTGAGCATGTCTCTGAGCGTATAAGTGCGGAATGCTCCGATGATAGGGGAAATGGCAGCCGCCTTATCCAGAAAGGTTTTCTCTTTTTTTACTATTGAAGATCCAGAATGAGTTCAGACCAGTCCAGGAGCAATAGACATTCGAAAAGAACTGACCAGATCCTGTCAACGGAGTGCCATCATTTCCGTACGATCCCGGGCGTCCACTTGACAAGGACCGATTATCCTCGTCTTCTGCATCTCGCATAGCATTGTACAAAAGACGAGTTCTTCTCCTCTGGATAGAGCTGGTAGCGTCATCATCGCGTTGGCGAAAAGCATTCCTGTCGTCGTCATTCCATCCATTGTTTGAATAAGGATAAGTTCCCGCCATCTTCGCAGGTCAATTCTACTGGGAAGTGGGAGGATAAGAAAAGCTGGGCAGGCCAAATATGGGTCCCAGTCCATATATAGTATGCCTTATAATCTTTAAAGGAGAAAAACCTTCTAACCTTATTTTCCAGCCTCCGGCCAACATGGTTTTTAGATTACATTTTTTTCTTGTTGATTGTAGTTGAAACTTTCAAATTGCAAAGTTCCAACACCAGCAAGCGGCGCCGAGATTTTCAAAGTCCCAAATACGAATTTAAGATTTAACTCTTGGCACTTTTGAAACGCGGAGGCGTACTTTAATTCTTGGCTTTTTGAACGGCGTAAATATTTTGAATCGAACGGGACAAGACATGGACACTTTGAAAGGGGCTCTGGAGATTATCTTTTTTTTTTTTTGTTGCGGTCAGCGTGCAGTTTATTGGACAATGTAGAGTATCTTTTGGGGGGTTATCATCCTTTTGGACGGTGAACGCTTTTGGTGCCATAATAAAGATCAAAGCAGTCAAAGCTGTGGACAATGGTCAAAACGAGAGGAGGTCTCGATTCGCCCCTCCACAGAAACGTTGGCCATGTTTTTTTTGCTTACTGGCGGCGGCGGTTTACCATTTGGGAGGGTCACTACTAGTTTTGCCGGCGGCGGGTTTGGAGAGATAAAATACAATTAGAGCAACTTTATAATTGCATTTCTTGGCGCTGCTGATTGGAATAAAACGACATTAAAATCATAAATGTATTTGCATAAGATAAGAAATAATAATAAAATGTACAGGATATAATGGGTTCAGTACGTATCTTCCATATTAAGTTCTCGATGGGGTATCGACCAGCCCTGGTGGACTGTCTTTTCGTGGTATTTAAGTCCTCCTCTGGTTGAAAAGGCCTTGTCTGGACACCGCGGACAAACAATATTCTTCTCCGTCGCCTTTATTTTCGCCGCACGTGGCGTAATCGTCTTGTGGATCGTTTTAAGGTGGTATCGTAGTCCTGCCCCCGTTGTATAGACCTTGTTGCATCCCCGCACAAAGCATGGAAATGAAATATGGTTTGAAGCCGAGGAACGGCGATTGTGTGTTGTCCCAGTCTCTGCATTCTCAGAGTGATGGCGAACATGTTGTGACTGCGCTGGGTCATTGTTTTCTGAGCCATGGCGAACATGGGAACCTCTTCGTGAGACGGGGAGGGAGAAACATGGATCAACTTGAAGATACCCGGCATCAAATTCGCATAACGTCTCGTGAGATGCATCAACTGTGTAGGGATGCGCATCGCATTCTTCATCGTACTGACACGACTCGCAATGCATGTAATGATCCTCCTGTATATTGGTAGCTTCATACAGAGTCTCCTCCGAAGACATGTTGGACGAATTTGACGGAGCAGCCGAGCTGGAACGAGGCTTTGGTGGTAGGGGAGATCCAAGGAGCTCAGGAAAAAAGTTTCGTATAATCTCGGCTAGTGCATCATCCGAATATTCGGGTAGCAGTGCCAACTGCTGCACATCACCGCCGTCATGCGGTGTGAATATTATCGACATTGGTATAAGGTGTATAGAGTACGGGTGCAGTCAGCTACAAAACGAAAAACGTCGCTGTCAAAAAGAAAAGAAAAGATGCGAACCTGTGTTCTCTTCTTTTATATTCCAGAGCCATACAAAATACTCAACATCTGTGAAGCGAAAAGAGCATCGGAACGGAAACAAGTAAGCAAAGTCCACGCAAACAGGTACCCTTGGTGCCGATCAATCTACCCGCATTCGCGAATCCTCTGAGGGTCAATCACCAGGTCGTTAACCCGCGGCCAAAATAATTACGCCAAAATATCAATAGGGGTTGACCAGCCATTCTGCCGAGTTCTAGAAGTCTTTACCATGCATGTACAGAGGTGGCTCCGACATGTGTGCTATTGTCAACAGTAGGTTTCTGGACCCGACCGCACTGCCCGCCGTCCTTTGCTCGGTTCAACACAAAACAATAAGAGGCGGTGCACAGCTGGCACCTCTTTTTCCAGACGAATCAGCGCATTTGTTAATGGTCTGCGCATACCAGCTTGTCAACCGAAATAGCCATCTTTGCATAAGCAGCGTCTGCTGCTGACATTGATCAGATACTGTGCAGGGTACAAGCCTTTCATCCTCAGAAAGCAGGGCCAACCTTAACGATGCTCACAAAGCGTCCACTGGATGAAGGAGAATAGCTCGACGATTCAACTTCATGCAAAATACTTTTGTTCAAAACTTATGTTAGCCTGATAGGCCATGATAACCTGCTAAGGTGTTACTTTTGATTGTAGAATTACGACACTCATTATTGAAATGTGGGTTCCGAATCCCTCTATCCTTGGCTGCCTTTTAGTAAAAGGCCATAAAATGTTCTCCTTTGCAATCAAAAAGTACAAGAGCAAAAATATTGTAGCAGGTTTCGTAGCTAATCCCGATGATGACTAAGCAGATCGGTGTGTCATCGCTATTTTGCTCTACCTGTCTACGGGACATTTTGAGCTGCAACCCATTCAGAATTTCATGGCGGAAACTTTATCAACCGTGTCATGCCCAGTATGCCTGAGAGAAGTACAAGTCGATGATATCAATCGACACCTAGATTCAGGCTGCCTCACCGCCACATCTGGGAGAGAGAGCAATGCAGATCATGTAACGTCACCAGCTACCCCAGCGTCCCGACGCAGCGTCCAAACGACATTGTTCAACACTCACGGTATCAAAGACCCTGCTCTTTCACTCTCCTCAAAGTCTTCCATATTTCCTTCCGGCTCCGCTATTAAACGCAAGCGGGATGTCCCTACACCTGAGAGAGCCCTCGCTACATCGGTTAACACACATGTGAAAGCACCAACAAGTTCTCCGGCCCACGCAGTAGCGACCACTGCATCAAGTCAAGCGCCCCCTCAAAAACGGCCTCGAAAATCCGATCATGTTCCGTTAGCAGATCTTGCTCGGCCTGCCACGTTTGACGACGTTCACGGCCACACAGAGCTAATTGGGGAAGGAACACTCCTGAGATCGCTGATCGATCAGAAAAAAATCCCTAGTCTCATATTTTGGGGACCTCCGGGATCTGGCAAGACGACACTTGCTCGAATCATTGGTTAGAGGAACCCTCAAATGTCGCATTATCTTGACTTGAGCTGACAACTCCAAAAAGCAAAGTCACAGAATACATACTACCGGGAACTATCCGCTACAATACATAATGTTGCCGACGTCCGGAAGGCCTCTGATGAAGCTAAAAATCATCGCCAACTCACAGGTCAGAAAGCCATTATCTTCCTGGACGAGATCCACCGGTTCACAAAATCACAGCAAGACTTTTTCCTGCCGCCTGTTGAGCGAGGTGACTTTACGTTAATTGCTGCAACCACAGAGAATCCTAGTTTCAGGGTAAATAATGCGCTGTTGAGCCGCTCGAGAGTATTTGTTCTAGGAAAGTTGGGTGTCCAAGATCTGATCAAAGTCCTAAGAAGGGCCATGAAGCTTAAAGTGGGCGACGAGCGTATCCTCGTCTCCGAAAAGGTGTTGACGCATTTGGCGACATTATGCGACGGGGATGCAAGAGCCGCTATCAATGCATTGGAAATGGCGTTGGATTCTGTAATGGGGGCCGCGGGTGATGGTGTAGGGGAAGTGACCGAACAGGCGATAATGGACGCGCTACAGAAATCATCTCTTTTGTATGATAGAAACGGAGAGGAGCATTATAATATCATATCTGCTTTGCACAAGGTAAAGTGACTTTGCTGGTTTTGGAACCATGGACCATGTACGACGTTAACGCCAGTATTCTCAACCGTTTAAGAGCATGCGCGGTTCAGACGAAAACGCCGCCCTCTATTGGCTTGGACGAATGGTCTACGCAGGCGAAGATCCTCTGTACGTGGCACGCCGGCTAATTCGATTCGCATCAGAGGATATCGGACTGGCAGATAACAATGCACTACCGCTCGCCTTGTCGACATATCAAGCGTGTCAAATGATTGGCATGCCAGAATGCGATGTGATATTGGCACATTGTGTTACGGTGAGGTTTTTACTCATAAGACTAGATGCAAACAACTGCTGATCTAGAACCTTGCCTGTGCTTTATAGTATTTGAGTCGAGCACCAAAAAGCGTTGAAGTCTATAAAGCTATGAAAGTATGCTGTTCTCTCATGCCCCGTATCCAGTCCCGTTAATATCATACTGACGGCGCCCCCCATAGAATGTAAAACACATGGTTCAAACCTCGATCGCATACCCAGTACCCCTTCATATTCGGAATGCACCAACCAAGGTGGAGTAAAGCAGCATCTTACCATGCGATGAGTTCCCTTTTGTAACTTATGTTCCTCCTATTGTCGTAAAGCTCATGAAAGACCTCGAATACGGAAAAGGATACAAATATAATCCAGACTTTGTTGGACCAGTCAAACAAACGTACTTGCCTCCTGAGCTCCAAGGTACCAATTTTTTCAAACAGGATGAGGGAATGTGGGATGAAGATATGGACAGGGAGGCCATAGATGGAAGCGACAAGGAGAATGGGCAGATACAGAATAGTCCCACTGAACCATAGTCCAGTGCGGTTGATCAATAAATGTCGTTGATGGCGGAGGCTGTTGTGAGATCAGCGTCTATTGCAAAAAAGAAAGAAAAAAACATGTACATCTCTACAAAAGAGGCGTCCGTGTCCTGAGTGCACTAGCTACTGCTGCCCCACTACATGCTGGAGGTATTCCCACCACGGTCCATTGCTTGATCTCGACAACTAGGTGAAACCACGGCCACGCCCTCGACTTCCACTTTCACCTCCATGATATCCGCCACGACCCCGCCCTCGATTATCATGGAAACCGCCCTGACCCCCACCGCCTTGGTGTGTACCATTCCCATAAGAGCCTCCGGTACCTCGTCCCCTTCCACCTCTCCAATTGTACCCTCCATTTTGTTGCATGGGTCCATATCCATACCCGCCTCTCGGTACATATCCACCGCCAGACCATCTTTGATTTTGATGTTGTCCGCGGAAGGCTCCACGTCCACGTCCACGCCCGCGATCTTGGTGAGTTCCAGGATCCCGATTTACTTCCCCTGTTCCCTCCTCACCTTCATGTTCAACGTCCATCGTTTCCTCTGGTTCCTGCGATGTAGAACCTTGTTCCTCACTCGATTGAATCACATCTCCCGTGCCGGTAGCAGTACTTCTCCTTGGTCCAGGTACTCCAGCAGCTCCACGTCCCCTTCCTCGTCCAGCAGGTTCCTTATGCTTGATTAACTCTGCTAGCTCGTTCTGTACCGGCTGAACTGGCATTGCACCGGCAGCAACGGTGTATGGAGAAAAGCTGGCCAGCATGTGTGGCTGCGCGGCTTGTTGAGGCTGCAGCATTGCCATTAGTTGTCGGGATACTTCCAAGTTGTTGGGATCCATCACAATAGCCTGTGGAGGGCCATGTGGCGCTGTTCCGTACTGTATTGGGATTGCCGGAGCCATTGACATCGGAAAGTGTGGCTGGGTGAAAACTGGCATCCCTACAGGAACCATTTGAATTGGTTGAAACCCAACCGGAACTTGCATGAGGGGAACCGTTGTGGCTGGCGGCGGGTGGTTATTGCCGATATGCAGCATGGTCTTCAAACTCTGCGTGATCATGTCCGCTTCGTCCGTCGACCCACTAGGTGGTAACCCACTATATCCGGCTGCTGTTGCCGTCTCGTTGGCTTCAGGCGTTGCCGAGGATACTGCATGAATAGGTGGTGCAGATGTACCGGAGTTGCGGATTAGACCAGTTTTCAGTTGCTCGCCTGCCCCTCCTTGGTGAGTGGGCTTTGACGGCGCACTGCGTTTCGTAGAGTCCGCCTTTTCATGCTCATGCTGGATCTTTATCGCGGATCCGTTAGGAAGAACACTATTCGACGGTGCAGCTACCTCCGGACGAGATGGATGCGGCTTGCGTCTGACGTTTTCTTTCGCTACGCTCGTCACACTTGGCTGAGAGTTTTTAGGGACGACATTACCGCCTGTTGACCGTACAGGGGTGGAGTGCTTCGTGATGGCGATTGTCACACCGGAAGCGCCCGCAAACGTATGCCTTTTCCCGGCGTCACTTCGTTCTTGATTTTCGAATCTCGGGGGTTCGTTGAAACCAGACCGTGGACCAGCGTTGCGCGCCATGATGGTAGGACCACCTTCCGTCCACGCATTTTTTATCGGTGGCGCTGATGATTTATGGGCAGAATTCTGCTGCTGTGCTAGAGCGTTTCCTCCAGAACGCATGGCAAATCTGGGAATTGGCCGATTAATTGGTATGACTTGGCTTGGTCGGCTACCTTCGATCGGAGGCTGCATATGAGTCAGGTTAAGTACCGCGTCCTTGTTAACCACCAATCCGCGATTCGGTTGGCATCTGGCATGAGCGGGCTATTAGAAAACAGCACAGATCGCCGCGAATTTCTGTAGAGTCGCTCACCTGTCCCCAAGGCTGCTACCACCCATGAACATTTGATCGAAAACAACATCCAGAAAATTACCCTCCATGCCAACGACCGTGCCCTGTGCCGCTAAGGGCACACTGCCGGAGTCCATGGCATACATCACGCGATCCCCGAGGTCAAACACTTGATGTGACAAGCGATGTCGTGCGTGTGCTGGTTTTAAAACAGCCTGCAAGGATAAATACCGGAAAGTGTAAGATTTGTGATATATTTAACAAGAGGATTTCGACGTACCGGTCGAGGCACGTTCTTGACTGTCACCGCCTTAATCTTGACATCGCCAATTCGCTTGTAGACCTCATCGACCCGCTCCTCAATATCCTTTATCACATTCTGACCAACATATAAGGCGACAGATTCCACGAGACGTAGTTCGCTTACGAGAATTCAGCTCACCTTTGTCAGAGCCCTGGTATCTAACGATACTCGTTCGAAGTCTTTCACGCCCGCCTCCTTCAGCCATTCTTTAATCTCATTTAGCTTCGATGATGCCACCTCCTCCGGGTAAATCTCAGTGTCCTCGTAAAGGTCATTTCTTGACCTCTTTTCCAATCCTACGAAGAGAGCTGGGAATCGATCCTAGCAAATGTGAGAGAGACCGTTTAAAATTCATGTCTCGAACCCAATGTCTCGAAAGGAAAGCGTACCTTGTATTCCCTGATGAGCGCTACAGCCCTTTGCGAATATTCCCACCCAGAGCTGGTCTTTCTTGAATAACCCAGCACTTTCCTCTTTTTGGACTCGAACTTCAAATTTAACCCCAGATTGTATCGTTGATCGGACTTCTTACTGATTACATGAAGGCTGGACGTGACTTTTGAGAGAGCCAAGCTAGGAATGCCCAATTGCTTCGCAACCTGCCAGCTGGGCATGTAGCGTTCGCCACGCTCTGCATCAATTGCCTTCTCCCTGGTGAAGTGCAAGCCTTCGACCAGTTCCGGATCTGTTGGCTTCTATTGGCACAGGTTTCTCAGCTGATATTCTCGAGCATTGATCACGTGTAAACTCACCAAGAGTTTGATATGAAGCTTCTCAGTGTCATATCCCACAACATCGGCAGCCAGGCCATATCCTTGATTTCCCAAAAAGAACACTCGAGATCCCAGGGGGTACTCTTGCGGTAGTGGTGCCGCCGGTTGCTCCTACACAAAGATAGAGTCAGTACAACTGATAAAATGCAGGGCCATTCCCGAACACACCTTGTATCTAGGGTCCTCAAACTCCACTTGGCCAACCACAGTCTGCAACGCAATATCCGTTTCCTCATGGTACGAACCATAGTCCTTGACTAACGCCCCGTCTTCTTGGAGCTTCATTCCTAGACGCAAGCAGAATTTGAATTATGGAAACGGTCTCACCATCCATAGCGCTATCGTATAACAACGCTCACCTTTCAACAAGCGGACATTAAGGAGGATCTCAACTGGTCCTGTTATTGTTCCATAACGCTTGCTGTAATAATGTTCAATCCTTTCGCTCGCTTTGTAAAACCGATCTTGGCTGTCTTGGTTCTGAGGTATCTTCACCACATCCTTGCGCCCTCCGATCTCTTTTATTTCATATCGAAAAAACTCATCGGTCATCGAGCTGACAAGTGCTTCTTGTAGGAAAGGCCAGTTCACAAACACACGTTGCCCAATTTGAGTCTTTGCAATCTCTTCTGGGATGCATCCCTCAAATCTGTTCTCAAGTGCAATGATCATACTTTCATTCGGACTCTCCATGGTAAACACGTGTACACCATGGAAGCCCAGGGTAGCAGTGTGTGGAAGCGTCTTCATCGTAGGGAACCCAGCGAGGGCACGTACTCCCAACTGAGCTCCGGCACACAGGCCCTTCACGAATCCGTCAGACCCAACGGTTGGGAGACGATAAATTCGCATATTGCACACGCACTTGGCAATCTCAGGAAACACTCCCGGTAATGGTGAGGGATAGGAATGGGGCTGTTTAGCATCCAATTCGAAAATGAAGCTGTCTCCATGTCTATTTCGAGACTTCTCTTCTTTTGTAAGCTGGTTTTCTCTCGCGTGGAGGGCACGCAGTAGCCGCGTTTCGTCGATAAAAGGGATTTTAACAACGGCTTCCCAATCGGCTTTCTTTCCGTTCATATCTAGCTCAAAATCAGCTGGGTAGAAGTCGATGATTGGCGAACCAGGATCCGTCATCAACTCGCGGAAGGCTTCAGGAATATGCTGTCGACTTGCTGCAGGTAGGACACCCATCAACTGCTCAAAAGGCAAAAACGGTCGGCCGATATCAAATTTTATGTCAAGATTGCCGATGTTCACCAGATCCGTTATTTTTGGCGCATAGTGGTACGGGTAAAACCATTCCCAGGATGCAACCCCATTATAATAGTAGTATGCAATCCACTGCAAGCCCTCCACATAGTGGTACACCAACTTTGACATTTGCGCTTGATTGTCATAATTGATCTCCATTTTCTCTTTGTAGTACTCCCGCTTCCACTCCACGAATGCTTCGTCCAACTTCTGCTTCTCTTCCGCCTCCAAGCTAGCAGCAAGCCCATCTTCGTCTATAATCTCCGCCGCGTCCCATCGTCGAAGTACGCGTTGTCTGGCTTCCATGCTTTCTTCGTCGTCCTCATCGTCATCTTCATCCCAATCCAAAATTATATGGTGCTGAGGTAGGTCCTTTCCTTCCCCCAAGGCATCGATTGTGTGACTGATACCAAGCTCATTCGCTAGATTGATGATGAAGGTGCGATCGCGCGCAGGTATGTTGGTCGAAAACGTTAGCCGCGCGGTTTCCCTATTCGATAGGACAAATGACTTGATCTTGTCGTAATACTCGCGCTGAGGTTTGCTCAAAACTAGCAACATAAGGCACTGATTATGTGTACCGCCACGTCATGTGAATCAATAGGCAGTCCACGAACCTAGCTGTGATTTTTTTGGCGCTTGTTTTGACTGTCCATTCGTCCGTTTACCTTGCAACCACTTCACATCCCCGACTTCGACTTCGAATAGTTCGCGTTCCTGCTCGCCGAGTTTGCGTAAGAATCTCTCGCACCTATCCAGTTGCAGTTGACCCCCGTCGTTGAGGTAGCCACCACCTTCCAATAAAACTGTCTTGTACACTTTGAACATATATGCCAAGGCACCTTCATTGATATGTAGTCCAGGTAAATTAGGTAGGAAATCATTCCCTACAAAGTAGGCGAGCACGATGAAGTCGTCAATGACTCTCTCCACATCATATTTGAATGAAAGTTGATCTTGAAGGGTCGAGAACTCCGCATCGAGGTATTCTCGGAACAAAGAGAGATGCATGAGGTAGAAATTCTGTGCTTCAGGATTTCCACCTGGGTTCTTCTTTCGACTTCGACCGAATGTGACTTCCTCTCGAAGCAAGGCGAAATGCGGTTCGTGGCTGAGTAGTCCTAACATCATCAAATCTGCATCTAAACCATACAAGCAATGTCTGACATTCGGGTCGTAATCAGGTTGCGACTTGGCTAAACGTAGATATTCCATAATTTTATGTTCCCCCTCGCCTGGCACCTCGTGACCGGACAATATGACCTCTACGTTGTGCCAACTGGCGTCTTCCGTGATCTTTTTATTGATGAAGTACTTCAGCTGTTCTTGCAGCCTTGCCATAAATGGTGTTCCTATATAGTGCTTGTTCGTGAAATGCTAGATTTCTCTAAACGAGAATTGCTAGAGTTTATTTACCTGGGGTGATGCAATTAGAATCAAAGGGTGCCTCTTTTGGAAGTTCCTCCCCACGCTGTATTGCTCTCTGACGAGCTTCTGCATTATCCTTCGCCGTACGGAAACGCCTTGCGCGCTGTTGGTTCATCTTCGCCCTTGGTGCCACACCGTCCACAGCAAGGAAGAATAACTTTTTTGGCCTGATCTTGGAGAACAAGTGGTCCACATAGTTGAAGATGGCCAAGAATATCTGGTCTTCCGTCATGCGAAAGTGTACATCGGAATCGTTGGGATGGGAGCAATTGTGAATGATGCCATTCATATCCAAGTAGAGGTTGTCTGCAAAAGCAAGCTATAGCCCACATCTCCACAGGTTTTCAACCGTGTTTTCACCTACCAAACTCAGGGATCCTATTTTCCTGTATCAGTTGACTACATAGTGGATATCGCTCGCTGATCCAGCGAAAAAACTACAGAGCAAGAGAAATCAGTGTGACTGAGAGCTGATATGAAACTATACCCGTAATTGATTTTTTACCTTGGGTATACCCATCTTCCTTTCTTTCAGGTAGGTTTTTTCCTACCAACAAGTGTGCAATCTAAAATGGGATCAGGTGGGGATATCTATGGATAATAACGCGGACGATGGTGTCGACTCTCCTGAGCTTGCACGATTCAAACACTATGATCACTATCAAAATTTAATAGAAATATACGAAGGGCCGCTTATATCGGTTGATTGGTTCTCGTCGTCGAGTTGAAGCTTGAAACTTTAAAAGAATCTGGGGATCTTGGGGGGGCAGGGTGCTTGTGTAAAATGATCAAATCAATGACTGTTCCTCCCACGTAAAAACGGCAGCGAGTGTCCAAAAGTGCGCGCAGCGGGTATCGAACTGCTCCTGTTGCCATGACAATGCCGCGCATTGGATTATTACCATAAATAGTTAAAGTCCACAACCCAAGCCTCGCGTGACAAACCACGCATTGTATGGCTGTTGGAGTTTATTTTCGAGGTCGTTGTTGACCAATTTCTTGCATTTTGTGCAGACAGCAACATGTCATTCATCGCACGAACAGCGTCTGTTGCTCGGACCCAGGTGCATATTGCAGCTGCGAAATTGTGTGTGTTTCACCCAGACTCACGCTCTTTCAATAGTTACGCGCCATAAATGCGCGACCGTCGTCGGGGCTGCTTCACAAGCGGTTTTTAGCTTATGATTCCTACAACAGCAATGTAGCGGGCCTCTCTGAAGAGCTCGCGGAGGTAAAGGTCCTAATTTGTTATTACTCTCCAGAATTGTGCAGTTCTAATTGCATCAAGAGCAGCTGCGCCAAAGTGTCCACGATTTTGCCCAAAAGGAATTGGCTCCCCGGGCTGACCAGATCGATAAGAAGTCCTACGTTTTGAAGTTCGGCCCACAGACCAATCTTATGATGCATAGCCATTCATATTCACCCGCAACTTGGAATAGGATATGTGGCGGAAGTTTGGAGATATGGGGCTATTGGGGATAACTGCACCAGGTGGGACTTGATTCATATTCAAGACATTCTTACCCATGCTAATTGTAACCCATCTCAGAGGAGTACGGTGGACAAGCGATGGGATATCTTGCACACACGATTGTTATGGAAGAAATCAGCCGAGCGTCGGGGTCCGTTGCTTTGAGTTACGGTGCTCACTCCAACCTGTGTGTCAACCAAATTGTGCGCAATGGAAACGAAACTCAAAAGCAGAAATACTTACCCAAGGTATGCCATTGACCTGTTGGAATAAGAAAGCACACATTGTCACAGATATTAATCTTACCCACAGCTGATCAGTGGAGAGCACATCGGTGCGCTGGCAATGAGTGAAGCAGGGTCAGGTTCGGATGTGGTTTCCATGAAGCTCCGCGCAGATAAGAAAGGTTTGAAAATACAATATGTTACCATCCATCATACAGCTAAAAAATAACGTATATGGTAGGCGACCGTTACATACTGAACGGGACAAAGGTATGTGCAAGGACCGAACCATTATATGGACCGCAGTGAAGTAGTGCTAATGGAAGGTTCATTTTGGGTACGTCAGTTTTGGATAACGAATGGTCCCGATGCGGACGTTCTGGTTGTTTATGCGAAAACGGATGTCAACGCAGGTCCGAAAGGCATTACCGCTTTCCTAATTGAAAAGGTGCGTGAGAGAAATGATTAAAGGTAAATTCAGTGCACTGAATGCGGACATAAATAGGGGTTTAAAGGCTTCTCTACGTCGCCAAAGTTGGACAAACTGGGAATGAGGGGTTCCAACACATGCGAGCTCGTATTTGAGGACTGCGAAGTACCAGCAGAGAATGTGCTTGGTAAGCAAGGAAAGGGCGTCTACGTGTTAATGAGTGGCTTGGATTTGGAACGACTAGTGCTTTCCGGGGGACCCCTGGGGTAAGACGGCATCTGTTGTGGGCAGCGTATCTGAAGTTCATGTTCTTATTCATATTATGCTTTCAGGCTCATGCAATCCTGTTTGGACGTCACCGTTCCATATGTTCATCAGCGGAAGCAGTTTGATCAGTCCATTGGCCAATTTCAGGTGTGTCAACGCAGACCTTGGATAGGAAGAGGCTCAAGCATCTCACCCGTCTACAACAGCTTATTCAAGGAAAACTTGCCGATATGTACACAAAATTGAGCGCATCTAGGGCGTATGTCTACGCGGTTGGTCGGGCATGCGATGCGGGACACATCAGTAACAAGGTATTAATAACCTTGTCATATCTCGTAATTTGCCGATTCTGGGAAGTCTTATCAGTCGGTTAGGATTGTGCCGGTGCCATCCTGTACTCTGCTGAGCGGGCAACGGAATGTGCATTGGATGCAATTCAATGTTTAGGTACGTAATACTTTCCCTTTCCAGGGCTTATATGTTCGCACCCTCACGCAGTTCTCCCTGTAGGTGGAAACGGATACATTAATGACTGTGAGCATCTGGAAGGCTGAAATGAGGCGACGTTCAAATCAGAATGACTAAAACATTGTCTTGCCAGATCCTACTGGACGCTTCTTGCGAGATGCCAAGCTCTACGAAATCGGTGCAGGAACCAGCGAGATCCGACGCATGTTGATTGGTACGTGCTGTGAATTGCATTCCTCCTATAATTAACAGTAGTTGATATATGAACGGCAGGTCGAGAATTCAACAAGGACTTTCGCGATATGTAGTTGGAGATAGTCGGTGGTAGACGTAACCAACACTGGCAAAATAGATAGAGACATGAAACTTTTCATCACACGTAGGCGTAGTCAGAATCGCCTACTCTTTTCATAAAGGTTGTAATGTACAAATGTACAAATTCAATTATGTGCATGAGCAGCCTCCTTGCCCCAGAGCTCCACGATCCCCTCCAGCAGCCCTCCAAATCTATAACTATGTTTGGAGAACTGTCCACGCCTTTCTCATCACCTTACAGCGACTTTGTGTCAGGGTTCGCCAAGGTCGCGCTTGGATTAAGCGTTGACAATGGAGTTATATCCCATATTCTATGTTGCGGGCTATGATTTCATTCTCATGAAAAATTCCTAAAGAGAGGGAGTTAGAGACCATGATGCTTCAGCGGTGGCACACCGCGCTGTCCTACCTGCAAGAATATTCGGAGTTCCTTGACGTCCGTTCGCTGTAAGGCTGCAACGAACTCTTGCGCAGCATTAGGAGGACAACCGATGGAGGGAAGGTATACGTTGACCAGGTATTCAAGATATTTGGCACCTTGTGCACTGACTAGGGTTTTCTGCAGTGAGGAGATTTCTGACATGACGAGGTAACATTGTCCATCTGAAGGATTGAAGCTCGCATTCATGGGCACTTCAAACAGGATCGGGACAATGTTTTCATAGATAAATTGTTCGAATCCGGGCAGTGGGGGTTTTGGCGGTGTCGTGTGCTTGGCTTTGTCAGACTTCGCGCCTGGTATCCCTTTTTTATAAGTTTTTGGATCTATGCCGTTGATTTGGGAATCTTCCGAAGCACCCCAAGAGAGGACCATTTTAGTAAGGACAGAGAATGCCAGTTTCTGTGAGGTTCGATCGCCAGATTCTTTTACAAAGTGCAACACAGATTGCACCACGGTAGTGAGTCTTGGCATATTGGCTGAAAATAAGATAAACAATCAGGAACGACCATCCAATCCCATGAGCCTATCTTCTCCCTCAAGATTTCATACCTTCTGTCACCAACGTCCCCTCCATATCAGCATTGAAAATTGTTGCCAACAGGTTGAGGTACGCCTTTCGAAGTTCCAGCAGCGAGAAGGCGTCGTCTGTCCCATCTACAGGTTGATTTAAGCTGCTGAAGATGCGATCCATCAGCGGTCCAATAAGCTCATTCATAATTGGGAAAACCGCCGGCTACATATCAAGGGTTAATTAAAAAAACAAATAATTCTTTTGCACTTCTGGCCAAGGACGTACCTTGAACTTGTGGGTAATATGCCCAATGAAAGGAACAAAGTCGACCAATTCCTGCCGTGTGCTGTTTGATAATAGGCCGGCCGTAATTAGAGGACCAATGTGATTTAATATGTCGTGACCCATACAGCCGACCATCCGTTGGAAAGCGAAGCGTGCCTACAATTCCGAACTGGAGTTAGGTCAATTTCCGAGTAAAAGGGAAAATATAATACGAACCGCATTGCGAATCAATTCACTCTCATGTAAACGCTCCAAAACAGCAACAATCGCCCCTAGTGCCTGCTGAAAAACTAACGCCCATGCAGGTACGGTTTGCACCACCTTGGAAGCCTGATCAACGTCAGGGAATCCTAGCTTAAGGTGAGATTCCCACTCCTTGAATCAGTATGAGGCCTGTGTCCACGCGTACCTTTGCTGATATTCCCGATCGCCCGAATTAGATGATCTAGTTGTAGTGTGAACACAATGTTGTCCGGTGTATCACGCCTATAAAGCTCATTTCGCATAATCTCCTCGATCTGTCGCATCAAAGGAGTAAGAACCACCTGTTGCATTTGGATGGAATAATCTTCTGGTAAGTTCTCTGTTCTTCATTCTTCATGAGCGCTTACAATTAGCTACTAACCGTTAGCAGCTGGGCCTGCTTCTCCGTGGTCATACCATCCAGCGAAATTAGGATGCCGACGGCCTCATAAAGATAAAGTTGACTGTCGAAGCTGGTTGCTGTCACTTCCTCTTCTCCGTCCCGTACCGGTTTCTGCGGTTCTGGCAGCTGTACAACCATGAGATCCTAAAAGTACCCGTTGCAGTTTTCAGTCTCAGAAACCAAAAAGAAACCCTTTGGCAGGTCCCAACACACAGACCTCGATACTTGCTAGAACGTTGTTGACCAGAGGTGAAAGCTTGCTCTTCAAACTTTGGACATACTGCCGAAACAAATAGTACGTCCTGCTGCGCACGAAGGGTGCATCATGATGCATTCCCCTTTTTAAAGCATCCCGTTCAGTGGTCCGTTATGATCTAGAGCATCATTAACATCAACGAAGTCGTACCGCTGGTCAACAAAGGCCTCCATCACGTTAGGGATGTACTGAGGGAAAAGATCGAAGAATTGAGAATACCGAGTGACATTTTCGAAGAAAATCAATGGTATCGAAACATGTGGGTACGCTGACACATCTGACGGGCAGGGAAGTGGCGTGAGTGAAATGATTGATATGTGCCAAAGTATATGCACCACTACTAACTGCTTGTAATCATCTTCGTTAGCATCTGGCCGAGTGGTGTTACAACAGCTGCAGGGGGCTCGCCAACAGCAAATTGCACTAGATAATTGACGTTCATGGATTAGCTTCGGCCATTGTCCCGCATAGCACCCGACACAATACCTTTAACAGACTCTCCGAGAAGATATATAAGGTGTAGTGAAAGTTCGGCTTCTGACCAGCTCACCGAGCCAGGCGAGCTAGCGATTTTACCGAAGGTGTCTGTCACAACTGACAGAATGTAATTGACGAATAACGCCTCATCAATGGTGGCAATTGCATTGAAGTGCTTTTTCAGATTCTGCGGGAGCGAGAGTCAGCTTGCGGTGCTCTGATGTCTGAATGACCAGTAACAGAGCGTCCAGACCTGTCGTAACTCCATAAACAGTGCGTCCAATTCCCCAGCCTGTTGACCAAACTCATGCTCCTCCTCCTCGTCATACTTCATCTTAAGGATAACGGTTCTCAACAAAGCGATGAGGTTTTCCTCCAGCGGCTTCGCTGAACCTTGGCCCCCCAACTTGATATACTGTTTTAAGACATCGGTATACGCTTGAAGATATGGGAAGAGGACGGATGATGTATCATCGTATTCGTTGGCCAGAAACTGGATAAGATATGGGAAGATTTGCTGCAAAAGCTGGAAGGACGATTCCCGAATATTCTGCATTTCCCAGCATTTGCAAAGCTCGAGACCTAAATTGTTGACAAGCCTTGCAACATACTCTGCAAATTCCGCATCGTCCGATGGCAAGGAACCCAACACATTGGTGATGTCAAGGGCACGGATGAGGTTTAGCTTATCTACCGGCTTCATGCCTTTTCCGACGATTTCTGTTAGACATTCGCACGCTGCTAATCGCAATGACTCTACGCCCAAGAATTGGTACAAGCCAGAAATGATTGCTTCGTTGACAACCAAGTTGATGTCAATCCATGCCACATAGCGAGCAAACAAACGTAGACACATGTTGGCGATTCCTGCGTCGCTTTGGTAGCTCCCCATGAGGATATCACCCCAAGCTGAAACAAGCCTTGCTACTGCATTCTCCCGCATAACATCTTTGATTTGAGTGTTTCGCGCCGTTTCCTTTGCATCTCGGGAGATCATGAGATTAGCCACCTCATCGTCAATGGCCAATGATATACGCAAGAACGTGTCTATCATGATTGAGTTTCGCTGAGTTCCTGATGTAGAGCTCAAGAGAGACAGAAGGTCGTCAAAGAAACTCGGCCATTCCCCGGGATACTGAGCCGCAAACACAAGAACTACGATCTGTATGAACTTGTTGCGCATGTACACAAACTCGCTCTCGTCCAGGTTGTGAACCAACCAATTCCACAGGGTTTGCCTCAACCCAGCTCGCTCATTGGAATTTAGACTAGCATATCGTCGCCGAAGAACATCCTCCAAAACATGTAGAGCGAAGAAACGTGTCTGCTCCGAGCTTTCGCCGCCATTGGGAAATTAGCACCATGCTTGAATAATAGTCGAAACGGTCATCCCGCAACAATACCTTTTTGGGACCTTTACAAAGATTTTTAAGCAAACTTGCCAGCCATTGGACGAGTTACGCACTTGATCGCAAAACGCCATCGCCTCCGTTTTCAGGGCTACATTGGCCGTCGGGTCCACGGACACCGCCACAGCGCGTTCCAAACTCTCCTCCATCGTCCCGCCCGCACTGAACCGCTCCTATGTGCCTTTCAAGAACGAAATAGTGTCGTTGTAGGATGCGGGCGGAATCTGGATCGCAGTCAATGGTCTGCATTCAATAGGGGCTATTTTTTGGAATGGCTTGAGGCTCCTCCTTACCGGTGTGCTCTCAAATTCGGCCACAGTATCTGGAGTATGTCTTGATTTGGGGAAATACACTCATGCAATCAGCATTTATTGGGCGGAAAGGAGGAGATTTCTATTAGTCTAGAAGGACTTGGACCGAAAAATTCAATCTTCCTTCCAAATTCACATGGTGACTGCCGTATGAGTCATGAGGGCTTCCATGAGTTCGATTCCGGCAATCTCCAGCCGCAACATGCATTACTCCACCGCCCGTTTTGACAGCAACTGGCTGTGAATTCGCCGCGTTCATCGACGGGTTGAAATCTATGCCGTCCGTCGTAGCTGCTTTCATCGACCGTCCAAGAAAACAAATCGATTCGGAAAAGTAGGAGGATTGCCAGTCCTTTTTGGTCATATGGCCAAATGTGGATTACATGAAGAAACCAGCCACCGCTCACACTTACCTTGACTTGACGGCTCACACGTTGGCAATCGTCGGACGATTAATACTGTGATCAGCTAGATTTCGCAACCCGTACATCTTCGCAGCACTCTATGTGGTAGACGGGTATCGATCAGTGTGTTTGGCCGCTGGCAAATTCAGTAGTGTTGTAAAGTTATAGTGTCCGCCGTTGGGCTCGCGTCTAGCCACCGCTGCACTTGCACGCATTCCAAGCATTATTGTATGCAGGAATGAATCAGCGACGCGAGGCCAACATTCCCAACTCTTTGTTTGGTAGTTATCAGTACTCATCCAATGAGGCCCAGGAAGTGAGAACAAAACTCAACCTAAAGCTTGGGCCTGAATACATCTCGCAACGTAGCGGGCCAGGGGGTTGTGAGTATTCTGCGTGTGCAGCGCTGCATATATCGGAATTGCTGACTGAGGGTGTTCTTTATGCAGCAAAAGTTAGCTATTTGGAAGGATGGAAAGCTACGCAGCTGGCAAACGACATATTTGGATTCAACGGCTGGTCGAGCACACTTGTAGATATTACGGTGGACTTTGTGAGTGTTTTGATCATTATACATGCACAGCGGTAGCCCAGTAGCTTCATTGAGCGCTCAATGCAGGTTGATGTCGATAATGGGAAAGTCAGCATGGGTATCTCTTCGGTCGTCCGCGTCACCCTGAAAGATGGTAGCTTCCACGAGGTGAATTGCGACGATTGCAAATATCTCATGTCGGTTTGACTCAGACTCACATTGCATTCTTTTTTAGGATGTCGGATACGGATCTATTGAAAATGCGAGGAGTAAAGCCCAGGCATTCGAGAAAGTAAGGGTGCATTTCAGATGAATCTATGGGACGCCACTAAGTATGACCTGATGAACAGGCCAAGAAAGAAGCTGTTACAGATGCCACCAAAAGAGCGCTGAAACACTTTGGCAATAGCGTCGGCTCGTGTTTGTATGATAAGGACTTCTTGCGGAAAGTTTCTCGCATGTCGAGTCAGCCGGTAACAAAGACTGATTTTCCATAAAGAGTGATAGAACTGACATTGATGAAGCAGACAAAACCACTGGCCCCTGATGAGCTGTATAGACATCCCGATTATCGGACCACTGGCCGTCCTTCCAACGGGCTCCTCGCCGACAGCGGTTTTGCTGTTCCATCCGAAGGTGAAAGTCATTGTCCAAGTGCGTTCTGCGTGTCAGTACGCCAAGCCTGCGTCCGAGCGCGCCTCATGTCTTTATCCGATAGCTGCATCAAACGTAACCGGTGGTGTTCCACCCGCTCAAGTCGGATATACCCAAGCTGCTTCGCCCTCTTCGACTTTCGGAGGTACAGAGTAGCATTTTGATCCTTTCTGTAGATCCCCAGTCCGGTAGTTTACTGCGTGCAAGAAAATACTCCCATTAAGCACTTTTCTATTTTTTCGTAGGTACCGTCGCCACCACCGATTCGAGCTCTGTACAATCGTCCAGGTAGGTCTTTACTTTACAAAGTCCAGCACCACCTACTAATCGGTTTGTATAGCAATATAACCCCTAATCAGGCCCAATCAAATCCCCGCCCACCAGGGCCGTTGCCTTTCCATCAAGGAACTCAAAATGCATCGGCTCAAATAAATCATGGACGCCAAACAGGTCCACCATCGACGAATCCGATGGGTATTCCAGTAGGACAGGAGCAACGTAATACTCTTGGCACCACCAACTCAACATCACGGAACGAGAATACTTCTCACAATTTGCAAATGAATCACACTCATATCAAAACGGAGGGAACTGTAGCCCAGCCTCAAACAACTCGCAGCACGGACATCAGCCACGGTACGTTGGGCCGATATGCACGATCTGCATCGGCATGTTACCTACTTACAATCCAGGACCAGGTGGTACTCTGAATCAAACAGCTAATCGACCCTGGTATATGGAACAACAAGAGAATCCTCAACAACGGTGGCAGCAGCCTCAGCAGCAGTCGTCAAGAGGTGTTCATCCTGGACAGAACGTTTTCGACCAACGCTCTGTCAACCTACAGACACAGTCTACAAGCATGCCAATACAGCCAGGGGGTGCGAAGACGGGCGATGCCAATGATCCACAGAATATAACGTTGAGCCATTCGCATAATTCCGCATCTAAAGACAGTTTGTCCAATGGATACCAACCCACCCACACATCAGCGCATCAAGGCAACGGTCCGTCATATCGTCCAAATCAGCCCTACCAAGCACAACCGCAGCACACTTCGAACAATGGATATCCTCGAGGACAGCCAGGGCAATCGGTGCCCCCAAATCAGAGTATGCATAACAATGGGAATCCCTCACCAAAGGGTGTCAAACGACCACTAGACATGCAGAACACCCAGTAAGTAATAGACTTTCAGCTGCCCATCGAAAATTCATCGCCCCTCATCGTTAATGGTATGGACTTTTTTCAGTGGTTTTGGTGCTCGTCCAGGCGGTACTGGTGCAAGTCCTCATACAGCCGCTAATATGGGTCGACCTATGTCCGGACTGAACGCATCCCACAATATACCGGACACGAATGGAGTGGCATCGAAGGGGAACGGTGGTTATCAATACGCTAACCCGGTGGTGAAGCGGCCGAAGGCGGAAATACCCGGTTTTACGTGAAACAGGCAAAGGACTGTCACCTTATGTATATTTCGCTGTGTATGGCTTTAATCATGTGGTTGGATATCCGTTGGTTGATTGAAGATACCGTTCTCTGGATGCTACAGTAAGAAAGACTGCAAAATCCCAAAGAGATGCAAACCGAATTGTAAGAAAGCATACTAGCCGTCTGAGTTTGAGCAGAGCTGATATATCTTATTGTATGCGTAATTCATGTTATCGTATCTGACAATGGGGTCCCAGTATTCTGCCCACTCCCCGTCGGCCCCAAATCTGCAATTGAAGGACATTTTGCCTCCTCGTAACAGTATCCTTGTATAGTCCACAACCCACATAGGCGCCTAATGAGGGCACATATCAGAACAGACCAATAAAACTCACCCCTCCCATAAACATCAAAAATACTAGTAGCGGTGTTAAAAACCCGTAGGCGGGCCATAACATCCAACAGGAAGATATTGCGCTAATGACACCAAATGCCGTGGCAATCTGCACTGGATGCTTCGCTTGTGTTTCCCATTGCGTAAGGTCTGGCCGAGTTCCCGTCTTGAAGGGGATGTAAAATTGGAGGTAAAGAAAAACAAGCGTCCAACCCGAGAGTGAGACGAAGAGCAGGTAAAACGGGATGCTAAAAAGTGATTACAAGTTTCCCAATGTAAGTAAAAGTAGCAAGTCTCGGTGTTGACAGGACCCTTATAAGTGTGCGTAGCCGTACCCATATCCATAGTTTTGCAAGGCGCTCGGTAAATCGCTCCACCAGCCCGCCCCAAGGGCTCCAGCGATCCACGCGAATGACTCTAGGTAACGGATGAGTTTTGACCGTGGTTTGTTGCGAGGATCATCATAGGGACGTTCTTCGCTTGGCAGTGCCGCTGTGCGTGTACGGGGTCTGAGGGTCGACATATGCTGCAAATCGGTTAATGACGCAGCGGATGGAATGTTTTAGACGGAGCTCAATGCTGACAACACAGGATGATATATTTATGGTGATTTATCACCACATTCGGACGTAACTTCCGGACGCGACTCTCAACGACTTGACCCCTCAACTCCTACCAGCATCCATCTTCAGCCTGCGTGAACAGCCCAACATCCTACTTACTTTAGTAATCATACTATCTCTGTCGCCTGTGTTTATTGGACGTAAAACTTGAAAGGATCGTATCCAATCACAACGAACACTATGCCGGCCTCAGTCGCTTCCTCCACGGCGGGTGACTCTCGTCAGGAACCTGGCGACAGCTCTGGAGGCGAACGAGTGACCGAGTTTTTTCAAGAAGGTATGTGATTCTGGGAATTAGTGCTCTGAATTCGGTTGCAGAAGTGAGGATCTACTGTGATCCGGGATATGCGGCGAAGGTCGTTACTGACTTCTTCCCCGAACACGGCAGCTTTGAAAAGGTCTTCGGGGAGGAGATCTCAGAAAGCTAAACAGGAGTATCCATTGCAAACTATACAACTTGACAACGGCACTGAAACTGTTCTGGTATGCCGCGGAATATCACACTACTCTATGACCTGGAAACTGATACCTTATACCTACTAGAGCATTTTACGACGAAATTGGCAGGAGAAGCAACACCGAAAGGCCAATGGGGAGGAGGAAACTGATCTAAGGGACACGATTCAGGAGCTTCGACAGCAGAGGTACCGCATATCCAGTGTAGTATGATTTTTGGATGGTCATCTGAGATCTTCCAGTGATGCGATTCAGACTGTTCGGAAGGAAAGGGTTTTTGATGATGAAATCACTGAAGAGGAAATGGATATCATTCAACAACGGGTCGCCTTGCAACAACGGCAGGTATGACTCTACTCCGAGCGGTTTGGTCGTCTGTAAAGACCTTGCCTGACAACCATTCCAGTTTCAAGAGTATCAGCGACGAGAAAACGCGCGCAAGTTCGCCAAGATAAGAAACATGTTTGAATACTTGCGCACCGAAGAGATAGAGGAAGCTTTGGAAGAAGCCAATAATGATGAGGTGCGGAAGCGCTCCAAGAGGTCATGCTTGCTGATGTTCCATGATTAGGCACTGATGGGGTTAATAGGACGCAGCCATATTGAAATTCACTCAGACGGCTTATCTGATGAAATTGCGTAAAAGGATTGCCGAAAAGCACCAGCCGATTCAATCAGAGGGTAAATGTTGCAGTTGTACCCCGCCGGCCAGAGTGCTAGTTTAGGACTCACCGAGTCAAATCACAGTTGTGATGACCGAAGAGCAACAGCAGGCATACGAGCGACTTGTTGAAAAACGTAAAAAGGCTGCGAAGAAGACCACTACGGAGGAATCGAAAAAGTATGATGATTGCGGGGACCGTATTGCAGTGCCTTTGCGTCCTTAACCTGCTTTTTACGTGTGGTAAAGGCGCTGTATCAGGTTCTCGCGATTGCGTTTGGACGATGCACTCAGTCAACTGGAAAATGGAGTTGATCCAGCTAAAGTCTTCGAAGGGTGGAGTGACGCCCGGGTGCGCGCATACAAGCAGATAAAAACAAAACCAAACTCGTATTATTATCGCTTCAATGCTCCCGGCGAAAAGCAGAGGAATGGGCCATGGACAAAGGTGCGCTTGAGGTAATTTGTAACTCAGCAACTTTTGAGCATTGAAACCGAACGACGTTAATGCAGGAGGAACGCACAATGTTCTTCAAAAGATTGGAGGAAGTTGGCGCCGATGGCCAGTGGGGAATTTTTTCAATCGCGATCCCAGGTCGTGTGGGGTATCAGGTATGTCTGCCATTATGTTTCGATTCGAGGTCTCTCTCTGTTAACCCTCTGCTCTAGTGCTCCAACTTTTACAGACATCTTCTGAAAACTGGAGAAATTGTGGATGAGAATTATACAATTGATTCAAAAGGGGAGTTACGGTACTTGTTTGGGAAGAAGGAGGGAGGTAAAGGAGTGATTCGAGTCCACTCGAAACACGGATCCGGAGGAGCTCGCAGTCAAAATGGCGGTGGAAAGAAGCGCAAGCGAAAATCTGCCTATGGCGACGAGGATGACGACGATGACGGGAACGTGGACGACTTATTTGACCAAGACGACTCTGGAAATTTTACTTGTAAAGCCTCTTGGGCTACGACGAGGCGGACCAGAGCTCGGATGGAAGCGGCGGAGGCGGAGTCAGAGGGAACTCCTGTGGATGCGTATGAGAATCCCCTTGCAGGATTTGTGGATCCTATCACCTTGGAGGAAGTGGTCAAGCCTGCAATATCCCCTTATGGCCACGTCATGAGGTGAGACTATACAGGCCAAGTCATAGGAAGGAAGGACACGGAAGATTGAATGTTAACGGTATCAAATTACAGCTATGCCAGTTGGATTCGTTGCCTGAGTTCCGAAGAGCGAAAGAACATTTGTCCGTTGACAAAGAAGCCACTGACGAAGCGCGAGCTGGTAGTTTTAACATATGATAACATCGATGAATATAGGTATGCTACCGGAGGATACATTTGTAAATCCATAACAATCATCAGCTGATACATCTGGCCTACAGGGACAGAATTGTCAACAAGTAACTGTATGCTGGAAGGAGCACATTCAAGGAACTCAACGCTAGATTTTTTGATAAAAGAATATATGTAAAATATTGACTTCTATACCTGGGAGAGAAAATGTGGTGCAACAAGTTCCACTGGAATTGGCGTCGCCACCCGTGTGGGTCGCCACGCAGACCTTGCTGAGACGATTAAGCTTTACGTGAGAGATTGCACCGCTGTCAAAGGAGAATGGTTCCTGGAATTCATTATGCTCATTCAGAGGAGAACCCGGAAAACCAGGCGCAGAAACGTACGATCCGTCGCCAAGAGGGAAGCAGTAATTGGCTAGAAGGAAAACACACCTCGTGGTGCTGTTATAGCCGTAGGGCAAAATATGCATGGGAGAGCTAGTTATGCATGTTCGGACGCTGGTACTGAACAAAACATCTTCACATATTCGCCCCCACTCCTCCGTGGCTGTATAGGTAAATGTTATAAACTAGGTTCTCTCCTCAGCTCTCTCGATACCTGGCTATACAGCACAACGAGATGTACAAGAAGGTTCTTTAACTTCTTCTGCTGGTCTGGTGTTTGTCCAGAGTAACCCAACGGCAGATTGCTTAGACAAGCACTCCGCTGTGCACGTGATGAGGCCGACAAGTTGGAGGTAGCACGTGATCACGCCACGCCATTGGTGCGAACGCGCTGGACTCTTTGGACTAGATTCTCTCCACCTCTTGGAGTTCACACCGCACATACCGCACACAATGGTAAGAACCTTGAATTCACCAAGAGGACATTTGAAAGTAGAAGGCCAATAACGTGAACTCTCTCTGAAGGGGGATCGTCAAAACTTGGTGTCGAACGCCGCACCAATAGCAGGAGCTAGTGTGGATCTAGAGGCTGGAGGTCAACCGTTCAGCAATGCTGGACAGCCAGCAGCATCAGAGAATATTTTCAAACAGTCCAGGTATGCCAGCTCATCACATTGAAAGGTTATGTTCAAAGTCCGCTAGACACTCCAGTACCACAGTCACCCTATTGCGCTCTTTTTTCACCTCGCATTTCGAACAGGTGCTATGCTCACCTACCTTTTTTGTTCGCTGTTCACTGGTTCATACGTGCTTCCCTTTGTTATCATTGTTCTCCTTCTTGCCTTTGATTTTTGGACTGTCAAAAATGTTACCGGTCGATTGCTGGTCGGATTGCGATGGTGGAACGAAATAAAAGAAGATGGTTCGACCGAGTGGAAATTTGAGTCTCGTGAGGTAAGGTATTCAGCACAGTTGGATCCTCGTGTTGTTTGGGTCACTAAAACTGCATACGGTAACAGAACCGAATAGTGAATGCCACCGACTCTCGAGTTTTCTGGTTTTCGCTGTACCTCACACCCGCCATATGGGCACTTTTTGCCTTCTTCACAATTACCAGAGTTATGTGGCTTTTGATAACAATTGTGGCCATAACAATGAGCATGGCAAATGTCATCGGCTACACCAAGTGTGAAAAGGTAGATGATGGTATCTCTCCATTGCATTCCATGTGCTCGTGCTGACCATGCTTGTTCTACACGACCAGAACGCAAAAGCGAAGGTTACAAATTTCATTGCCGGACAAGGTGTGGTTCAAGGCTTTGTCGGAAGTATGATATCCAATCGATTGGGTGGGCTTTTTGTCGGGGGCGGAGGAGCAGCTGGCAGATGAGGGTCGGTTTGAATATAGGATGCGTTCATCAGGGCAAACGGGCTGAGAGCAAATCCAGATCGCTGGGAGAACTCTGTTTCGTAAGGCTTATGTCAGCAGAATGTCCGCCAGTTATTATTAGTGTCGCCAAATCGACTGATTGCATGTGTTGGCGCATGCGCGCCCACGCTTGCAAAGTCTGATAGAGCTTATAAGCTATGTACACATGGTCACCCGGCCGAGATCCAAGGTTCAGGTGAATCTGACCACTAGTGATCCCATAGTCTATAGAAGCCCCAGTCGCTACGCCAGCATGCGTGGCACGTTGGCTTTCAAGCGTAAGCTTCTTGACTTCCCCTGAGGCGCCAAGAACATCTGCAGAATCCAGCCGACCGTTAATAATCATTCTCCCGTTAAACATGTTCGATTTGAAGGCGCGACCCGTAGCGAAGACATGTTTTGTGCTGAGCATCCCGCACTTCTTCGACCCACAGGCACTAAAAAAAGATTTGCAGGGTGTATGAATGGTCACGGCATCAATCCCCGTGATAGCAGTCGTCTAAATATAACTCACATTTACATTGTGATTGCCTCACCCAGGGAAGGTCTGGAATAGGCAATTCATGATCCTCACTGCAGTCCCGTCACTCAGCATCTTATGGTTGACTCCGTTGTCGGGGCAAGACGATTTACCCACCTGGCAGCGCCGTTAGGCTACTTTCGAGTCTGTGTGGCCGGTTGAGTGTCGTCCTTTCCCGGCATCATCTCCTGGCATTCTCTCAAAATACATTCCGCATTGCGTGCACAACATGACGTCTTTGAAACATCAAGAGTAAGTCATGATCATGAAAGATATGGAATTCTAGCATGGTCATCCAGACTCCAGCGCAAAATGATTAAACGGACTTATGTGTTGACAGATCGAAAGCGTCTCTGCTTTCGCAGAATGATGAAGCTTCCCCGCTGGATTATTTTCTCCGAGTTCAATTACCGAACGATATGACAACGGTGATTCAAGTTCAGGGTGACATGACTATGTGGGAGATACTCTGCGTAATTAGCTCAAAGAAGCAGCTGACTCCTTCCCATCACATCGCAAAGATGGTGTACTCGGATGGGAAAGAAGAGATCGCTGACGAAGCTAGAGCGTTGAATACATACCATGGATTGGAGCGGGTTATATTGCAGAAGCGAGCAGGTTGGTGAAGATGATATTCGGTCATCACCTTCCACAAAATCTCAGACATCAATTATAGGTGAAACTGCGAATCCAGCACGGATGCGGCAGGGACGTAGAGCATCGGTTGTACTAAATGCCCCAAAACCAAGCGCCATTCGTATGTCCTCCCAAGAATTTCCCAAGACGGTTACAGACGAAGCAGCACTTGCACTGCGGCTAGCAGCTGGCAAAGCTGACACGAGCTTGCTGGCGCGGAGAGGCAAGACCATCAAAAATGTCGCGATGCTCTTCTTTAACAAAAAGTCAGCGACAGATATGTCCGGTGAACTGGGCAGTCTGAGCTCCACTCCACCGGAATCTCCAAGACCCCCTAGCGGGTTGTCCCAGAGCGAGAACAATACGAGCTCTTTGTCTCTTACGATGACAGACGAGGACAAGGCTGAGAAAAAACCTGCTGGCAGGTTCAGCACTACTAGCAGGCTTGGTGTTGAGGCACCGTCGCCTATTCAAAGTGCAGACTCCAGTCTCCAGAGCATGGACTCTGACCTGGATACATTGGCGTCGTATGATGGAAAAAAGAGCCCTCCTAACGGTACTTACCCAATTCTACCACCGTTACCGAATCAATCTGGAAACAACTTGAAAGCCTTCAGTAACGACGTATCCCGTGAAGCTCCTAAAAATCTGCGTCGTAGTGTGACCTCGCTTGGGTTTAATTTCATGTCCGGCGATGCTTGCGACCGTGAATCTCTCACTAACTCGTCGCAGTCAATCAGCATACCAGATGGCAAGAATAATAGTGCAGGGGCCATTGACGAACCAACTTTAACCTCGAATTTGTCTTCTGACATGTTATCACTGTCGAGAGCGGATTCTTTAGTGGCTCGTGAACCACAAGCCCGAGAAAAAATGTAGGTCACTCATATAGAAAGCATATCAATTCGTCGTCATCGAGTTTATTGTTTATTTCTCTAGTCGGAAGCGCACAATCTCGTCACCAGCAACAAGCGGCAGCTCCGGCTACTCCACTCTCCGTCGGCCTGTATTGCGCACCAATCGTCAACGTTCGAACACGGACGTTCTTTCGGGCATTGAAACCGCGATAGAAGTACCTGAAGGTCCCATGAGCGCCGACTATGCTTTGACGCTTAACACCCCCACCACGCCCATACTTGCGGACGATCCAAAGCGAGTTGTGCTGAAAGTTTCTCTGCCAGACCTACAGAGTACTACTATCATGATTCAACCGGACCTCACGATGGAAACAGTTCTGCTCAATATTTGCCAGAAGCGTAAATTGGACTTTGACCATTATACACTGGACGTACCAAAGGAGGGCGTGACAGTGGAGATGGATCGTCCTCTTTCATATTACATTCAAGAAGGGATTAATGAAGTAATGGTTGTAAGGAAAGAAAAGACATACAGTACTATGTGTGTCAGTGAAGGGGGCAGGGATGTGATGATTCTCCAATTGATCGGGGGAAAGTGAGTATTGATTTGCGTCCACCCTTGGGACCGGGATATTGACTAATGACTTCTTTCAGACTTCAAGTCATGGCCGCGACACCAGAGAAACTAATAGAGCGGTTGACCGATGATGCGGAAAAGGGTGGGTTAACTCTGAAATGCAAAGGAAGTTCCTCGTCGCATTAATTTTGATTTTCTGATATCAGACCCTACATTCATGGATACTCTCCTCTTGACATACCGATCGTTCATTAAACCGCTCGAATTTTTCGATCAGTTAGTAGCCCGGTTTAATTCTGAGCTACCACCGGATCCTTCTCCTGAAGATGTCGAGTACTTCAATAAGATGAAGGTGCCAACGCAACGAAGGTATGTTCCTGTTCGTTGAACTCATTGGTCTTGGCTTGGATACCAAAGGTCATCTCTTCAGAGTCATTGCCGCCTTTAAATGGTGGGTGAAACACCACTACCATGACTTTGGAGTTGATGGCTCCATCAAAGCCGACTTGGAAGACTTTGTGGACCAAATTCGAGATTACAATGACGGCGAGTTCGCATCAGATGCAGCCGAGCTATACCGAATAATGGAAACCCAAAGCGAGGCGTACCAGGAGATGTTCCACAACTACAAAACTGTGGAGCGAAGAGGCAAGACGATTGAAGGAATGGTTCAAGAGATATCCGTGGAGGACTTGAGTCAACAGCTTTGCATTCATAACTTCAAGTTGTTCCATAACATCCATCCGATCGAATATTTGAACCAGATCTGGCAGAAGACGAATGAAAGTTCCCCATCAATGATTTATTTCATTGAAAGGTTCGACAAGGAGTCTTACTGGGCGAGCACGGAGATCCTTAAAGAAAAGGATCTAAAGAAGAGAACGAGTCTTCTTCGCAAGTTCATTCTCACAGCAAAGGTACGAGGCAGTATTTTGTTTCCAATCTTTCATAATCTCGTATTCACATGGATGATACTCGCTTAAAGATGTGTCAAGAACTCAGTAACTTCTTCACAATGTTTGCTCTTATCGCGGGATTGAACATGCCACCTATTCAACGATTGAAGAAAACCTGGGAAGCGTTACCGGATAAGGCCAAGAAGGCTTGGGCCGAGCTAGAAAAAGTGGCAGATCCTTCACGAAATATGAAGAATTATCGAGATCTGCTAAATGCAGCTACTCCTCCCATCGTCCCTTTCCTGCGTACGTACAGTGATCTGTGTGATTGTGTTCAGCAGATTACGTGGGACTAACAATTCTGTCTTCTTCACAGCCATTTACTTGAAAGATCTCACGTTCATGAACGATGGCAATGAGTCGAAGATCGGTACTGAACGTCAAATGATTAATTTCGACAAACTTCGAATGATGGGCAACCGGGTCAAAGATATCTCTGGTCTCGCTCGGGTAGAGTACAGCTTCGAGCCCAAACCAGCAATACAAAACTTCCTTGCCAAACCCCCGGTGGAGAAGAGTATGACGAAACTGAAGGAGATGTCCTTGGAGTGCGAAAAGTAGTAACACGCAGGGGCCGCATAGTGGCACTCGGGTACAGAGGTTTCTACAATTAGATTTTTAACGTTTTTTTATTTTGTTTGTTTTCGGATTTACGGTGTTATGTATATAAATGATTCCCCTTGACAAGTTCAATGATTTTTTCTTAACTTATATAAGGTTGCGTTATATTGGTTGAATTACTTTGCAGCGGCAATTGCAGCTAGACAGTTGAACTGCACTTCAACAGTGTTGAAGGGACGCATGGTTGCTTGAGCAGGATTTTTGCCCAAGTAATCAATGACACCCACTTCTTGGAATCGGTGGATGATGGTTTGTCTCGCCTAAATGCAAAATGAGGTTACAATTATGTCTATGGACGCCTGAAAAGGCAGTAAGCTGCACCTGTGATAGTTCGACATAGCCAGGAATATAATCTGGCATCTCTCTTACGTGAAGCAGCGGCCAAACAGCCATTACGCAACGCGTGAACTGCTGTTTACTCCGCGTAAATGATCTCTATACGGCCCGATCATGCGTTAGGGGAAACAATGTGCCAATAATGGAGTTCTGAGCAAATAGCTCACGACAAATACCTTGTCGCTCCGCTTCATAGTTCTCCATGTTCTCTCCCAAACCATTACCAAAAGCCTCAACAAATCATTCTGTTCCGCGAGAAGGGGAAAAATACCCAAGACGCTATCCCCAATCGTCGAAAACACTTGATCTCGTTTTGGTGCTACCAGAACGTCAGCAAGAATTTGGCGGTACATGGAAAGAGCAGGGACGGCGGAGAGGAAGGATATCAATGTGCCGGGTAGGTGGCTGTGGTTTTGATGTTATAAATTCGCCGTGTAGAATGAAGCAACTGCATCAGAGAACTTACTTTAAACGCCTCAAGGCAGAAGAACCCAGTTTCCATACTCTGACGTTCAAACGAGGTGTTTTGTTTGGTTGAATGAGGCTTTGCAAGAGGCCTGGAAAAGTGACGACATATCATCATCTGACAATATGATATGAAATCCTTGAATATCCTTTCTACCTTGCTTTCCAATCTCTTCATAAAGACGGACGTTCTTTTCAAATGGTGTACCACCATATAGTTTAATATCGTACGTTTTATTCTCAATTGGGCCTCCGTCGGTTGTGAAGAGGGGAAGAAGACCCCATCCGCAACTCAATTGTGCGATTTCTTACAAATAGAAAAGATGGTTACGCAGAGTTCATGGCCCAGAATGGAGATCCTAGGAACTTACCCGGTCTATCCCCCCGGCTCTCCTTCTCAACAATCATACAAAACTCAAAAAGAATGCACAAGTTCACATCAACATCGTTGACTCGTAAAAAACACGTATTCTCATCATCTTTTGGAAACAGCAAAGAAGCCTGTTGGTAAAGTTCACCAAGTTAGTTAATAACACATCTAACTAGTTTAGCACAACAGTCCGAACATTACTTTGCTAGAAAATTTCCATAAATGTTCGAATTCAGGATTATACACCGCTGGCACAGCATGGATATTGCTCAAAATGCTCGCTTTATCAAACAACGCCATCCGAACACATCGACCAAGGATACGGACATGTGGTCCAGGAATCGGAATATATCGTGCATCGAGCAGGGAGAAAGCTATTGTACAGGTGGTGGAGAGCTTTTTAATCTGGATTCAACTTTGTAAGTGAGATTTCGGCATTGGAAAGGTTCAAGCCTATGTACCCGGTCTTTCTTGTGATCCCATAGGAGATCCTTGAAACAGAGGCCGTCCGGTGTTAATTTCGGTGTGAGGGATTTTGAGAGGCGTCCGATACCTTGAGGGAAATGTCAGCCACCCACACAAACGTGCCTGACGAATCAGTAGAGAAGTTCAGGAGTAAGTTACCTTGCTCGTAGGTTTTTCCCAAAGTCGAAAAGCGAAATCCTTGCGGCAAGATTCCGAAACCTTTCAACGGATCGGGAGGTATTAGCCGCCTTCTTGAAGGGCGTCGATAGTGATGGCGTTGTCTATGTCTTCGCCGCCCTTTCTCTTGGGCTACGCGGGTGGGTGTCACCGTTATTTCGTCTTCCTCTTCCTCTCCAGATGTTTGACTCGACTCGGTAGGGGATTTGGCATCCACGCTATCATCGTTTTGCTCATCTGATGTATGTGGTAACATTGATACTTGCTCCGACGTCCAATTGGCACTTTCGAGACGTACCCTCTCCCATGTCTTCTTCATCGTCTTCTTGAGAGTCCTCCGCGGAAGTCTCATATCCAGAACTATCATCACTTTCAGATTCCGAGGTACCTTCCTCCTCTCCGCTGTCTTTCATTTGATTCTCAGAGACTTCGTTATCTTCCAGTTTCCGGACGTACGTTGTCGGAACGTATCCCTCGAGCTTTTGACCGTTACGAGTGCACACATACCTGTATGCAAGCGTCAAATTAAAGTATAATTCATACTTAAGTTGTCAAACTTTATTACCACCACTCTGGATTATCAGTAGTTAAGATTTCAAAAGTATCGCCTTCGTTGAAATTCAATTCTTCATCGGTGGCACCCCGATAATCATACAGTGCCACAGCGATCTATGATGATCGTCGCATCAAAGTGTTAGGCGTCCTCAATTACGATCAGAAATCTTCCGAACCTACCACTCCATTCTCGGCTTTCCCCGATCTTTCATTCCGCAGGCTTCCTCGTTCAGATCGTAGCGATCCACTTCGACTCAGCTCCCCTCTCTCCTTTCTCAAAGATTCACTTGAGCGACGAGTATCATCCTTGATATATTGCTTTGCGGAAAAACTGCTGGAACTACTCTTATGCGAGCGGAATGAGCTGGATCTTTGCATACTGTTTACAGTTTGCTGGCATACAAGGGCACACGCGAGGTTGGACGCGTCCATGTGCGCAGCAGAATGACATAAGCGACAAGCCACACTGATCTGAACAATCGTTGAAATCAAATAAACTACGAGTACGATAACAGCGCTACGAGACGTACGCATGGTGGTAAATGAGTGACACAAGTCTCAATCCCTACGTTATTCACAAGCAGACGCACACGCTGGCCTACTCGTGTCCAGAACAATATCTTCAATATCAGGGTTATACCTGCAATCGCAAGAACGTTTTAGATACCAAAAACGTGTACAGATACGATAAAATATGAGTATCTACCCTGCAAACCACACATTCCAGCGCTTCCCTCTTCTCCCAAATGCTCTTCTCCACCATGCTCTATACTTGACAACAAGACCATCGGCAGCAACCACAGTTCTGCTGTCAAGCGCCTTGGCGCCCTTGGCCAGATTCCGTTGCAAGCCCTTCAGTAGTGCATAATCCTCGTAAAGCACACGTTGATTGAAACGGTGCAAATACCACGAAATTAGCCAGCGAAGAGGCGGGAAATATTTGACGAAGGTGCATGTAGGTGAGGGAAGAAATGGCATGCGCTGGAAATAGATAAAGCGACATTTGCCTTTCTGTGTAGGAATTGCGTAGAATGTTTGGTCAAATGGTAAGGGTGGAGAGACATCATTATCAATTTGGATTTCGTGCTGCTTTGGCCGTTTGAATTTCAGAGCAACCTATAGGCAATTTGAAGCGTGAATATCTATTCCGTGATCGTCGCTGAAGATCGTGCCGCACCGTGCAAGGGGTTCGAAACTCAAGTTCAACCTCAGTCAAATCTGGACGTCGAGGGGTCACTTGTCTACCTTTCATCGAGCCTGGACTGAATTGAATTGCAGATATGTGGATTGGCGTCACATTTGATCGCTTGGATATTGTTGTCTTGTGAACGAACGGGAGATGAGCCGGATCGAGAAAATTTTCCACTAAAAGAGAGCTGCCGTAGAAAGCAAGATCACAGCTGGCGTGAGATCAAATATGATATGAAATAAACGGCTCAAAAATACTCTACTGGTCAATATCCAGATCCACATATCCACTCCAAGGTACCAACTCCTGTTCCCTTCCATAGGCCATATATAAGCTAGGACCATCCTTGTCCAATGAATCCAGTGAAGCTCCTGGCCAGACCCAGATCCATCCATCTACCTCCCGTGTTGGGTACTGTCGAACGTGTGCGGCGAGGGGCGGTTTTGCCGCAGGTGGATAGGACGGGATATGGGAGCATGCACCAGTGCTGTCAAACTGCCAGCCATGATACTTGCATTCGATATGGCCGTCAACAATGCGACCGAGGGATAAGGGCGCCGCCCGATGAGGGCATTTGTCTTGAATGATCTAAAATTGTTTGGGTTTCATGGAATTTAGCTTGTGTGTGACACCTGCATTGTATGGTAGAGATGTTCCGCATTACCACTGCATCTCCGCCTGGATATGCCCTGTAAATAACTAGTGGATCGTCCTAGTTACAGGGTGCTGTATCAGGCCCAACCCAGATAGCTTCAACCTATCCAGATTGCATCACCATACCAGGAGGTGAAGCCCAACAGGTGTTGCGGCATCTAGTTCAGCGGATGGGATTAGTGGATACCAATACTTGCGCACATCTGTCGACTGTTCAAAGAATTCCCGTTCCGCCGCAGTGCCAGCGGTTGACGGGTCTTGGTTGTCGTTGTCAGAGCCCATAATGTTGGCCAAGAAGACACTATGCAAGCGTCATGCATTCTGCGTATGACTCATCTGTTCGTGACACACAGTTGTAGCTAAAACAAGGTTTATTATTTGTGGTCCGTGTCTACAAAGTCTACAAGCTACAGCTATGTAGTTACATAAGCATCCAAGTTTACAGTAATAATATCATCCCGCAAAACTAGCTCTCTTCATATCACCAGCGACTGGCTTTTGATATTCCAACGGTGGCATAGTTACAGACATTCGTGATGATCTCCGCAGCTTCCGAGCAGCATCACTGCTGTGCCCACTTCCTGTTCCACTCCCGCTGCTCTCCGACGGCGTAGGTGTAGGTTGGGTCGAACGAGCCAACTCACGGAGAGTCTTGGACGTCTTAAAATCAACCTGAGTGAATTGTAACAAAGGAGGCGGAGCCGGGAGACGTTCCGAGAGATTTGCAGGCACAGGAGTCATTGGCGGAGTACAAGGACTGTGCTCTTGTTGCTGCGGGGGTATATGCACTGCGGCTCCACCAGAGGAGCCATATCCTAGAACCATAGATGTTGGGCGCTGACGGCTATTTTTGACCTCTCTGCCTGTGGTGTTCGGGGTGACGTCAGTCGCCGAATTGCGATATGATAAAGGAGGTACAAATGAAGATTGGCGGTTGCGGCGATGGTCTTCCCGGGGTTGACTAACAATGGGATCGATGACAACACTATGGCGTGAAATCCTCTTTGAAGAGGCCGGAGCAGGGTTGTGAAGATGTTCGAAAGATGTGCTGTGAATTCGCCTTGGATTGATGGGCGGAGAGGGAAGGGGGTGGGGAAAACAATTATACACTTGGCGGGCATTCGGAGCATTTCCTTGACGACCAGAGGATTCCTTTGACTGAAATGGCAATCGCCCCATTTGCATCAGCACGCCGAGAGGTACGTCATCATCTTCGTCTTCTTCAGGCTTCTTGTGAATTGCTGCAATGGTTGGATTGGCAGATCGTGCATGTGGGACTGGGGGATGTGGAGGTTGAGCAGGAGCAGGAGTAGGCGTAGGACCGAGACGGTATGCGGCGGGTCGTGGTTGATGAGATTGCGGATGCCCTTGGTACGGAATTGGTGGGTGGTTTTCAATAGCATAAGAGAAGCGTCGCTGTGGGGGATATGCTACAGTAGATCCCTTGCCAAGAGTATCTGTTGATGGCTGGCGTCTATGCAACATACCCATATAAATATCAGAAAATTTTTTTATCAATACAAATATTATCCAATTGCACTTACCCCCCCAGTCGACCTGCCGCAGAAGGCAACGGTGCTCCATTAAAAGACTGCCGCTTCATGTTCGACCGATGTTGCGCGTGCTCGCTCATGACCTGCTGGTCCTGCGTGCTGCACTGCTTTGATCGAACGTCGTCTCCTTGCTGCCGCTTCATGACTTGTAAAACTTCATGTAACATGTCGCTTGCAACATTCCCCCTTCCAGGATGCGACATTGTTTTTGTCGCGTTTCCACGAGCTTCTTGCGAGATAGGCGGTAGATTGTCAAGGCGAGGGGGGGATGACACAGTCTCAAGTTGCTTCAGTAAAGGCATACCAAGGAAAGTCACGCAAGAGGAAGCTGAACAGAGTGCAAGCAGCCCGTTGACAGCCGTTTTCTACAACGACGATGGAAGCAAATTCCAGAGCGCCATGCAGGGACCCGACCATGCTGTGAGAAAGGTCAACTTTGGTCGGATGAGTCATGAAAGCACGTGTCAAACGGAAAAGGCTAATTAATGGTCTTTTAACAGTCGATCCAACTGTCAAAAAAAACAAAAGTCAACCCAATTTTTGACGACGGTGACGTCGACAAGATCCGTCGTCTGCCGTACGGCAAGGGCTCATTGCTACAGAGAGTACTCGCTATCGTTCGACATCTTCAACAAGGTCAACCCACACCCGAGATTCAGATATTCATGATCGAGTATTAAAAGGAAGAAAAATACAAATACACAAAAAAGAAAACCACTTGAATCGAAAACATATTCTGTTTCTACCCACTTCTATCCCCGCTCATCAATATATGTCCCCGCCAACCATTATTAAAGGCCGTCATGATGCTCGACAGTGTGACTCTGATACATGGCCATTGTCACATTGCGTGTGCTTGTCTTTCCCGTCGGCGGTGTTCCAGAGACGGATTGTTGCTGCGTGGACTGTTTTGAGGGGACTGGGGTGGGTGCAGGAGTAGTGATAGGGCGGGCGGATGGCGCTGGTGATGGCGTTGTGAGTGGCATTATGTTTTTCTTTGGTCTAGGTTTCGTTGGAGGGTGCGATTGGTCGGAGAGGGAGTCGGCAAAGAGCTGGAGTAAAATCAAACAAGAAAAATTGGTTTGGCAACAGACAAGGTGATCTGTGTTGGCAATGTCAAAGGTTAAACCAGCCCTTTATATAGGTTCCCCAAACCCTTCGGAACTGACACAGACCGTTGATAAAGCAGGTACCAAACGATAATACAAATAAATGTACTCACCTTGTTACTAAAATTAAACTCTTGCCAATGCAATTGCCGCAAATAAATCGTGAAAGTTCAAGGATACCGTGTCGGGAAACGACGAGAACCGCTTGCTGGAGCCTTTATAACAAAAGGAACGGAATCCCAAAAAGCAGCCACGGCGCAAGATAATGCGCAAAGATGTGTCATCATAGCGCGTGACGGTTCTCGGGTGACATCGGGAGGGGCTATGCAATTTTACCGTCTTCCGGTCTCGTCCGATCACGGGCTACTCATTTGAATGCCCATCCAATGCATTGGATTTCCACACCTGACAGTCAGTTTGCATACGACAAGCAACATCGCAGCCGAGTACGCTAGATATGCCAGACACATCCAGTGAATATGGTAAGGATGAGGCATTGTGGCCATCGTTAGGGCATTCAATATGTATCAACACCGGAGAGGACACATCTCCGGGCATGCATTATCTCTCTAGTGCCAGCAGCAGGTCATTCAAGATTCAGATGACTGCATGATGGTCTTGCCCCATATGTACTGCAATTGATACATTGCAAGTTGGACATTGGGATATGCATACTAATGGAATCGCTGTGCATTTGACAACGATACAAGGTACAGTATGTGGTAAAGCATAGCAGGTCGCTTATGTCAGCACAAACACGTGCCTTGAAGTGTGGCTACTCCACTGGCTACTGCATGCAAAGGTCTGTGTTGACGAGGATACTGATATCGCTTATTGACGGTGATTCCGCAAACTACACCGCAAGACGAACACCGTCACATAGCACAATGTCCACCTGTGAACGATTGACCCAGCTCTTCTTTATAGATCAGCAAGGTGACGGCGCAGTCTTGGACGCAACACCAAAGGCCGACAGTCTTGGAACAACGACGTCGTCAGTATCCGGCCGCACTGAAAGCTCTTCTCGTCAATTTTCCTCCCAACTCTTCTTTATGGACCGCCGAGGTGACTCCGCTCTTCTTCACACGCCACTGACACCGGAACGCCTACCCAACACACAAGGAACGACACCCACATCAACATCCTCTGCAGAAGACTTTATCTCCCTCACCCCAACCCAAAAAGAACGGCGAAGGAAGCAGAGACACGGCCAATCAAGTAAAAGAAAAAAATGTCGGAATGATGGTGGCATAAACAGGCTACTTGTCGAACAGGATGTGGAAGACCGAGAGGAGGACAAAGATGGCCTTTCATCAGATGAAACCCCAGAACAAGATGTAGACCCGGAAGAAATGGCTATCATGATGGATTATATCCAAAACTCTTCCGTTGGAGATCTCTCCAGTGCATTAACCCACCTGACTTCTTTATCGGCCTCATCGGACGAAGAAGAAGCAGAAGTTGGGCTATATGAAGCATTGATGATGGGACATGATGATGAGGAAGTGGATACTAGTGATGATTCTAGTGACGAGATACCATCATTTGCACGGCTGGGGCTGGGAAGTGAGAATGACGATAGTGACGATGACGAAGAGTATCTCAAACAAGATTTCGAAGGCAGAAAGTCCGCATGGGATGAGAATACTTCCCGGAATAAAGATCCTTCCGAGCGCAAGTTTCAGCAAATTCTCAAAGCAGACTTTGGTTCCAAATCCCAAGCACGTAAACAAAAGCGACGCGAGCAGGCCGAGTTCACCCGCAACAAACACCAAAAAGCCCGCGAAAGAGCCAACGCCGGCCAAAACCTCAACGCTGCCCTCTCACGCTCAGGCACAAAAATCACTAAAGATGTGACTACATTCCTTTCCACCGTCAACTCAACCATGCACACATTCACCCAAAACGAACCCTCCAAACCTTGCGTGACTCTCCCACCCATGCCAGGCGCAGTCCGACGACTCGTCTACAGCATGGCAAGGGAGTATCATCTCCTACCCAAGACCCGCGGAAAAGGAAAAGCCAAAGTCTCCGTTCTAATCCGTACACAACGATCACATGTACCGCAACATTGGAAATCGGTTGTCAAACAAGTTGTCGAAGCAGAGGGAGGAAGATTAAAGGGGAATACCAGGTCACCTGGTAGCGGGACCAAAAAGAAGAAGCCACCAGGGGCACCCGATCAAAAGGCGCGACCAAAATTGGGGTCTGTGGTTGGAGAGGGAAGTAAGCCGATCGGTGAAGGGAATATTGGGCATCGGATGTTGAAGGCGATGGGGTGGACTGAGGGGCAAGCATTAGGCAGTGAAGGAAGCCAAGGCTTGGTACATCCTGTGGAGGTTATGGTGAGAAGCAAGCGGTCTGGTTTGGGTAATGCTATTTAGGAGGGCGCGGCCGTCGAAAAGTTGTGGTATATTATTTATTATTGATCTGCAGTTGGCTTTTAAGGGCGTTCTGCTCGTGTATAATGTAAAATATATATAATATATAATCTGGTCTTGGTCTTGCGTACTCCCGACAAACTCAGCTCCTGCTACCCACTCAGAGCACTAATAACATCATCCAGTCTCTTGACTAGCACTCCAGGTTCGTATGGAAACAACCCACGTTTCCACAAACTCTCCACTCGATCCTTCAAACCGCTCAATAGCAATAGCTGGACCTCCATAGCCCCTTGACGCTGACACATGTTCCGAAAGGCTTCCACACGCGACAGGATAAATCGCAAATATTTGACAAAATATTCTAGAAATCCCGTTTCGCCAGATATCAAAAAGTCCAAGAGAGTTTCTGGATCGTTGTTGGTGTTTAAGGAGAAGTGAATCCAGAGGGCGTGAGGGTTGAGGGTATGGAGAGCGTACGTAATGGTTGGGAAAAGTCTGGAAAATTCAACTAGTGAACAAAGGAACTCATGAGACCCAGTCAGAAACCGATTTTGGACCTACCGCTTCATTATCTCGTCCTGTTGTACACCGATATACAACTGGATAAAGATGGAAAGAACACCAAAAAGCTGCGCATCATTATCACCGTACAGTTGAAAGAGATAAGTTCGCAGATTACTATTTCTCAGAACATCTGCCGATACAATGACTTTATTTTTTGTGTCATCATCGACCAAGCGATCCCAGAGCTTACCAGCAAACCCCACCGAGAACCTATCCAACAAAAACATGAATCGTTTCCTTTCCACTGTAATCTCTGGTCCCGAAAAGTCGCGCATCCCTGCGGAAAGCGCCTCCAAAAGCATATTTACACAAATTTTGAGAGATTCCCTGTCGATGGGATGAGAAGGGTCCAAGAAGAACTCTGTATAGTCGTCCGTGATGGTACGTGTCCACCATTCCGTAAATGATGGGTTATGTATGTGGTCTAAACACCGGTAGAGATGATCTAGGAGAAGAATGATCTATAATATCATATCAGCGACGACCCTACTATTAACGGACATGGTAGACGGTAAAGGCAATAGTTCCTACCGATACCATGTCGCCGTTGCTGGTGGTGATCGTATGAAGGAGTTCTAATGTCTTTCGTCTAACGTACGGACTGCAGTCTTCTAAAAGCGTTCCCAGCTAGAACCATTGCATGTCAAAATCCTGTCCTACAATTGCAGCTCTGTTGCACTTGTCTTACCGAAGGAACATGTGCTTTCATATACCGAATCAAGCTCAACATCGTCGCGACAATAGTTGGGTCCGGCCCGTCCGATCGTGCCGATACAATAATATTCGTCTTAACAATACCGTGCATTAGCGCAATGTAGTGGGAGAGAGTTTCTGGCGGAATCTGTAATTTTAGAATGGGTCAAAGACATCATGTTGAACTCGCGACTCGATTCGCTCGAATGAACTCTTTCGCACCAAGGTCCGCTTCATAAATAATACAGACATCCAGCCAACCCGCCCATCCTTGTCCTTGTCAGCAAGGGCAATCGCAAGCGGATATAGCAGGGCAAAAGGGCATGTCTCATGGGCCCTTTTCATTCGAGTTCGACAATGTTTCAGGATACGTTGTAGGAAGTCGAGCGAGTACATGATGTTATGTATTTTTGATCGGTCTGTGGGCGATGCTTGTACGCTCGGTCGAAGATTCGACACCAGGTGAGCAAAAAATGCAGCGAGAGCATCTGCGGCAGACCGATCTGTGCAAAATGTTAAAAGTTTGGTGAGTACCATCTTCCAAGAAATGATCTCGAAATGCGCCTGACCTTCAGGGAACTTGTTGCTTTCTGAACAAACAATGGTTTCAAGGATCTTCAATGCGGTAAATGCAGCATGCTGGTGCTTGGTTGTAAATCCGCGGCTCTGCGTCGCAACCGTGAAGAGTTAGTGTTCGGTTTGCACCGTTTCTCACACTGCATCTCCTACCAGCAAGATCAGCACATTTGAGCATGCTGCAGTAGCGTGCAGTTTACCCAAGGGGTCGTCAAACTGTTGCGCTGCATCAGCAAGCACCGAAAACTTGTAAAGAACGCCAACTGGCTGGTCGTCCGTGGCCTGCACCAAAAAATTTGCCCTCAACACCAACACAACGCCATGTAAATAAACATGACGAAATACCTCTTCTTCTGTCGACAGGTTCTGTATGCATTCTTGTACAAGCTCTATGAACCCATCTTGAGGGTCTTGGGGCATTTCACACCATGGGACAGTTGAAAAGAGTGCGGTTTTTGAAAGATGACCGTCCCACGGAAACTGACGATGTGATGAGAACGCGATCGGACCCTCACGTGGCTTAGTGCATCGATCAGTTACCACGTGATTGAAGAGTTTTTAACTTTCTCGCGCAGGTGGCACAGTAAGGCAATCGGAGTTTTGGGTTACTCGTAGACGACGCCCAGGTTGGATGGCAGCTCCGTCGGTCCTGACGATTGACAATTTAGAGATATTCAGCAAACTGATTCATTTGATTCCGTGTCTTCGTACCTGGGGTGGAGCGGATATTAGTGCAGAGCTCACAACATCTCGGATGAAAACTCTAGGTTGGGTATGGCCAACATCATAACGGCCACCAGAAATGTCCATCCAAACCAAAGCAACAACAAAGAAATAGCAATCCAAGCACATGTATATGTTCTGTAGCGTGTATTTTGAAGCCAGAGCACCAGGCTCTCATAATTGCAGTCCATTATCCCAAGTATGCCGAAAAAAAAAGGAATCTATGACAAAGTACCCAAAGTATCCAATGTACCAACCAATCATACACTTTATGACGTTGTTTCCTCCTTGTGGAGCATCTGCTGATTTACCAACTCGGCATACGCCCCACCCAGATCAACCAATTCCGCATGGGTGCCCATCTCTGCCACCTGTCCACCGCGGACGACGTAAATCCTATCCGCATTCTGGATGGTAGAAAGACGATGTGCAATCACTACAGTTGTACGACCTTTGGCAGCGCGGTCGAGGGCGTCTTGGACCACTTTTTCGGATTCAGAGTCTAGGGCACTGGTCGCCTCGTCTAGAAGGAGGAGTTTCGGGTTTCGGATGAGCGCGCGAGCAATGGCAATGCGTTGCTTTTGGCCACCACTGAGTTGGCCTCCTTTTTCGCCGACCATTGTGTCGTATCCTTTGGGGAGACCAATGACGAAATCGTGAATGTTGGCGGCGCGGGCGGCGGCTTCGATTTGCTCGTCGGTTGCCTCGCCTTCAGGTGCGCCGTAGGCGATGTTTTCACGGATGGACACATCGAAAAGGATGGGTTCCTAGCAAGGTCAATGCCACATCAGCTCCCCTTCACAGATCGCAGCCATATACAAAAGTTGCTTACCTGTCCGACAAGCGCCATCTGTTCCCTGAGGTACTTTAAGTTCCACATGCGGACATCGAGCTGGTCCACCTCCGCACGTCCATCTGTAACATCGTACCAGCGCTCCAATAATCCAAGAACGGTACTCTTACCGCAACCAGAGTGGCCGACCAATGCTACGGTCGTTCCAACCTCGGCCGCAATGTTCAATCCCCGCAAAATAGAGATGTCGGGACGAGTAGGGTAAGCAAAGTGCGTGTCAATAGTTGATGGACGGCCCTGCGGCTTTGCAGGACGCTCGCCTTCCGTACTGGTTGCGTCGATGCGAGACGTACGGTCGAGAATATCGAGGATGCCAAGGGCAGCGAGCTTGGCTTTGGCTGCATCAGGCGCAAAGTTTGTGACTAGACAATTGAACCAGCCAGAATATTAGAGCCGGCATATGGAAACGAAAGTGGCCGCGTATCATCTAGTATTACCTTGCCCAGCAGCCATGGCAGCAAAAATGATGGAAAACATGGTTGTCATGACTTGCTTCGCATCGTATGTGTTTTTGAGCATCAATTCAGAACCGTACCAGAAGGCAACTAACAAACCAGAGATTGTCAGCACATACGACCTTGTTCCACACAGATAAAGACCACAATACATACGGGCATATGTCAAAAAGATAACACTCTCAGCACTGGCAAAGCCAACGGAACTCACGAACGCTCCTTTGACTACCATACGATGGGGAACCTTGATCTGCTCGGCGTAGGTAGACGCGAACTTTTCCTCCTTAGTCAGCGTCTGCACGGTACGAATGCTTTCAATGGCTTCGGATGCAGTTTGGTTGGCATCCTTGTAAGCCTCCCTGGACTTTTCACCGAAACCAGTCAAGGTCTTGAGCTGAAGATAACCACCGATCCCGACCAAGGGCACACAGGCCAAAACGACGAGTGTGAGCTGCCAACTGTTTGAAAAGGCAATTCCAAGTCCAACAGTAAAGTTGGAGATCAATTGCAGGATCTGTGCAAAAGTTTGTCCAGTGAGACCTTGTACCAGGTTGGCATCCTCGGCGAGCTTGGCGGTCAACGCTCCCGTAGAGTTCTTCTCATCATCGAAAAATGCAATCTCCTGTCTCATCAAGGCACGGAACGACTCATGACGGAGGCGAGTGGTAAGTTTATCACCGGCAATTCGCAAGAGACCGATTTGAATGACGTGACTAATAAAGGCGGCAATGGCCAACAGGAAAAATCCAAGAGCCCATTTGTTAATTTCCCGAGTTAACTCATCACCCGTACGATTGAACACAGCGATGAGTTCGGAAAAGATTAGGGCAAAAACGGGCATAACCGCGCCGTTTACCAACGAGCACATGACACTAGGTGGCTTTGGTAAGGTATCCGTCTACAACGAATGCGATGATAATGCTGTAGCTTACCCTAAGAACATGATCGGGAATTCTGGTTTGTTCATCATCAGAATTCTCTTTTTGTCCACGTTTCGCTTCAGCATTGCTTCCTTCTCCTTCTTGGCCAACTCCTCTTCCAATTCCTTGCGCTTGCGAAGGGACACAACACTCTGGCGCCGTTCAAGTGCAGACTCTACGCGCTCAGGGGCTGGCGGCTTTTCTCCAATGTCAAGCGTGACGCCGGCGTCACCGATACGTTTGACAGGCTCTGCAGTAGCGACAGGTTCGACAGCATTTTCGAGATCGGCAACATCGATGGCAACCGTATTCTTCTCTTGGCCATTACCTTCATGGTTCGTGCCTCCTCTGAGACGCTGCGCCTCAACCAGTTCATAGTACGTTCCCCGGGCCGCAACAAGAGCGTCATGAGTGCCTTGTTCGACAATCGCTCCCTTATTCATCACCACGATCAAATCAGCATTTTTGATCGTGGACAAGCGATGTGCAATCACAATGGTTGTTCGTCCTTGAGATGCAGACTCCAACGCCGCTTGGACAAGTCTCTCAGACTCGGTGTCAAGAGCTGAAGTTGCTTCATCAAGAAGCAAGATACGAGGGTCCCGCATGACAGCACGTGCAATGGCAATACGCTGCTTTTGCCCGCCAGATAACATGGATCCGGCTTCACCGACAGAGGTGTCCAACCCTTGAGGAAGAGTCTGAATAAATCCCCAGGCGTTGGCGACTTTGCAAGCGTCTTCCACCATTTGGTCAAGTTTCTCCTTTGGAATCGTATCTGGGTCTTCCTTCAATCCGAACACAAGATTCCGACGAATGGTCGTGTCAAACAGGGTTGGCTCCTGCGAGACAATTCCTATTTGCTGTCGGAGCCACTTCACATTCAAGTCCTTGAGGTCGTGGCCATCTAGAGTCACTGTTCCCGAGACTGGATTGTAAAAGCGTTCCACGAGTTTTACAATGGTCGACTGATATAAATGCAAACTCAGCAAACTCTGCATGACTTTCCAAAATGATATATTTCATTTCTTACCTTTCCGGATCCGGATGATCCCACGAGGGCAACGGTTTTACCGGCTTGGACTTTGAGGTTAAACTTGGATAAAATCGGGACATCCTCACGAGTCGGGTAATGGAATGAAATATCCTTGAACTCGATATCACCTTTCACCTCGCTTGGCTTTTCGCCGCCGGGGTTGCTCGCATCGATGGGGGAAACGCGATCAATGGTGCCAAACACTTTGTAAGCCGCACCTTGCGCGTTTCCGAGAGCGCTAAAGTGAGGCATGCCCTGACCGAGTGTGAAGGCTCCAATAATGAGCGCAAAGAAACAGTTGACCACTTCTTTTCCATTCATACGGCCAGCCCGAATCTCACGTCCACCGTACCTGGATGACAGCTAGGTCAAATCAAAGGCAGGGAAGACATTAATCCAAGTAGAGCACTCACCAGAAAGCCATAGAGTATACAGCGAAGATGAGAAAGTTAATCATACCAACACCAAGAGCCGTGTAAATAGACTTTTTGATGGCATCCTTCTCGGCACTTTTCAGCAGTGCAGCGTATCTCTTTGTCGCACGGTGCTCACCACCAAAGGCGACGACGGTTCTCATGCCGGACAAGACTTGCTGAGCAATGCCACCTGTAAAATATCATCAGAAAGTGGACTACATCGTTGTAGTGTTACACGATTGTGACGCACCAGCAGATGCATACGCATCGTTTCCCTTGTCCGAGCTGGCGGCAACCATAATGGACATGAGAGCGGCAGCACCGGCCAACAAGGGAAAGCATGCCGTCAAGACTAGAGCCAATCTCCATCCTTTGATAAAGGCAATAATGAAACCGGCAATGAATGTTGTCACAAACTGAATGATCATTCCGACTTTTTCGCTGATGCCTTCTTGGATCATTCCTGTATCGGCAGTCATCCGGGTTGTCAGCTCTCCAGTACTGGTTGCGTCGAACCAGCCGACATTTTGACGAAGGATGGATTTAAAGTAGAGTTCGCGGATGCGCTGCGAATGGGAGCAAGGTGCCTAAGCTGCCAGCGCACTTCACCAAGAGCCATTGAGAGACTACCCACCTTTGCTTGATTTTCACCTGCCCACATCCAGAAGCACATTTGAGCGTAGGCAAGAGCAAAGAGCGACGCCGCAAGGATGACAAACCATATGGCAGTATCTTTGGCGGCATCCCTCAATAGATCAGCGGAAACAGGATTGTTTGGATCGTAACTATAATAGTATTCGAGGATATCAGCTAATATACAGGAAAGCCGTCAGTATGGCATTGTAAGGGTTGGCAAGGGGGTATACAAAAGACTCACCAAAAATGATGGTCATGAGGGGCATTCCGACGCCGTGGGCTGCCGCGGCGAGCGTGCCGGCAATTATCAACAAAATATCAAACGGACTGGCATAACGATAAAGCTGAAGGTAGGAGACTCGAGGTGTTTCCGGCTTCTTTTCTTTATCTTTTCCTGCCTTTTTGCTCGTCGTTGTGGGTTCGTCCTCCGTCAGGACGACGTGTCCATCTTCTTTTAATTTTGTCACATCTAGCTCCAGGTGGCCTCCGTTCGCCGTAGTTGCGGTCAGCGCGGGAGTCGCAGACGCCATGACAATTCGAAAGTCAGTGGACAGCGGAACGACAAAAGGAAGTTCAAAGCAAGTTCCTTTTTTAAAAGCGATTTCCTTGGGAGCGATATCCACGCCAAATGATTATCCGCGGGAAATACCAAAATTTCTAAAACTTTATAATCTACAAAATGCACGTGCAGATAATACAAGAAGAAGAAAGCAATGCAGGGGAAATGTTGAAAATGGCTGAATATATGATGAGGCTTGATATGCGTAGAAGGTGGGCAAGTCGCCATCAGCCCTTAAGTAACTTTTCCACCTCTCCCGTCCACCTCATCCACCTTCCTATGCCGTATTTCTCTCCTCCGGTGAGCTCCGATTGAAACAAAGTTGGGGGCAACGCGTTCCCACGAACGGGAAATGGCTGACTCTTCTTTGTAAATTCAATTGCTTACGTGGATGCTTGTTATTTGCTGTTTGATTCTTTGGAACACTTGGATTTATATCCACGGAAGCGGAGAAATAAGATGTTGGGGTGGATGTAACGCGCATTTTTGGTAAATTAGCATGCTATTTTGCATTGCGCATTCACGTGATGACATGAGTCTGTGGGAAAACCCCCATATTGTGGATCAGTCATCAGTTTTTATAATAGAGTTTAACGCGTTTGCTGGCGCGCAGTAGTTGGTCCATTCAAAGTGGCGAGGACGCCCCTTCGTGTTGAATAGCTTTGGTAAAGATGGGGTTTCTAGGCTAGCAGACCAAAGACATGACAAGATCCTATGGCACGCCAACTATTTTGCTTTTGCTCTGGCATGACAAGGTTATGTTGGCAAAGAAAAGATAAAGCTTTGTGACAGATGGGGAACGCGTCAGGATGCGATGCGTGGACTATGCGGTTCACGGTTGAATTTGGGAATTAGGACTGAATCGACAGGTAATGGAACTCAGCTTGCCCAGTTGTTGGTTTAAAGTATTGGAATGATCGCTTGGTGCATTGGCTTCTTTGGCTGGATAGCAGGTTGGTTGATAGTTGGTGCCTGGAGGACACCATTCGTCTTGAATACGATTGCTTTTGGTAATGATGGAGGTTTACAAGCATGGAACGTCTATGGTATGCTCTATGGCTCTAACTATCCGTCTTTTGTCCATGACATTCCCAAACTGGCCATCTGGGGCTGTCCAGTCGTCTTTGTGTTGCATCTATATGCATCTATATGCGGTAGCACACCTCACTCACAAAGAATGAGGTCTACTTTAGCTCTGCACCGCATGGGGAGTTAACTACTGCTCACGTACCAGTTGTCCGACGCGGCCGGACAACGAGGCTTACTAAGCGACGCGCACATCTGTCCAATCAGAGTGCTCACACATTGCACATTGCACCCGCGTTACACGGACTTGACATCAGTTTGTGTAACCCCACGCCTTATAAATTCACCACCTGGCCCCGTTTCTCGCGTTCCCATCGCGTTCCCATCGTCTCATCGAGGTTGGGTGTCCCCGCGAAAAGATGGGCTCTCCACATCTGGAGGAACGCTCCACTTGGGGAGAGGGAGGTGATGGATAGGGGATGGGGAGGGTGATGGGGTCGGGGATGGGGAGGGTGATGGGGTCGGGGATGGGGAGGGTGACGGGGTCGGGGATGGGGAGGGTGATGGGGAGGGCGATGGGGTGGGAGATGGTGTAGGGTGTGGGGTTAGGGTGCGGTTTAGTTAGTTCCACTCGCAGCCGTGTTCTGCTCCACTTTGGGGTCTAG